TATGCAAATAAAATAAATACACTTTTATGATATTTAACTTCATAATAAATTTCGTTAATTCAGATATTATTATAAAAAATAATAATATTTAAAATACTTTTCATTTAGTTTCTTATAACTAATTATAATAAATAAAATTTAAACATAGATAAATAAAAAACGTAAGGCAATTTTGAATGATAATCAAACTGTAATAAATAAAACTTATACATAAATTAAATTACGTAAGGCAATTTTCGATTGTAATCAATCAATAAAAAAAGAATAATAATTAAATTTTTTTGAATAGTTTTCAAGATCTGATAAATTTAGAAGACTAAATGATGTATTAATTTAATATTAAAGGAAGACCTCGAATAATTAATAAAAACTTTGTTATTTTTCTTTCATGATAGGAATTATGCACAAATTAGACAGACAGAGATTAGTTATTTCAGATGCTTTTATTAAATAACGAAAGAATTAACAACCTTTATACGTCACCTACAATCTAAATGTAATAATAGTCACATATACCTTAATTTATTTTACCACCACACTATGCTTAATTTACTTAATGGTCACATACAATCTAATGTATCTATTTCATTTTATAATATTTGTTTTATTTAAGAAGGGGCAGAATTCTCTAGAATAGGAGGTATATTATATTTTGAAAGATTAATAATAATAGAACAAAATTGCTCACAATTTACTTAAATTACCCTACTAATTATGAGATTACAAATTAAATTAATAATTCATCAGAATTAAATTAAAAAAACTTTATGATCGTTTAATTAAAAACAGTTTACATTTACTATTTTTTGTCAAACAATATAAAGGAAAGAATATTTATTTATATTCTTCAATATTTAAAATATATTCATTAAATATGTAATATTTTTTATAGCAAGCTTTCCTAAAATAATTTATCTTAATTTAATTAAAATAAATTTTCATGAGATAAATATAAATAATATTTAATTAGAAATATTATTCAAAAATCAATTGAATATAAAAATATATTACACTTATTGGCAAGTTAAATAAATTTTTCTGAGTAATTCCTAAGGAAGCAAATATATTTAATAATTTTTAAACTGGAAAGATGACATGAAATTAATTTTTATTTTTATTATTAATACAATTTTTAGTTTTATTTATTTAGAAATAATATAATGTTAAACAAATAATATAATTATTCTTTTAAGATATCTAACTTAGCTAGTTAGTTAGTTAGTCATTCATTTATTATTTTATTATTATTAAAATATTATTATAAAAATATAATAATTTAAAAAATATTTAATACAGACAGAATTTCTTATGACTAACAATAACTAATAAAATGTAAAAAGAAATTGAGTGGCTTGAGGCAATTGTCAATAACAATCAATCAAAAAAGAATAATAATTAAATTTTTTATTTATTTTTCAAGATCTGATTAATTTAGAAGTCTAAGTGATTTACCTAAATTTAATATTGAAGACCTCTAATAATTAATAAAAACTTTGTTACTTTTTATTTCATGATAATTACCCTGGAAATAGAAATAAAATTAAATTAGCGAACTATCTTAATGTGAGGAGATTTATTTTATAAAGTAGATAACTAAAGAAGAAATCATACAAAAATAGAAGAAATTACAATTTTATATAAATATAAACTCTATTTATGTATAAATGTAAATATTTATGGGTAATGTAAAACTACAATTTTTTTAAAGTACAGATTTTATCAAAAAAAATAGCGCATGCCCCATGAGAATTCGAAAAAAATCTATAAAATTTCTACCCTCTAATAAATTTTAAATTAATTCATTATTGTAAAAAAGAAAACAAAAGAAAAGGTGTGTTTTATCAAATTTTTGTACTAATAAATCAATTTGTTTTGTAATAAATTAATTAGTGGAAAACTTATCAAATTTTATTAATAATTAATTACTAGTAATGTTTTAATAATTTTACAATTATTAATTTATTTTTACATATTTATTATCTTAGCCTATGTAATTAATTATTTGTAATATTTATTTTTTTTAGTTCCTTTAAGTTGATCTCTGATAAGATTCTTAACGCAGCTATAAAATAGCCATAGGAAATTGTTGTGAATGGCATAATTATTACTATAAACACAGTCTTTAATACAGCTGGACACATAATTGAACCAACTGCCTTTTGACCTTCATAGGGTAGAAAAATAGATTGCCACCATGTTATGTTGCATTAAATGTACAAATTTTGATTCAGCCATCGCTTTTGATCTTGAAAATAATTAACTTCTCTTCTTTACTGATTAGCCACAACAGAAAAAAAAGATTAGAAAGCCAATTAATTAGGTTCTATTTTTAACTCTCATGTATAGCTGGAATTATTTCAAGTTAAGCTAAATGCTAAACAGATGAATCTATTAAAGTTACAAAGTTGATGACGCTATTCTAATTATAAATTTAAAATCAGAGGAAGTAGATCAAATCAAAACCTTTTTTTTAAAGTAAATTAAAAAGTTCTTTGCTAGTAATAATTTCCATTTCATGCTAAATTTAGTATTAAACTGAAAGTAGAAAATAAAGCAACCTCAAATAACCAGCTACTTAGAAAAATATTTGTGTGAAATGGCTTTAGAATAACAAAAAAAAATATATTATGTTATATTAAGTGATAATATTTAACATTCATAGTTTTCAATTCGCAAATAGAATTGGCATAAAATAAAAACCTTATTTGCTTGACAAGTTGAAAAGACGAGTTTTCTTTAGCTAGTTAAAAAGAATATGTCGGTTGCAACAATAAAATCTAACAAAATTTCTTTTACAAATTTATCAAAATTTAAATTTCTTGTAAGCAAACTGTTTTTAATTTTTTTATTTTATTAAATACGTGCATTCTATTTATTAATTAATTTATCTAGAAACTAAAATAAATTGCTGTTTGATTTGTTTAGTGTTAATTAAATAGTTAAGGACTAGATTGATCTGCATATATATGGATCACATTTTTATTTTGCTAAAAATTCATTTGTAGTAGATTGGTGGGGATTTAGTTTTGATATTTTTATTCATTATAAATGAATTAACTTACTTACTTTTTATTAGGGGTTTTGTGAATGTTGAAAACCAGAAACTTTGAAGAAAATCTAATACAATTTTATTGTTTAACTAAGTTTAATTATTAATAAGTGATAAATTTAACAAGAATTTTTAGTAGAGAACAAAGAAATTTTTATTTGAAAGTCTTCAATTTTCATGTTTTTTATTTTTTTTTATTTCATAGATTCATGCATTCAAAAAATATGTAAAACTGCATAAAGTTAATGGAAAAATCAATTGATAAATACTTAGATGTTTAAATATATTGGTTAATTTATGTAGTGTAAAATATTAATTTAATAAAAATGCAATCATCATCTTTAAAAATTATTAAATTCAAGAATTAATATTCTAATAATAATTTTTTGATTAAGACAGACCATGTTAACCAGAAAATTGATAATTATTATCAAAATTTTCTTAAACCTCATACTTACATTGAATCTTACAAATTGTGCCTTTTATTCCGAAATTTTGTATTAGTTCTTCATAATTTTAATTATTCATTATTCCCCACTTAATCTCTTTTGTTAGTAAGCTCATTTCTTATTCCATCTGAATTAATTTTTGAATAATTTGTGAATACTATTGATAAATATTAATTATCTCTTATCATTAAATAATAAATGTAATTCTATATTTCTAACTCAAGAAATAATTTTCTGAGAATAACTCTTTAGAAAAATTCAATTAAAAATGTATTAAATATTATAACTCAAAAAACTATTATAAAAAATAAATAAATCAGGTAATTTAAAATTATAAATTTTATTAAAAAAAAATAAAAAAAGCTAATTTAATAATTTTTTATTTATTACATTAATCTAGTTAATAACTTTTCTCTTTTCAGAATACTATTTAGAAAGCTGCTTTTTTCTTTTATTTTCTTTAAGTATTTACTTTTTAGAAGTGAAAGCTTATTTTAGTAAATCGACTTCACTTTTATTTTATTACTCAACTTCTTTTAAAAGTCTATTGCTTTTGTATTACATACACACACACATTCATATCTATCCAATCAGTGGAATTTTAAAACCAAGAACGAGGAATGGTTATATATGATAAAGATATTGAATTAGAAATAATTTGTAATTTGATAAAATTTTAACTTTTATTAAAATAATTATAAACTAATAAAAATAACAAAAGCATATTTCTTTTTATTTTTATTTGATTAATTATAATAAAAAAATAATAGTTTTACTGCAGCTGTTGAAACTTACTTACTTACTAATTTATTTATTATTTTAATTAATTTAATATACAAAATGTTTATAATTTTATATGAGAATGTTTCATATTATATATCAACAAAAGAGATTTAAATATAATTTGTATTTGTAATTTTTAAAACTTTTTCTCAGATTTTTTGTTATTTCTTTATTAATTAAGTAAAATAATTTTCAGAGTTTTTATATTTTAATAATATAAAAAAAAAGTAGATTTCAAATCCTATTTTTCGAAAAAACATTGATAAAGAATCATATTTTTTAAAAATAATTGGTTTAATAAATATTAGTTGAAATAAAATTTTATAGTTGTGAAGAAAAAAATGTTTAAAATTATTATATTTACAATAGAAAAAGCTTTAGATAAACATTTTTTTTAAACATTGATATTTTATTTTAAAATAAAAATCTAAGACAAAAATCATTCATATTTTATCATAAAAGAAATATCATAAGAAAAAATTTTTTTAAAAAAATAATTCATGTTTTATTTTTTAATTAAAAACATAAGTTGAACATTTTATTTTAAAATCATTCATATTTAATTTTAAATAAAAAGCTTAAGACAGACATTTTTTTGTTAAATCATTCAAATTTTATTTAAAAATAAAAAGTTTAATCCAAATATGATAAAATAATTTATTATTTCAAATTTTATTATAAAAGAAATAGATTATGATAAAGATTTAATACAAAAATATTCATATTTTATATTAAAATAAAAAGCTAACATTTGCTCTTTTAAATTTTTTTTTTATTTAATTTTTTAATCTGAAGATAACTTCTTTAGAATTACCTAATGGAAAATACTTTGCATAATCTTTGAGTATGTCAAAATCATAATACATCATTTAACTTTAACAACTTTATATATTTTTTATATTACTTTCTTAGGTTAAGAAATAAGCAGAATCTTTTTGATTGTTTCCATTGTTGGCTATTGTTTAATTCAATAATTTGAAGTTTTCCATCAATTTTTCCATTTCTTACTTAAAATTGTCATTTTAATCATGATTTAGATTTTCAAAGAAACACGATGCTCTTTATAATTATCTATAACTTATCTTTTTAATGCTTTTGCTAGTTGTCTAATGTGGTTGCTTCCTTTTCTAAGAGTTCGTATTCATACTATCAAACTTTTCTTCTGAGATTTTTGTATTTTCAGACTCTTGCTTCATACATTTATCAAATTCCTTAACAGTAATTCTTTGATTCTCATTCAATAGAGTTATTGAATTTTATACAAAAGCTTCGAAACCATTTAAATTAAGTTTTTCAGTACTTTATTCTTGCTTATATGCTGAATTTGACTCCTGTTAATTATGTTAATCCTACATAAAAAAACTAAATTAATATTAGTACATTTTAACATAAATATAAATATGGGTAAATTAATTTTAGTATGATAAAATTTACATCTAAATCCTAAGCTGATTGCTTATTTATAACAAAAATGCTTTACTTCCTGATACAATTCTCTCCACCTTTTTATGAAATGTTATTCTAAGAATTCTTTTTAGAATCAAGCTCTTTTTGTGATTATTTTTGTTATAATTTTTATTAATGATCTGAATTATTATTATCAGAAACTGATTCTTCATCTTCATCGCTTAGTGTTATATTAAACTATTCTAAAACATCTATAAACTTCAATTTTTTCAAATCCTCTATAAAAGTCAATGCATTGTGATTAATAACAGATTGAATATATAAAGGATTAATATTTTTTATTTTATTTCGCTAATGAAATACTCTTTTCTAGGTCTCTTATTAGTTTACACTTTATGAAATGTAAATTTGATTCTTGTCAAAGTTAACCAATTTACAATTTAAATCTTAGTGAAAGAAAGAATGGCAAAAATTACATTTCATATTCAAATCCTAAAAGTTTGAATAAAATAATATTTTATCCTTTAATTCACAAAATTTTTAATATTCTTAATCATTTTCTTTAATAATTCTTATGAAATCTGTTCTGTTAATTTTTACAATTTGAGTAAACATAGTTGATTTTAAACCATGATTTTTAGAAATTCCACTTATAAATTCAATAAGCCCAAAGTTTTTTCCTGCACCTAGCTTCTTTTTATTGTCACTACCGTGTACATTTTCCTCTCCTTGACTGGTTTAAATTTCCACGAATTAATTTTAATAATCATCTTAAATATAATAGAAAAAATTTTTTATTAAATTTACGCTCTCCTTAAATGATAAATAATAGCGACTAGTCAGTGTTATCAATCTTAAGTTTTTGATTAGGTAAATAAAATTCTTCTTCAATATAGAGAGCGATATCTTAAAGAGCTTTATAGCTTATTATTTTATTAAACAAAATATCAATTTATGAAATAATTTCTTTGTATTATTCTCTCTTTAAGCTTTCTTGTAAATCGATTGATAACTTACTAACCACTAATTATTTATTTTATTTTTCTTCCTAAAAGTTATTTTGGTAATACTGCTACATATACAAATTAACATTTGCCTACAATTCCCTATTTTAATCATCAAAAAAATATTTTTATTCATTCATTTTTTTATTATTTTTATAGAGGTATTTTTTAAAAAATTATTAATTTAATGTATTGTTATTTTTAAAACTAAAAAATATATTTTGAAATATAAATAATAATCAGAAAAGAACAAACATTTTTTTTGAAAATAATTGGTTTAATAAAATATTGGTTGAATTAAATTTTATGGTTGATAAGAAAATTATTTTTTATTACATAAGAAAAAGCTTTAGATAAACATTTTTTTTAAACATTGATATTTTATTTTAAAATAAAAATCTTAGACAAAAATCATTCATATTTTATTGTAAAAGAAATATCATAAGAAAAAAATTTTTTTTTAATCTTTCATATTTTATTTTTTTAAAAAAGCTTAAGTTGAACATTTTATTTTAAAATCATTCATATTTTATTTTAAAATAAAAAGCTTAAAGCAAACATTTTTTTGTTAAATAATTAAAATTTTATTTAAAAATAAAAAGATTAATACAAATATTTTTAAGTAACTCATTGAAATTTTATTATATAAAAAATAGATTAAAATAAAGACTTAATAGTAAAACATTCATATTTTATTTTAAAATAAAAAGCTAACATTTGCTCTTTTAAATTTTTTTTTGATTTGATTTTTTAATCTCAAGATAACTTCTTTCGAATTACCTAATGGAAAATATTTAGCATAATCTTTGAGTATGTCAAAATCATAATACATCATTTAACCTTAACAATTTTTAAAAAATTTTATATTACTATCTTAGGTTAAGAAATAAGTAGAGTTTTTTTGATTGTTTCCATTGTTGGTTATTGTTTAATTCAATAATTTGAAGTTTTCCATCAATTTTTACATTTCTTACTTAAAATTGTCATTTTAATCATGATTTAGATTTTCAAAAAAACATGATGCTCTTTATAATTATCTATAACTTATATTTTTAATGCTTTTGCTAGTTGTCTAATGTGGTTGCTTCCTTTTCTAAGAGATCGTATTCATACTATCAAATTTTTCTTCTGAAATTTTTGAATTTTCAGACTCTTGTTTCATACATTTATCAAATTCCTTAACAGTAATTCTTTGATTATCATTCAATAAAGTTATTGAATTTTATAAAAAAGCTTCGAAACCATTTATATTTAGTTTTTCATTACTTTATTCTGGCTTATATGCTGAATTTGAGTCCTATAAATTTTGTTAATCCTAGTTTAAAAAAATAAATTAATATGAATACATTTATTTTAACATAAAATATGAGTAAATAAATTTTAAAATGAAAAATTTACATCTATATCCTATGATTGTTTATTTATAACAAAAATACTATGCTTTCTAATACAATTTTCACCAACTTTTTATGAAATATTATTTTAAGAATTCTTATTAGAATCAAACTCTTTTTGTGATTATTTTAATTATAATTTTTATTATTGATCTGAGTTATTATTAACAGAAATTGATTCTTCATCTTCATCACTTAGTGTTATATTAAACTATTCTAAAATATCAACATCCTTCAATTTTTTCAAATCCTCTATAAAAGTCTATGCATTGTGATTAATAATAAATTGAATATATAAAGGATTTATATTTTTTATTTTATTTCGCTAATGAAAAACTCTTTTCTGGGCCTCTTATTAATTTATACTTTATGAAATGTAAATTTTATTCTTGTCAAAGTTAACCAATTTACAATTTAAATCTTAGTGAAAGAAAGAATGGCAAAAATTACATTTCATATTCAAATCCTAAAAATTAGAATAAAATAATATTTTATCCCTTAATTCACAAAATTTTTAATAATCTAAATCATTATCTTTAATAATTCTTATGAAATCTGTTCTGTTAATTTTTACAATTTGAGTAAACATAGTTGATTTTAAACCATGATTTTAAGAAATTCCACTTATAAATTCAATAAACCCAAAGTTTTTTCCTGCACCTAGCTTCTTTTTATTATAATTGCTGTTTATATTTTCCTCTCCTTGACTAGTCTAAAATTCCACTAATTATTTTTAATAATCATCTTAAATATTATAGAAAAAATTTTAAATTAAATTTACCTTCTCCTTAAATGATAAATAATAGCGACTAGTCAGTGTTATCAATCTTAAGTTTTTGATTAGGTAAATAAAATTCTTCTTCAATATAGAGAGCGATATCTTAAAGAGCTTTATAGCTTATTATTTTATTAAACAAAATATCAATTTATGAAATAATTTCTTTGTATTATTCTCTCTTTAAGCTTTCTTGTAAATCGATTGATAACTTACTAACCACTAATTATTTATTTTATTTTTCTTCCTAAAAGTTATTTTGGTAATATTGCTACATATACAAATTAACATTTGCCTATAACTCCCTATTTTTAATTATATAAAAAAATATTTTTATTCATTTATTTTTTTATATTTTGTAAGAGCTATTTTTTTATAAAAATGTTAATTTAATGTAATGTTATTTGTAAAATTATAAAATATATTTTGAAATATAAATAGTTATCAGAAAATACACTTCCTAACTAAAAATAGATAAGAATGTGTCAGATGATCACCTTTAATGAATAAATTTAATCTTAATTTATTATTAAATTTTTATTAGAACAGAATTAACCAGTTTCTAATAAATTTAAAATCTGTTAAATAATTTAATTTAATTTATTATTATTAATTTACTTTGATATACTGCTTTAACGCATGTAATTGTTAATGACGTTCATGTCTTACTTTCTTTTTAGATCATTAGAGTTCATCTCAGATAAAATATCCCCAATAATAGTAACTATATATCCAAAAGAAATGCTCGTGAAAAGCATAATTATTACTGTAAACATGATTTCTAAATTAGCTGAACAAATATTTGATCCAGTAGACATTAAAGTTAAAGACCAATAAAGAGAAGAAAAATAAATTTACCACCAGAATGCATCAGTATACATATCATCAGCCAGCCATGATTTCTGATTTTTCAAATAATTGATTTCTACATATCCGATTAGGAACCAAAGACAAGAAATGATGTGACCAATAAAAAATAAACCGAAAATAAGATTGATAAGCTGAATTAAGTAGTGCTTTTTGACTCTCATACAAAGTTGCAATTCTACATACTTCAAATCATGAATTATGTTAAGCAATTTAAGGAACTAAAAGACTTAAAACAGCAAAGCTGAAGAAGTATGTTCAAATTGCGAATTTAGTATCAAAGGAACTAAATCAAATAAGAGCTTCTTTTTAATATAAATTAAGAAAGCTCTACCTCTACTAGTAATTATTTCCATGTCTTGCTAAATTTAAGAATTAAGATTGAAAATTAATTCAATCAACCACACAATATTGATTATTTAGAAAACTTTTTTTGAGAAATCATCATCTACTTAAAAGACTATAAAAATTGAGAATAAAAGCAAATAAATTATGTTCAGCCAAACAAGAATAAGCTTGATATAAAAACCTGATTTGCTTGATAGATTGTAAAGAGGAATTTTTTTTAAGTAATTGAATACAGTAAATTTGCTACAACATTTTTCTAGAGTTTTAAAAAACGTTTCTTTTTCTTCAATTGAATCACTGGAGTCGTTTATCATTAAGCGCATCTCACTACTCAACAATTTAGATTCTTTTGTCTTATTAAAGCTTAGTTTAAAATTTTTTAGTCTTAGTTTTAGCTTTGCGACCCATATCATAGCTTTAGAAGGATAATTTTTAAAGTTATTAGTTCGAATATTATTATTATTTTAATTTGTTTGTAGAGATTCACAACATTAAGTATCATTCCTCTAATCCCTTGTAGGTATCGATTAATCTATCTAATTTATACGAGATATTTCATTAAAGTTTGAAGTATCTATTTCAATAGTCCTACTTCTACTACTTGTCAATTTTGAAATGTATTAAAACTTACGACCATTTTAATTCTTAAAGCTTATAGACTTTATCTATGAGCTGCCCAAATCGCTGTCATATCTTTATAAAATATCCTAGTTTTATTCTATTTAAATATTTTACTATATTTTTAGATTTTCTTTTTTGCCGTTTATGATAAATTATGAATCATTCCATAATAATTCATCTTCTTAAAATATTTTATTTCTGACTTGCTCCCAGTCTTTAGATTTAATAGCTTCTCCTTAGTTCTAGCGAGTTTTATCTATCTGTATATCTAATATTGACATTTATATGATCACGAATATTTTTTATGTTGTATGTTAATAATTTCTTAATAATTAATTTGCTTTTCTAATTAGCTATTTTTAATTTATTTACTTTTTAAATATACTACTCTAAGTTTTTTGTATTATTTTATTTAAAAATTATTATGTAATAAACATTTATCAAATAAATAATTTATAAAATACACTTTTGATTTCATTTCCTATTGAATTTTCTTTAGTGAGAAAAAATTACTGTTAATCAATATGTATTTCTTATTTGAATAAATTTAAACTCACTCAAATCGAAAGTAAAAGTCAAAATATTTATTTAAAGCACTTCCCAGTAAATATTATTTTTTTTAATTTGGCCTAATAGTCTTTTAAAGAAAGAATAAAATATTTGAATTAATAAAAATAGATATTATTTCTACCATCAAATGAATCTTAAATTAGCTTGACATTATCATAAATTTTATATTAATTATTGTTAATAAGGCAAACAAACAAATATATAATTAATTTATCATATACAGTAATAATAAAAAACTAGTTTTATTAGTGGGAATTTGACAATGTAAATTAATAATTATTAGAAATATATAATTTCATCAGTTTTATTAAAAAAAATTTAATTATAAATTTTATTTTCATGTATAATTGTATGTAATTATTTATAATGTTCGCGTCTTACTTTTTTTAGATCCTTTGAGTTCATCTCGAATCAGAAATTTGACAAAGGAAATCATTGTGAATAGCATTCTTATTACTGTAAACGTAATCTCTAAATTAGCTGAACAAATATTTGAACTCGTTGTTTTTAGTGTTGTTGGCCATTATATGTAGAAAAATATATATACCAGCTAGTTGCATTAGTATACATATCTTGATTCCGTCATCATTTTTGATCTTGAAAATAATTTACTTCAAAATAGCTGATTAGTTACCATAAGCATAAAAGATTTGTAGGCTGAATTAGATAATGCTTTTAACTTTCATTTAAAATTGCAATTCTACAAGAACCAAGTTAAGGTTAATGTTAAACAATTTAATTAATTAAAAAAATTAAAACAGCAAAATTGATGGTTGCTTTCTAATTATAAATTTATAATCAGCGGAAGTAGATCAAATAAAAACCTTTTTTTGAAAATAATTTAAAAAAGCTCTTCATCTGCAAGTAATAATTTCTATTTATGCTTAATTTAGCAATTAAAATTGAAAACTAATTCAACCAACCACACGTTATCAAAAACTTAGAAAATATTTGTGAGAAATCTTTTTATGGTAAAAAGCAAAAATTTTACATTCAGTTTAATTGAAAATATTCAACTCTTAAAAGCAAATAAATTCAATTCTAAAACTTTAACATTTTAGATAAAATAGAATTCATTTAAAACAAACCTCTTTTGCTTGTTATTAAAAAGAGTAAATTTGCTACAGCACCTTTCAATAACTTCTAAAAGCTTTATTTTACAAAGTTATCCTAATTTAAATTTTTTGTAAGCAAACTCTTTTGTATTTTTTTATTTTATTAAAAGCATTCATTCTTATTATAAAATTAAAAAGCATATTGCTTTTTTGATTTGTTTAATGTTAATTAAGTTAGTAAAGGACTAGATCAATCAGCATATAAATCATATTTTTATTATGCTAAAAATTCTTTTGTAGTTAATCGATAGGGGTTTAATTTCAATTTTTTTCCAGAGTAAATGAACAAATTTACTTAATACTGCATCATTTTTATGAATAAACCACTAAATTTGAAAGTATAAAATCACTAGTGTATTGATTGATTGAAGAAAGGACAATAAGCTCTTAAAGAAGAAATTTTTTTAATACTCACCATCAAATAATCTAATTCATAGTGAAAGAAAGAATAGCATATAAATTACTAATTCAAATCCTAAATATTTGAATAAAAAATATTTTGTCTCTTATCACACAAAATTTTTGATATTCTGAATCATTCTATTTAATAGTTCTAACAAAATCAAAATTGATTTATTTTAACTATATTAGTTAATATGCTTGATTTGAGTGTATGATTTGAGGATATTCTAGTAACCAATTTGACCACGCCAAATATCCCGCAATACTTTAATTTCTTTATCTTTACACATTAAACCTCTCCTTTATATATAAATATATTTTGATAATGAAATATTATGAAGTAGTAATAATAATAAATTAAATGATATAAAATTTGTATCAAAATTAGATATAAGCTGATTCCTTGTTAAATAATTAATTAATTAGTGGATAATTCAGTAATATAGTAATATGAATTTATAGTAATTAAATTTATTTGTTTACTTTGATTAATTAACTTAACGCATATAATTATTGATTAAGTTGGTGTCTTGTTTTCTTTTAAGATCATTTTAGTTCATCTCAGATAAAATGTCTTCAATAATACTAATTAAATAAATAACCTAAGCAGATACTTGAAAAAAGCATAATTATTGATGTAAACATTTTCTGATCAAACACTTGAGTATGTAGACATTAGTGTTAAAGACCGTAGTAAAGAACAGAAAAGTAAATGTACCATCAGAATGCATTTTTCTACCATTTTGAGGCAACTATGAGTGTCGATCATGCAAATAATAATTTTCTGCATATCCTATAAAGTACAAGAGAAAAGAAATGATATGAGATAATCAAATAATAAAATGTTTCTTTAATTTTATGCAAAACTGCAATTGTATGAATTTCAAATCATGATTAATGTTAAACAGTTTAAGAAAATAGAAGATATAAAATATTAACAATGAGGAGTTGTGTTCTAGATGTGAATTTAAAATCAAAGGTAACAAATAAAAAAATCAAATAATTTTTTTAGAAATAAATTTTAAAGACTCTTTCTCTGATTGTAATAATTTCCTTAACTTGCTGCATTTATGAATTAATATTGAAAATTAATCATCTAACCACAAGAAATATCAATAATTTAAAAAGCTTTTTAGGAGAAACTATCTTAGACCTAAAACACTATAAAAATTCAGAATAATAGTAAATAAATAAGTAAATAATGTTAAGCAAAACAAGAGTTAATAACATATAATCATAATTTGCTTAAAATAATTAGTGAGGGGAATCTATCTTTAAAGAATTAAAAATGGTAAATTTTATTAAGCATTTTTCAACAGTTTAAAAGAAGTTTTCCTTCTCTTCATATTAAATTGCTTGAATTATTGGTAATTAGACCGATCTCGCTGCTTATCATTCTAGGCTTTTGAAATTTATTAATCGCTTCATAAAAATTCTTAGTCTAATTTCCATTTTTTGATCAATACCATGGTTTTATAAAATTAGACTTATTTGTTATTTGTTGGATTTTTTATTACCTTTTTTAAATATTTAGTGGGCTATATAAGATTCCTCTTTTCTAATCCATTAAAGCCATTAAGTTTTATGTTTAATTAATTTTAGATGTATATATTATGTTTGAAACATCAATTTCAATAATTTTATTCTTAGTTCTACTTGTAGAATAAATTGGAATCTGCAATTACTTAAATTCTTTAAACCAAAAGCTATTAATCTGATTAAAAATTTAATCTTTACAACCATTTAAATTTAAGAAAATTTAAATATTTTAAAATATTTTTTATGTCTTTTGCTTTCAACTATGCTGATTTATTAATAATTCCATAGAAACTCCTACTCAATAAATTTTTGTTTTTGATTTGATGCCAACCTTCTGATTTCATAGCTCTCTCTTCAATCTCTTTAGATTACTTTTTAAAATATTTTTTTTTCCTCAAACTTTTTGCAGTTTTGCTCATTTTTTAAAAATAATTGTGCTTTAGAATTTATTTCACATTTATATTTTTAATTAGAATATTATGTTGAACTTATTTACAAAATAATTTGATTTATTAGCTACTACTTTTTTGTATAAGTTATTATTTAGATAGAGTTTTAATAAGTATTTGCTAATATTTTTTGAGAAAGGTAAATTCAAAAATAAATATTAGTATCTAGTATAAATATTTTTATTTAAAATAAAATTTTCATATATTAAAAACTTATTATATATAAATACTTACTAATAATTACTACTATTACATTTGTATTTACTCTAATTATGCTTATATATTTGTAAATTTAATATACAAAATTAAGAGAAAATCTTAATTCTTTTGCTAATTATTTCTATCAATTAAATCAATTTAGATTACATAATTTCAGATTAATTATTTTAATAAATCATAAAAATGCTTTTTAATTTTATGAAATATTGATTTGTCTTATTAAGTTAATATAACAAGTATTTTTTTAAATGATATAAATAATATAATTTTATCTTCGATGATAATATATTTATTAAATAACATATAAAAATTAACTCCACCTCTTTCTTAATTCAGTCAAAGAGTAAATTTTTATGTAAAAAATTCTTTCAAATTTAGGGTTTAGTAAAAATAAATTTTCCCTAAATAAAAGGACATACAGTAATTACAAATAACGTTCTTTTTAACAATTAATAATTATACTGCAGTTTTTGAATCTTACTTACTTACTTACTTACTTACTTACTTACTTACTTACTTACTAATTACATATACAGGATAAGAATATATTTATAACTTTATAGCAAAATGGTACTACTATTTTTATCAATTAAAAAATAGAGATTTAAATATATAATTGGTATTTGTGTGAGTATTTGTAATTTTTAAAACATTTGTCTGAGAATTTTTGTTATTTTTTTATTGATTATGTAGAATAATATTCAAAGAGTTTTTATATTTTAATAATATAAAAAAAATAAGGTTTCAAATCCTATTTTATTACAAAAGAAAAAGCTTTAGACAAATATTTTTTTGAAACATTCATATTTTATTTTAAAACAAAAAGTTTAAGACAAAAATCATTCATATTTTATTTTAAAATAAAAAGCTAAATACAAACAAATATTATAAAATAATTCATTCATATTTTATTAAAAAAGAAATAGATTAAAACAAATACTTTAAACATTCATATTTTATAATAAAAGAAATAAATTAAGACAAAGGCTTAATAGAAAAATATTCATATTTTATTTTAAAATAAAAAGCTAACATTTGCTCTTTTAAATTTTTTTTTTATTTAATTTTTTAATCTGAAGATAACTTCTTTAGAATTACCTAATGGAAAATATTTTGCATAATCTTTGAGTATGTCAAAATCATAATACATCATTTAACTTTAACAGTTTTTAAAATTTTTTATATTACTTTCTTCGGTTAAGAAATAAGAAGAGTTTTTTTGATTGTTTCCATTGTTGGTTATTGTTTAATTCAATAATTTGAAGTTTTCCATCAATTTTTACATTTCTTACTTAAAATTGTCATTTTAATCATGATTTAGATTTTCAAAGAAACATGATGCTCTTTATAATTATCTAATACTTATATTTTTAATGCTTTTGCTAGTTGTCTAATGTGGTTGCTTCCTTTTCTAAGAGATTGTATTCATACTATCAAACTTTTCTTCTGAAATTTTTGTATTTTCAGACTCTTGTTTCATACATTTATCAAATTCCTTAACAGTAATTCTTTGATTTTCATTCAATAGAGTTATTGAATTTTATACAAAAACTTCGAAACCGTTTAAATTAAGTTTTTCAGTACTTTATTCTTGCTTGTGTGCTGAATTTGACTCCTATTAATTTTGTTAATTCTACTTAAAAAAAAAACTAAATAATTAATATGAGTAAATTTTAACATAAATATAAATATGAGTAAATTAATTTTAGTATGATAAAATTTACATCTAAATCCTAAGCTGATTGTTTATTTAGAACAAAAATGCTTTACTTCCTAATACAATTCTCTCCTCCTTTTTATGAAATATTATTTTAAGAATTCTTTTTAGAATCAAGCTCTTTTTGTGATTATTTTTATTATTGTTTTTATTAATGATCTGAATTATTATTATTATCAGAAATACAATCTTCATCTTAATCACTTAGCGTTATATTAAACTATTCTAAAACATCTATATCCTTCAATTTTTTCAAATCCTCTATAAAAGTCAATGCATTTTGATTAATAGCAAATTAAATATATAAAGGGTTTATATTTTTTATTTTATTTCGCTAATGAAAAACTCTTTTCTGGGTTTCTTATTAATTTACACTTTATGAAATGTAAATTTTATTCTTGTCAAAGTTAACCAATTTACAATTTAAATCTTAGTGAAAGAAAGAATGGCAAAAATTACATTTCATATTCAAATCCTAAAAGTTTGAATAAAATAATATTTTATCCCTTAATTCACAAAATTTTTAATAATCTAAATCATTATCTTTAATAATTCTTATGAAATCTGTTCTGTTAATTTTTACAATTTGAGTAAACATAGTTGATTTTAAACTATGATTTTTAGAAATTCCACTTATAAATTCAATAAGCCCAAAGTTTTTTCCTGCACCTAGCTTCTTTTTATTATAATTGCTGTTTATATTTTCCTCTCCTTGACTAGTCTAAATTTCCACTAATTAATTTTAATAATTATCTTAAATATAAAAGAAAAATTTTTAAATTAAATTTACCTTCTCCTTAAATGATAAATAATAGCGACTAGTCAGTGTTATCAATCTTAAGTTTTTGATTAGGTAAATAAAATTCTTCTTCAATACAGAGAGCGATATCTTAAAGAGCTTTATAGCTTATTATTTTATTAAACAAAATATCAATTTATGAAATAATTTCTTTGTATTATTCTCTCTTTAAGCTTTCTTGTAAATCAATTGATAACTTACTAACCACTAATTATTTATTTTATTTTTCTTCCTAAAAATTATTTTGGTAATATTGCTACATATACAAATTAACATTTGCCTACAATTCCCTATTTTTAATCATCAAAAAAATATTTTATTCATAAATTTTTTTGTTTTTTTGTGTGAGGTATTTTTTTATAAAAATAAATATTAAAAAATGTTTTGTTATTTGTAAAATTAAAAAATATATTTTGAAATATAAATAATAATCAGAAAAGAAAGACACTTCCTCTTAAAAATTGATGAGAATGTGTCGAATTGATGGATGAACACCTTTAATGAATAAACTTAATCTTAATTTATTATTAAATTATTATTAGAACAGAAATAACCAGTTTGTTATAATAATTGAAAATATGTTAAATAACTTAATTTATTTTATTATTATTAATTTACTTTGATATACTGCTTTAACGCATATAATTGTTAATGACGTTCATGTCTTACTTTCTTTTTAGATCATTAGAGTTCATCTCAGATAAAATATCCCCAATAATAGTAACTATATATCCAAAAGAAATGCTCGTGAAAAGCATAATTATTACTGTAAACATGATTTCTAAATTAGCTGAGCAAATATTTGATCCAGTAGACATTAAAGTTAAAGACCAATAAAGAGAAGAAAAATAAATTTACCACCAGAATGCATCAGTATACATATCATCAGCCAGCCATGATTTCTGATTTTGCAAATAGTTGATTTCTACATATCCGATTAGGAACCAAAGATAAGATATAATGTGACCAATAAAAAATAAACCGAAAACAAGATTGATAAGCTGAATTAAGTAGTGCTTTTTGACTCTCATACAAAGCTGCAATTCTACATACTTCAAATCATGAATTATGTTAAACAATTTAAGGAACTAAAAGACTTAAAACAGCAAAGCTGAAGAAGTATGTTCGAATTGAGAATTTAGTATCAAAGGAACTAAATCAAATAAAAGCTTCTTTTTAATATAAATTAAGAAAGCTCTACCTCTACTAGTAATTATTTCCATGTCTTGTTGAATTTAAGAATTAAGATTGAAAATTAATTCAATCAACCACACAATATTGATTATTTAGAAAATTTTTTTTGAGAAATCATCATCTACTTAAAAGACTATAAAAATTGAGAATAAAAGTAAATAAATTATGTTCAGCCAAACAAGAATAAGCTTGATATAAAATCCTGATTTACTTGATAGATTATAAAGAGGAATTTTTTTTAAATAATTGAATACAGTAAATTTGCTACAACATTTTTCTAGAGTTTCAAAAAACGTTTCTTTTTCTTCAATTGAATCACTGGAGTCGTTTATCATTAAGCGCATCTCACTATTCAACAATTTAGATTCATATGCCTTATTAAAGTTTAGTTTAAAGTTTCTTAGCCTAAGTTTTAGCTTTGTGACCCATATCATAGCTTTAGAAGGATAATTTTTAAAGTTATTAGTTCGAATATTATTATTTTTTTAATTTGTTTGTAGAGGTTCACAACCTTAAATTTCATTCTTCTAATCCTTTATAGGGATTGATTCCTCTATCTAATTTATGCGAGATAATTCATTTATGTTTGAAGCATCTAATTCAATAGTCCTACTTCTACTACTTGTCTATCTTGAAATGTACTAAAACTTACGACTATTTTAATTCTTAAAGTTTATAGGTTTTCTCTATGAGTTGCCCAAATCGCTATCGTATCTTTACAAGATATCCTAGCTTTATTATATTTAAATATTTTATTATATTGTTTGATTTTCTTTTTTGCCGTTTATGATAAATTATGAATCATTCCATAATAGTTCATCTTCTTAAAATTTTTTATTTCTGACTTGCTCCCAGTCTTTAGATTTAATTGCTTCTCCTTAGTTCTAACGAGTACTATCTATCTATATATCTAATATTGACATTTATATTATTACAAATATTTCTTATGCTGTATGTTATTAATTTCTCTTAAAAATTAATTTGCTTTTCTAATTAGGTTTACTTAATTTATTTACTTTTTGAATATGCTACTCTAAGTTTTTTGTATTATTTTATTCTAAATTAATTATGCAATTAAATAGTTATATAATATACACTATTTATTTCATTTCTTATTGAATTGTTTATTAAAAAAAATAGTTATTTATCTAAATGCATTTCATAATAAAAAAAATTGAAATTCAACCAAATAGAAAGTGAATATCAAAAAATTTATTTAAAACACAATTAAATTAAATCAAGTAATAATTTCCACTTCATATATGCTGAATTTAGTTTGAAAACTAATTCAACCAACCACACACAATCAAAAACTAAAAAAATAATTTTGTGAGAAATTGTTTTATGGTAAAAAACAAATATATTACATTCATTTTAATTGAAAATATTCAACTCTTCACAGCAAATAAATTAAATTCCTAAACTTTAATATTTTAGCTAAAATAGTATTAGCATAAAATAAAATATTTTTTGCTTGACAGGTTGAAAAGAGGAATTTCTTTTGTTAATTAAAAGTAGTAAATTTGCTCCAACATTTTTCAATCATCTCTACAAGCTTTCATTTACAAAGTTATCAAAATTTAAATTTTTTGTAAGCAAACTGCTTTGTATTTTTTTATTTTGTTGAAAGAATTCATTCTTAATAATTAAATAAGTTAATAACTAGATCGATCTGCATATGAATCATATTTTTATTATGCTAAAAATTCTTTTGAAATAAATTGGTGTGGGTTTAATTTCAATTTTTTTTCCATCCAGAGTAAATGAATAAATTTACTTTAATCTTTTCCAATACTTAATTTATTTTTATCTTTACAGTGTATCCCTCTCCTTTATGTAATAAATATATTTTGTTTAAAAAAACCATGAAGTAGAAATAATTTTCAATTAAATGATAGAAAGTTTTTATTAGGATTAGATATAAACTAAAAGTTTATTAAATAATCAATTAAATAGTTTGTTTGTGGATATTTCAGTAATATGAATTTATAATAATTAAATTTATTTGTTTAATTTGATATATTAACTTAACGCTTATAAATTATTGATTAAGTTAGTGTTTTATTTTCTTTTAAGATCATTTTAGTTCATCTCAGATAAAATGTCTTGAATAATACTAATTAAATAATCAAAGTAGATATTTGAAAAATCATTGAATTTATTTATTTAAAGATAATTTCTAAGTTAGTTTTTTATTTCTAACTTACTACCAATCTTCTAATTTTATAGCTATTCCTTAGTTTTAGAGAATCTCTTCAATCTATATATCTTAGATTGGCATTTAAATTTTCAAAAATATTTTAATTACTATGAATAAATGTGTTTTACAATTTAAGTCACTTTTATAGTATTTTTAATTAGATTTTTTTGTTGAACCTATTTAAAAACAAATTTGATTTATTAGCTACTACTATTTTGTGCAAATTATTGGCTAGCGAGAGTTACAATGAATATCTGCTAATATTTTTTGAAAAAAATATATTAAAAAATAATACATTTTAAATGAACATATAGTAAATACTTAAAATATATAAATACTTGCTTATAATCACTATTATTATATTTGTATTTATTTTAATGATGCTTTAATTGATAAATTTAATTTACGAAGTTAAGCAAAAATCTTCATTCTTATTGCTAATTTATTGCTCTCTAGTAGATAAACTTAGCTCACAAAAATTCAGTATTAATTATTTTAATAAATCATAAAAATACTTATCATATAATGTAATGATGATGAAATTCATTTTTTTAGTTATTATTTCTTAAAAAACTAATTTTTTAAATGCATACATAAAACAAAATAATTTTATTTTCAGATGTTAATATATTAATAAAATAATAAAAAATATATATTATATACTGCCGTTTCTCTTTAACTACCACCACTTTTTTACCTAAATCAAAAAGCGAATTTTGGTGTTTAAAAAAATTTATTTACTGTAAAAAAAATTTTTTTACTCTCAAAATTTGAAAAAAGGTTTCTGTCTGTATTTTGATTAATTTTTGTAAAATATAAGAAATCAAATATAAACAAAATAATTAAGATTTAAAAAAATAAAATATTCATTAGTAATATAAAAATTATTTGAAATATCACAAATCATGATATCATGATCTGTGATATTTTTAATGCAGGAACAGCTATAGTAATTACAAATTAATAAATAGGTTCTACTTATGTTTTTAATAATAATTCAATTTTTTGATGGCACAAAAAAGCTTCTATGCGCTCTTTTTAACTTCTTTTTAACTTATTTTTGCAGTCTTAATTGAATTTCTTTAAAGTTTCCACAAACAAAATAGCTTTCGAAATCTTTTTGTAAATCAAATTCATAATCTATGAGTTATAGGTACTAAAAACTTCCTTTTTTTTTGTTTGTTTATTAAAAATCTTAAATTTTTTTGAAGAGATTTATATTATGAGTGTTATTATTAATATTAAAGTTACTATTATTAATGTTATTGTTATTATTATTGCAGTTGTTGTTGTTGTTGTTGTTGTTGTTATTATTATTATTGCTTTAAAATATCTAACTCAGTAACTAAAAAGAACTTTCAAACTATTTTTATAAGATTTATTTTTAGTTATTTTCTTATGGATTTTCAAAGATAGAACTTAATGGAGATTTAAATTTTTAATTCTAAATATCTTTTTATGTAATTTAAAATGTTTATTTTTTATTTTGAATTGTGAAGTTTTAAATATCAATTTTATCTTCTGAATGACATTTATTAATTTTTTCGAAATCTTTAATAGCAGTAATATGATTTTCATTCAATACTGGCTAGGAATTCTAATTTCTATTTGATTCATTACTTTATTATATCACTCGGTCCGATAAGAAATCATATTTTAGTATTTAAATAGAATCAAATCCTATTTATTATTCCTAAATATTTAAATTCGCAAAAATATATTTAATAAATAATTATATATATATGTATATATTTACATCTAGGTCTTTAAATGATTATTTATTTGGTAAATTTCTCCCTAATGTGCTTTGCTTTCTTAAGCCCTAGTCTATTTTTTAATGAGCTACATTTTATGAATACTTCTATGATTCAAATTCTAATTCTTATTCTTCTTACGATTGCTGTAGCTATGATTATGATGACCTCTCTTCAAATTAAGATTATTCTGTATCACTGATAGTTAAATCTAGTAGTTCTATTATATCTGTTTCTTTTAACTTCTTAATGTCGCCTATAAAGTTTTATGCCTGCTCATTTACGCTTTAAATAATTATTAATGGGTTGTGATTTTTTAAATTTAGTCTCTTAAAAGGAATTCTTTTTTGCTATTCTTATTAGTTAATTTTTTATTTGTAATATATTTATTTTCGGTTAATATTAATAAGTTCACAACTTTTGTCTAAATGATAGAAAGAGTTACAAATGTTGCATTTTAAATTGAGGCTTTTAAATTCTTCATAAAATTGAATTCTATCTTTCAGCTCGCAAAATTTTTAATACTCAACCTCATTTTTTTATACAACCTTCAAAAAATCTACTCTATTAATCTTCACTACTTTAGTGAACATGCTCGATTTCGCATTACTTTCAGAAGAAATCCCAGTTATAAAATTAATTAGGCCAAAATGTTGTCCAACATTTAATTTAGCTCCTTTTTCGCGTGAATACTCTTATGCATCATTTTAAAATATCGTCACTTTTAAATTTAGGTTAATAATTATTTTTATGACTTCAATAAAAATTATACATTATCCTTATGTTATAAAAAGCAAAAATTATCCGTCGTTTAAGTTAAGCTTCTAGTTTGGCAAATAAAACTCTTCTGACATGAACAAAGTGAGGTCTTCTATAGTCTAGATACATAGTAAATTTTTAAATAGAAAATCTATTTGGGGTACAAGACTTTTAAATTATTCTCTCTTTAAGCAATCTTACAAATCAGCAGGAAGCTTATCTAAAACTTATTAATTACTTTATTGTTCTTCAAAGAAGTTATTTTAGTAATATTATTATAGATACAAGTTAACTTAAGCTTGCAGCTCCCTTCATAAATAAAATAATAATAAAAAATACAAATTTATTGTATTTAGTAAATATTTTAAATTAGAAAAAATTAAATAATCAAATATAGAAATTATTTTATTTAAGGTTTTATTTATGTAAGAAATGTATTAGAGGGTAGTGAGAATGATAAGAATAACACATTTTTTTGAATAATTTTCGTTAAATTTTTTATTAAAATAAGAAAGAATTTACTTTGAAATATTAGTTTGCCTCATGTAGTTGTTAATAACATTTGTACCTTACTTCCTTTTTACCTCTTTTGTGTTAATTTCAGATAAAATATCACCAATAATTGTAATTATATAACCAAAGGACATGCCTGAAAACAAAATGATTACTGTTGTGAACATAATCTCTAAATTTGCTGAGCAAATATTAGAACCAGTGGAAATCAAAGTCAAGGACCAGTAAAGAGCAGAAAAATAAATGTTCCACCAAAATTCATTTTTATATTAATCTTAGGCTAGCCAAGAATTATCATCTTCAAAGTACATGATTTCTATGTGACCAATTAAGTACCATAAGCAGGCAATAGTATGGCTAATGAGAAACAAACGCATAATAAGATTTGTAAGTTAAATAATATATCCATGTTTCATTCTCATACATAATTGTAATTAGATGTACTAAAAATCAGAATAAATATTAACCAATTTTAGGAATTAAAAGATTTAGATAATAAATAATTTTTAATACTCAAATATAAGCATATTCAAAGTAAAAGGAATTATATCAAAAATTAACTTTTTCTTGAGGTAAATTTTCATAGCTTTTTTTCTTTCTGTAATAATTTCAGCACCTTCTTAAGTTTAAGAATTAAAGCTAAACAAAAAATCAATCATCCATACAAAATTGATAATTTAACATACCAATTTAGAAAACTCATCATTAACCTAAAAGACTATGAAAATAGAAAGGAAAAAGAGATAGATGATACTACTTAGAACTAGTATGAGTTTTATATAAAAGCCTGACTTGCTAGAAATACTAAATAAAGGAAATTTCAAGTATTAGCAAATATAATTCTTATTAAAGTCTTACTAGCTGATATTTGACAAATTATCTCTAGTTTGTATTCCATCACTTTGATCGTTTATAATCATGCGTATATCTCTACTAAGAAGTCTTGATCTTTTAATATTAGTAAAATTTTGATAAAAACCTCTCATTTTTATTTTTATTTTTGCTATTAGAGAAACCATCTTAAAGAATTGCTTATTAGATTCAATTGTTTTGTTAATTTTACTGCCATTTTATTTTGTCCCTTGTTGTAAGTTGGTTTATTCTCTTGATAAAAGTTCACGCTATGGCTAATTTAAAAATGTTATTTCATTTAAATTAGATATTTCCAGTTCAATTGTCCCAGTTCTACTAGAGCTTTTTTTAGAGAACAAATTCCGTCTTCGTGTATTTTAACTCTTAATGCTTTGGTTCATAGACTTCAAGCACTTTTCATCGCTATTTTAAATCATATCATTCTCTAATTTTTAAAAAATCTAATTTGGATTTAAAGGCTTTTCTTTGGCTTCATTTATTTTTAATTATGAATCATTCCATAAAAGATCTTCTTCCTCAAAGACCTTTTTTCTAACTAGCTCCCAATCTTTAGATTTTATAGATTCACCTTAATTATAGCGAGTAGCCTCGATTTTCAAATCTTTAATCGACATTTATGGGTTAATTTATTCCTACTTCAAATGATTAAATAATCTTTCTTCTTTAAGCTTTTTGGCCTATTTCTTAATTAATATTGTGATTAATATACTAAAAATACAAATTTTATTTAATTTTAAAAAAAAATTTTAGTATAGAATAATTGTTAAACGATTAAAGTTTTTTAAAAACCCTAAAAATAGATTAAAATTGAATAAAAAAAAGTAGAAAATTAGAGGGGATTAACCATGAAAAATTTATTAACTAATTCTTTCTAAAAAATGTATTAATTGCAGAAAATAAAATACAATTTTAATATGCATTAAATATTTTTTGAGAAAAATTCGTGACTAAAAAATTGTAATACAAAACTAAAAAATAAAATAAGTTAATTTAAACGATTTTTTAACATAAATATAAATTAAATAAGAATTTTTTTTACTTTATTATGATTAAAATCTAATTGACGCATTTAATTACACACTATTTAATATTTATACTTATATTTAATTTTTAACTTAAACCCTTTGTCTTAATTGATTTTTATTAATAATTTATTAAATATCTTATTTTATCTTAATTTATCCTTTTTAAAGCCAGCCAACCCGTTGTGCGGTTTAATTTTTTACAGCTGATAGAAACTTAATTAATTTATGTATATTTCTAATTATTAATTAACTTTACCAGGATTAAAAAAATCTTTTATTTATTGATTATAATCCAATTCTATCAGAATTATTAGCGTTTAAATCTAATAAATTTCCCTAACGCATTCAAGCTTTATTAAAACCAGCGAGAAAAACAATAAAGCGTTTAATCTTCTTGCTCTCTTATTTTATCTACAGTTTATATTTTTCTTGAAACATAAAATATTTTTTGTCTAAGCAATTTCTAAATCAATATCCTCAAATACAATTTATGTGCTTTAATTTAGCATATATTAAGATATATAATTTCAAAATGATTAGCCCTTAATTTATTTATAAAGTCTTTCAAAAATGACATATCTTACCTATATAAAATTGGGTATTTATTTTCTTTTATCTCTCAATTAAAAAATTGATTTTAAAACTAATACATATCTTCTTATAAAATACTTAATAGAAAAATTTCTTCTAATAAGTAAAAGAGAGTATAAAGAAATCAATTAGAGCATTCTGTTATGATAAAAATTCACTTATATGCTATCTCTATTTGCTGCTATTTGGTTTCTTAATTATATTTAGTTTTTCAAATTGAAGATTTTATTTAATAATAAACTCAAAATCAATATTTTTAAGATACTCTCTTACCTAAAAACTATTACACCAAAATAAATATAATATATATATAACTATAAATAAAACTAGCTTATCTATTATTTTAAATAAATTAATTTTAACTAATTAAATCTTAAATTTAATAGTTTATATAAAAAAATTCAGAAATTTTAAAATAACTACCATATTTTTTCAGATATTTTCAAGACAAAATTGATTTATTTATTAGTACGTGCACCTTATATTGAATTTTTTAGTTTTCCCATCCTAATATAAATGAGCATTAAAAAACGAGGATTTAGAGTAATATTTAAATTTATGTTTTATTATTAAATGAATAATAAAAATAGATTATTCGAAAAAAATTTTTAGTATGTAGATATTTAAATGTACACATAAATAAAGCAATATCAATTTAAGAATAAATAAATAAATATTAGTTATTAATAAACACTAAGTAAATTTATCAAAACAATGATGATTTATAAAATTTTATTAGACTAAATATAAAAAATAAGTAGTTATAATTATTATATATTAACAATAATATATTTTATTAAAAAATTAGAGTAAATGTTAAAAATTAAAGTAAATTATTATAAAGTGTTTTCATGTTAAGATTTTTTATAATAGATATATATATATATATATTTAGAGCTTAATTTTACTCATCTTAAACATATCACTTAATTGTTTCTTAAATAGGTAAATAATATTATTAGTTATAAAAATAAAATAAATTTTAATCATATTCGTTTGACAAAGAATAGTTTTTGTATTATTGATTCTAATTATATTGTAAAAACTCATTTACTTAAAATAAATCTGAGTTTTTTTCATAAATAGGAAACTACTATTAAGTACTTTCTTACAACTCCACATCTTTTTCTTATATATCATCTTCATAATCATCATCGTGATCTTCGAATATATGGTTATTAATTTATTTCTTTTTAGGATAATTTTTTATTTATTAACTAACATAGCTATCTTCTTATTATTATTATACTTCAAATTAATTTTATATCTAAATTCTTTAAATGAATGTTTAAGAATCATTATTTGAAGGAGATTCTTAATTAAAGCTATTTACTTCTTTAGGAATAGATATACAAAGTCTGTTTTTTAGAAAGCTTTCTGAAGAAAAATTTGTGTCATTATTACTAATATTTATATTTATTTTGCAATTTGATCTTTTCTTTCCAACCTTCTCATCAAATCTAGAGAGTTTTTTTTTGATTTATGCTTCTTCAGGAAAGCAGAAATTCCATAATTCATAAAATGAAGGAAATTAATGTTTGTCATATGATTCAAAGTAGCGGAGGATGAGATAGCAGACAAATTATTTACGAATAGTCTTTTCGTTATTATAAGTTGATATAAATTGTTTGGTAGAGTAATCAATTGGATTTAAAAGGACGGCGTTTAATCTTTCCTTGAATCGGTCACCTTAATTATGTTTATTAATTTAAAAGAAATATTATTCCATAATTCCCATGTATTTAGGTTTTGATTTATCAGCTCTTTTTAGGATGAAATCTTTAACTCTTGCAGATGAGCTGCAATGTATATACTTAGCTATTAAAGGAGAAGCAATAGACTCTAAAACATAATTCTTAATAGAGTCTTAAAACCATTTATTTAATAGATTTCTCTAGTTTCCTCTGTTGTAAAGCTCACCAAGATAAAGAATATTTTTCATGATGATCTCTCCTTTTTTATCTTCTTCAATCATTTTTAACCTGCAAAATTTATTTGATTTATTTGTTTTTTAAGATTAGTTTTTATAATTTTGTTGTTAATTAATCAAATTTATTATCTAAAAACCTCATGTGTCCATCATTTAAATAAAATCCTAGATAAGTAAAATTCAATTTCGCAATCAAATGATGTAAACTTTTTAATTTGTGATTCTTCAATTAACTTAAAACTTTATTGATATCGATTGATCAGATAAAGATGAAAGCATCACTTAAAGATCTTATTTAATTATTTACACATTTTCAGGAATTCCAGTAAATATATCTTCTTGAAGTATTTTAAATATTTTTTTCTTCCATTTTTTTAAAAAAAATCTACTTATCATTTGAATAATTGAGTTATGTATTCACTAAATTTTTTTCAGATGACTCTTAATTAAGATTTTTACACATTCTAATTAGTTTAACAGATTTTAATTTTGACAATGTAAAAGTAAAAATCAAATGTAATCAATCCCTCTTGATTAACTTTCTTAATCAAAATAACTAATTTTTCTACTCCGAAATTTCTAATTAATTAGTTTTGTGGAATTAATAATGGTCTATCAATAAAATTTTTTAAATCAATAGCAACATTTATGAATAAAAAATATGGCATAAAGTTGTTTAAAAAGTAAAATTTAATGCAATGAATTAATAACATTATAAATTCATATTTATATAAAAAAAATAAACTTATTGGAATTCAAAAGTATTGTAGAGATATTAAATAAACTAAAATGCTGCTTTTCTTTTTATTGATTATTTAAAAGTCATAAAAATTTAATAAGATAATTTTAGTTAAATTTTATTAGAATACTTTAATGCACCCACAAACTATAAAAAAAAGATATCAACAAAACTAATTTCTTATAAAATTATTACTTAATTTTAAAATATTTAAAATAACTTTATATTTTAAACTTAAAATAAATTTAGAGATATTAAAATTTATAAATTATATTCAAAATTCTATGTTTGACGTGAATTTTTTTATGCTCCTTTGAATGGTAAAAGAACCTAATAAGCTGGTAAATAATAATTTAAGAAATATGTTAGGGACTAGCTTATCGACCTAAAATAAGATAGATTAAAAAATATTATAATTTGAGTATATATTGATTATTAAAAGTCGATTATACTTATATTTATTTATTAATAATATTTTATTTTACTTCTCTTAAAAAAAAAATAAAAGCTAACATTATAAAATATATATCTAATTAAAATGTTTCATTATTTAAATACTTACAAAAAGTTATGAAAAATACAAAAAAATATCTAGAATAAGTTTTAGTATATATTAGAAATTTTAAATTTTAAATGAATGTAAACGGTAAAAGAAAAGTCTGGTTCTTGGTATAGATGAATACTATCTGAAATAACCAAACTTAATTTATGGTAAAAAAGCAATGTAATTATTTATTTAATTAATTAATAATTTATTAACATGATAATATAATAAGCTAGCCAACTTTTCTAACTAATAGATACAAAAAGATAAATTAGATTGAAGGTAATTAAATATTAAAAATCAAGAATACTGTTAATATTTCATATTACACTTTATAGTTCTTAAAAAAAGTTTATAAAAACAATTTTAGTGAAAGTACATAGCTTCATTGTAGTTATGTATTTATCTATTTATAAATAGTTTTAACTTACAAAAATATAATAAGCAAATCAAATTATTTACATAATTTAAAATTTGTTCTTGAAATATTAGATTTATCTATGGCATTTGAGAAAAAACTTATTAATTAATGGGTATTTTAAATATTAATTTGATGTAAACAAACTAAATCTATGGTGAAAAACTAATTAATAGGTTATCTAACTGAATAATCGACCTAAAAAGAACTTCTATTTAATTCTACGAATTTAGATTAATATTAATTATTTTTTTTACTTGCATACTACGAATTTTTAATTAAGTAAAGAAACTTAACGTGTGCTTTTTGTATTATCGACCAGCTCTAAATAATTAATTAATTTATGGTTATTCAGCTATTTTATCATTAATAGAAGAAATACATTACTATTTTTACCATGAAATCTGTTTGTAAGCTTCATTACACAGTTAAGATTCCATTTTAAATGAAAATGAAATAAAATTTTTTTGATACTAAACTAATTTATTTTTAGTTGAGATAAAATGATTAAAAATATCATTTTTTAAAGAAAACATAGTTTTCTATTCTTGAAACATATTGATTTTTAAACATTTTTTTGAAAAGTAAATGTGAAAATCCTTGTATAAATATCCATTTAAATGTAATTTATCTCTTGTATTTGTTTATTATTTTTTGTTTTCTTGAATAATATCATACAAATCTAATAAAAAGTTGTAATTTAAGCTATGAATAAGAATCTAAATAATTCATCTTATGGGGAAAAATATCTTTTTTAAGAGTAACTATTTTATTTGAAATAATTGCATGAATTTTAACTTAAAATTATCTCTTTAATAACTTATAAGCATCAAATAATTTTGCAAAAATCTAATTTTTTATTATAATGTAAGCCAATTCATTACTCATTTTTTAAAAATATAACTAAAAATAAAATCAAATATTATTTTTTCGCAAATAAATTTAAATGTTATTAAAGCTAGGGAAGATATGGTTCTTAGTTAGAAAAAATTTTAAATTAATTTTAGTTTAATATCAAATTATTTTAAAGAAAAACATTTTGAATTTAAAAATTAAATTACTCTTGTCAATATAACATTTTGCAATTCATTCAAAGATCAATAATAATTAAATCTGATATTAAGTTGTAAATATTAACAATTTCAGAATTAATCAAGTTGTTTTAGACAATCAAAATAGCATTAATATTCATTTAATTTACTTCCAATCTTAAAATTAAATCAGCGCCTTACAAATAATCTTTTTACAAAAACTAGATTTCTGATTTCTTAGAATTAGATCATTTTAAGTAAATGTATCTAGTAAGTTTCCGATTTTCGGTTTTGTGAATCAAAAAAAAATATATAAATAATTAAATAATGAAGCAAATTAAATGGCTGAACTGAGCAAAATATATTTAATAAAATATGCCATATATTATCATATATTAAACCACCCACCCTCCCCCTTCAACTTTTTTTTGGCTTCCTTATTATAGAATTTGAAAGATATTTAAAGCTTTATTAAGTCAGTAAAACTGAAATATACACAGTACTTATAAAAAATTAAACTATTTCTTATTTAAATTGAATAATATTGTTTTTAATGTTTAATTTATCCTTTATTTTCATTTTATAAGGCTTATCTAACTTTTCATGGTCATTTCTTAAATTTAACATTTTTGCTCTTAACCTTTCTTATTTCTGTGTTCTGCGAATCCCAAGAAAACAAGTAATAATGTATAATAGATATAAGAAAATTAATTAAAGGTATTGAGATAAATTATTAAGTAGAGTATGAAGAAACAAAAAGCACAAAAAAATACTAAAATGATTTAAATTAAGATTTTTAGCAATAAATTCAAAAAATTTATGCATTTAATTGAAGATATTATTTTTATTTCAAATGAAATCACACAATTCTAGCAGATTTTTTATAAGTATTTTAAAGGTTTTATCTCATTATTTTTTCAAAATGTCTTAATAATTTTTTTGAACAGAAATTATACAATCATTCATTTTTCTGTCTCTAAATTAATACTTTTATAATTAATTATTAGTTTACAGTTTTTTAATGTGCCCAAGAAATAATTGAATTTTAGTAATATCTCTTGCATAACTAAAATAAACAAATAAACTTCTAAGTTTTGTGAAATTAGAGATGTAAACAATTAAATTTATTTTTAACACTAATTTTCGATATAAAAAATAAAATATTATTATATTAAATAGAAGATATTACTAATATCAAATATATTGTGTCTAAGATGAAGCAGCATCTAAATCAGTTGCTTTAAAGAATCAAAGCTTTTAGACTACTAGCTTATTTGCCTTATACTTTATATAATGATATTAAATAATCAATCTAATAGTGCTAAATTATTACAAAAGCATCCAATGAACTGAAGGTAATTAATTATATTTACATTAATAATTTTAATTTTATTTAATTAGAGGAGCTTAACAAAGGGTCATAAAAATTTAATAAAATAATAGAATAAGAAACAAAACTTTGTACACACTTGAATCCAATCTTTAAATAATTTATGTTAACTACTCAATAAGATGAAAATATGAGCAAAAGAGGCAACAAATAAAGGTAATTCATTTTTCAATTAATTTTATTAAAGTTTAATTTAAAAAATATGAAAACATGATTCAAAACCTAATGATCAAATTAAAAGTATTGAAATAAGATAAAATTTAATAAATATTCATGAAGAAAATACTAAACAAATGAATAACTATGTTTTATATAATATTTATATGATTTTTGATTGGATGATTTATTTTTATTTAAACTATTTACTTTTCAATATACCATAAATACTCTTATTTAAGCTGACAAAAAATTATATTATCAATAAATTTGGTTGGCATAATTTACTTAAATTAGAGCAAAGTTTTAAATTAGAATCTGCTTAATATAGAATATATATGGTACTTTGAATAATAATGAAAAAATATATTCACTGTGTTTTATATAATGAATTTTTTTAATTTAAATTCATTTTATAATTAATAAAATTTATTATTACTAGCAATTAATTTTTAATAGAATAAAAAGATAATCAATTTCATTTAATATTTATAGTTATTGAAAAAAAAATTATTTTGAATGTATTCAAGAAGAAACACTGTATATATCTATCAACCTAATTATTTATTTTTAACCAGCTTATTATATTTAATTTAATCATGACTACTATATATATGATTAAAATGAATTTATTGTTCAATTTTATTAGAATTAAGTACAGCTAATATTCATTTTAATTTTGTAAACTTTTTATATTTTTAAATATAAAAAATTATAACCTATCAATCAATTAATTAATCTATTTATCAATCTTTCAACCAAACTAACTTTTCAATTTTAATCTAACTAACTAATTAATTTCAACCAACTTATTATATTTAATTTAGTTATGGATAATAGGTATATAATTAAAATGAGAATCTTATTTTGTTTGTTGTAATCCTTTTCTGATTTATGGTAGAAATTGATTTTTAATTAGTGAATCTGACTTTTTAAATTATATTGAATTAAAAACTTAATATTTATCAATTCTATTTTATAAATGAAATTTCATCAATTTTATTTTGAATTTAAAATTTTATTAGATTAAATAATGTTATATGTTGAAGATAGAATTAATTTTATTTATGCATTTTAAATCAACTAAATGATACATTTTTCGTATATTTTTTCAACCAGCTCATAATTAAGTAATATAAATTTCTATATTTAATTTTAAAAAATAGATACCTTATTTTTATCTGATAGAATCATTTTTTTAGTTAAAAATAAGATTCATTTTTTTTTTGAAGGTAAGATAAATTTTTGTTAGCAAAAAAGATGTATATGTTTTCAGATTTATTTACTTTATGAAGATTAATCAGTTTATTTCTATTTTTGAATTTCACGATTATTTTTTATTTCAGAGATTTTATACATTTTTTATTTAGTAAAAACTAAATCTATGGATGCATTTATTTATTTTCAAAAAATTTCTAAAAATTAATTAATTTATGGTAATTAAAATACTTAGCATTTAGTATAATAAATACATTTATTTTATCTGAGAATATCCTATTCTAAATTTTATAGCATATTTTTTTATTGTATGATTTATTTAAAAAACAATAATTATTTTACTCAAACTGATTTTTTTATGGAAAAAAAAGTTAGGGATACGATGAAATTTAAATTGTTATTTTTCTAAGGAAAAATCAAATTAATGATTTACTTTTATGATAAAAAAAGAAAATTAGTTTTAAATGAAATATAAATTAAAGTATTCTTTATTTTTATTATATTATGTTATGCAAAATTTAATAAATAATTGTTAATGAAGTCTATTTGAATATATTTGAATAATTCTTATTTAATTAATAATTAAATATTAATTTATGTGGTAATAAATTAATTAACTTTCACTTTCTGAAATGAATGTTAATTGATTGATAAAAAAAAGCAATTTTATCTGATAAAAAGATTATGTATGCATATAGAAAATTAAATATAAAAGCACAGAAAAATATTCAAAAAAATTGCTTTATAAAAAATAGTAAAAGAACTAAATAAAAACTTTTAAATTACGAAATGTGCATACATTTTTTTAATTTATAAACAAAAATGAATAAATTTTAGTTAGTATTATAATTTATAGAAATAAAAATTAAGAATAAGAAGAGTATATGGGAAAAAAATAATTAAGAATATTCATTAATAGAAAAGTTAATATTTGATATTATTTTATAAAGGCTAAGTAAATTCTTAATAGTATTAAGTTTAGTAAATAGGTAAGTATGATTATTAGTTTTGAAATTAAAATTAATTTTAATCTTATTGTAGTGGTTAGTAGTATAGAGAATCATTTTTATTTTGCTGTTAGAATTGATTTTAAAAGTAGTTATTTTTAGTTTCATTTTTTTAATATGAAGGGAGCTACTAGAAGATATCATGCGGTTCTTCTTTATCTAATTCTTCATGGTTATCTTCAAATATGTGGTTATTTATTTCCTACTTTATAGGATAATGTTGGATATTTTATATATAATAACTATCTTCTTCATATTTCAGTTCATGTTATTTAGAATAAATATTTGCAAATTATAGACTTTAAATGTTGGTTTAAAAATTATAATTAGAAGGTGATTAATTATTAAAGCAAAGTGCTTTGTTAGCAAATAAAGAAGTGTTACTACTATTTAACAAGCTGTCAGAAGAATAAAACGAATTGCAGTTAGTTGTATTTTTTTTTATTGTGCCTTTTGATTTTTTCATTTCAACATAATTGTCAAATCTAGTGAGTTTTTTTTTAGTTTGAATATCTTCAGGAAAACAGAAATTCCATAACTCGTAAAATGAGGGAAACTAGCATTTGTTTTATGATTCAAAGTATCGTAAAATGAGGTAGCAGACAAATTATTTGCGAATATTTTTTTCGTTGTTATATGTTTGTACAAATTATCTGGTTGAGTAATCTATTGGACTACAAATTACAGCATTAAGTTTTTGTATGAAACGATCTCCTTGTTTGTATTTATTAATATAAAAGAAGTATTGCTCTATAATGCCCATATATTTAGGTTTTGATTTATCAGCGTTTTTTAGAATCAAATCTTTAACTTTTGCAGAAGTGTTAAAATTAAGATATTTTGATATCAATGGACTTGCTATTTACTCTAAAATGTAGTTCTTGATAGAGTCTTAAAACCATTTATTTAACAGATTTCTTTCATTACCTTTTTTGTAAAGAAAAGCAAGATAATTTACATTTCTCTTAATTATTTATCCGATTTTTTCTCTCTCACTTATCATTTGTTTCAGTGTTTTATTTATTAATTTTTTAAGATTTCCTTTTTATAATTTTGTTATTTTTAATCAAATAATTAAACTTGAGATTTCATATATCCCATTTCAATCAATAATAAAATAGTTAATATTTACTATTTAAATAAAAATTATAGTATTCTTAATCTATAATAAACTGTAATTTAGTCAAGATTTATTTTTAAAAAATGACTATATTTATATCAAAGCACTCATTTTAGGAAAATTTTTTATTAGTTCCTGCACATTATTCCACTTTCAGTGCTTTTAAACCAATTCCCTTTTCATACTGTGTATTAATTGCTATTTAGTTTTTCCTTTTAGGTTTCACGCTGGCTCTAAATTCGATCCTTACCTGTTTGTAATTAGTTAGATAGATTTGCAAAATTAGAAAGTAATAATTTAATGTAATCTATTCCTCTTACTTATTTTGAATAATTACAGAAAAATTTTCTTTTTCAAATTTTTGATATAATCAATCAGTTTTGTGAATTTAATTTCCATTTATGAGAAACAGCAAATACAATCAATTTATAAACCTTTTCTGTGAGAAATTTAAATTTTTAATTTTAAAAATATTACTTAAAATTGCTTATTTAATGAAATTTAAATAATAAAAATTATGATTTAAGGATATCTTTATATTTTTAATTGGATTATCTGAAAATTTATATGTAAATAGATTGTATTCTTATTAAATTTGATAAATGATTAAAACTATTCAGGATTAAAAAGTAAATAATATTATAAAAAACTTTAGACATAGTAGTTATTAATGTAAGGGCTTATATTAATTTTATTCAAATTATTAACTTTATTGTTTTTTAAATGATTATATAAAAGAATTTTTTTGATAACTATTTTTAGGGCTTTAAATAATAAAAAGTGGTACTCAAAAATTCAAAAAAGTTAAAAAGCCCAAATAGTCATTGAAATTTTCAATATAAATTTGTAATCTTTTTGAAAAATCGAATTAATGACTCAAAAAATTTAACATGATCAGGCAAACTAAATAATGGTAAACACTTAACTAAATTACTAAATAATTAAGTGCTCTAAATGATAATTGAAACGAATTTATTCAAATAATTAAGAATACTATTAATTTATATATTAAGACAGAATTTTATTTTTTCATTCTTAATATTGAAGGACATTTTAGGATAAAAGCTTTGTTTCATTGTTTCAGTAAAGAGTAGTAAAACAATATTGAAAATTATTTTGAATTAAGAGAAATTTTATTAAACTATTCAAAAAGTGATCTTGACTTTATTCTAAATTTAAAAATTGTAAGGACTTTAAAGCGTTTTTTGAAAAAGCTTTATTATTTGTGAGAAATAAGTTTTTCTAGTTAACTTAATTAGTGTCAAAAACTTATTATTAACATTCATTCTATCGACCTAAAAAAAGTAAAATTAATAAATAATAATTAAGAATAATATTAATTTTTGCCTTGAATCTTATTACACTCATTTATTTTGTAAAAAAACTTAATTTATTTTGAATAGTCACTAAGATTATAATTAATATACGAAAACTGAGCTGCTTAATTTGATAATATTAATAACATCATATTTTTCTTATAAAATCCTATACTGAATTGAGTTACTTTGCAAAATTAAGATTAAATTATTTAAATAAATAATATTTTATTAAATAAAACCAAACAATATAAACTTGAGACAAATCAATTTTAAATATTTGATGAAGTTTAAAATCGTTTTTTCTTTTTTCAAGTTTTTCATTGATTGAGGTAAATATGAACTACTTAAAGAATTTAATTTAAAAAACTTATAATTCCTTTAATAATTTATTTCTATTACTAAGTAAAATAATAGTTAATTATTCATAGTTGTTACTTCAATAATAATAGCTACTACAAACTAATAATTTTTATTATTTAGAAGCTAACTTCTTTTTTAGTGGGGAGGAAATCGTTTATAGTCTTTTATGAGTAACAATAGATTTGAATTAATTATTGAGTTAGTTAGTAAGATATTTAAGATTTTCAAATTAATGTTATTTATTTTATTAATTATTTGGCATCAAATATTTTTCAAAAATTTTATATTATAAAACTGTAAACTAAATCAATGTTTAATATATAGAAAACAATTATGTAAAAAAATTATAATTTTTACCTACAAACAAACCATTGATTCCACAAAGAAAATTTATAAAAAACTAATTTAGCTAAACATAAATATTACATAAAAAGTAATACTACATCTTCTCTCTTTCCCAGTAAATATTGATTCTTTTAAGTGTATTTCAAATTAAAAAGCTTAATTCAACTAGTCATTTAAGCTAGATAAATAAATTTTCAAATGAATTAATAATCATTCATTCTATCTGAAAAAGAGTAAATGTTAAAAAAATCCGAATTTATCAAAATCATTAACTTAACATTTTTTATTTGTTTTCATACTTAAAAATGTTCAACTATGATAAAAATCAAAACGCATTTTTATCTACCTTGTACATATCGCAAAATCGCAAAGCTAAAAAAATGTTTAAAAATAATTTAATCAATTTTCTATTAAAAAAAATATTTTGAGTAAAATTTGAAAAAATATTTTTAAAATTTAGAAAAAATCTGATATATTCATATAAAAATAATATGTAAAAGTAAATAAGCAGTTTCTTTTACAAAATTAATATCATACTATGAAAAGCATTTGAAGGAATTAATATAATAAAAATATAATTTTACTCATAAATGTGAAAAATTAATACAAAGCAAACAAATTTTATTCCCACAACACTCAAGATTTACTATCAATTTATGAGAATCATTAGCTGAATATATTTTTGTTGATATTAATTAATATTATCTATCTGCAGTTAAGCTTAAATAGAAACTAATTCACAAAATAAATGAAGGGTACTAACTAAATAAGCACTTTTTTATTTGCTACATTCAAATTTAATCTAATTTAATATTCATAATTTAAAATTTGTAAAAAAAGTATATTTTAAACACTTTTATATCCATTATTCTTGTGAATAATGAATTTTAAGTTAGTTTATTTATTTATTTTTGTAAGGTAAATAGCTTTGGTTGATATGTAAATACATATTATAAAATTAAGAATTAATGTTAAAAGGATGTTTTTACTCAATCAATATTTTACTAAAAGAAGAGTTAAAGAAAATTGATTTCAATATAATATTCAAATAAATATGAAAATAAGAATCATGAATTTCAAATTATTATTATGAGCTTCAATTTTTTTCCCTAAATCATTCACAATGCTAATAAATTTAATAGTTATGATCTTTAATTGATTGTTTTATAATATTGTTAAGATTAATCAAAAATATGAATATTTACTCATCCTAAAATTATAAATTTGTATTGATAATTGTAGCAAAAAAATTTGAATAAAATGAAATGAATATTTTTCAAATATTATATGGGAAAGCTGAATGAAACGTTGATAGCAAGAAACATACTATTCTAAACAAAAATTCTTTGATATCAAATATGTATTAATCAGAACAGATTCTTAATTGACGCATTTTATTTAATTAAAAGTGATATCTGTATAGTAAAAATTCTGACTTGCACTAAAAGTAAATAAAATTCATTTAAACCACTAAAATAAAGTAATGTAAATTATTAATTTTATTTTTTAAAATTCATATATATATATATTTTTATTTAGTTAAAAAAACCTGTATTATTAATAAATAGATAGTGATTATTATTATTTTTAATTTTTCTAGGTTACAATATCATCAGAATTAATTAATAGTCCAACCTTAATTAATAATATTCTATTTATTAAAACCAAATAAATAGATATTTTTTTTAAGAAATAATTAACAATCATTTTTACATCATAAAAAAAATTAATAAATTGACATACTTAAAAGGAATTAAATTATTGTGTAATATAACAATATAATTCCTCATAAAGTTTTAGATATATAATTTTTGCAAGTAAATTTATAATTTCAAAAATAAATTTTAGGAAATTAATGAAAATTAAATAGGATTATAATTAATGAATATTTACTGAATACAGTATTAGTTTATTTAAAAAATTACTATAAATAATAATATAATTTCATAGTTATTTTAAATTAGTACTTCAAATTTTATCAGCTGCTATAATGCTCTTTTGAGTTCTTTTTATTTTTCTTTTATTTAATCTTTGGAATTTTGAAATAACTTCTTTTAAATTGCCTTAAGGGAAATAATATGAAAAATCTTTTTATTAATCGAATTATTAATCAGAATTTTAGCCATAAAATAAAGAAGTATTTTTAAAATTTATTTATTGGAGATTTTAAAATTAGTTGATGCTTTAAATTGAATTATATTTTTTATTATTGTAAAGTTTGTTAAAGAGCATTAAACTAATAGCCAATTATTTAATTTATGATTATCGTATATTTTCTTTTTACTTGCTATCAGCAAAGTTTTCAGTTAAATAGTTAATATAAGAATATATATTTGAGCTACTACCACTATTATTTTTAACAGCTGTAGGAAAAAGCTACTTAATGCTATTACTGTTAGAGAAGCTATCTTATTAATCTTATGAAAATCTTTAATTTTCTGAGCCTTCTTTATTATTTTTTCTTTCATAATCTTTAAAAATAATTCTTTATTTTTCATTTAATGAATTTGATGAATTTTGTTTGGTAGCTTCAATTCCTTGTAAAGCAAGTTTATCTATAAAAAATTCTGATTTTTGGATTTAATTTAAATCTAGTCCTACTTATTAATCCTAAATAATAAATTAATAAAAATTTTTGAATTTAATTTATTTACTTACTTCAAATTCTTTTGAAATTTATTTGAGATACATAGAAGATATTGTTTATCTTCTTTAGTTTTATTCGCATTTTATATGTGTAGATGAATTACTCTTTAACTGATTTTCTTTTAAAGTTTCTTGATATTTAAACTTCTTCTAATCTAAGAAATCTTCATCAGATAATGTATCATCTGAATCACTTAAGGTTAAATCTAATAGTTAAATAATGTCTGATTGTTTTTATTTTTTTATCTCATCAATATAGGAATAAGCTCTTGCACAAACATCTTGTTAAATTAATAAAGTGTTATTGTTTTTACTCATTTATCTTTCAAAGAATTTTCTTTTCTGAAAACTTTGATATCGTTCCATGCAATATAATTGTCTCTTATTTATGTTAACCAATTCACAATCCTTTTTTAAATGCCTGAATGAATTACAAAGACCGCACATTTAATTTATCTCTTTAAATTGCTTATAAAAAACTAATTTGTCTTTCATTTCACAAAATTTTTAATATTCTAAATCATTTTTTTAAATAACTCTCAAAAAATCAATTCTATTAATTTTTACTATTTTAGTAAACATATTTGATATTATAAAACTATCAGAAGATATCCCAGATATAAAATCTATTAGGCCAAAATTATCACCTACCTTTAATTTCTAACCTATATTTTTATTTTTGTTGAATTGCTCTTCATTTTGATATTCCAGCACTATTAATTTTTGTTACAAATATTTGTTGAATTAATAAAGAGATAAGTAAATAAATATTTACATTGCCCTTAGGTGATAAACTGTAATGACTAATCTCTGTTTAAACTAAGTATTTGATTTGGTAAAAAGAATTCTTCTTACATAAATGAACATAATTCTAATAAAGTCTCTACGCTTAGTATTTAATTAAATAAGTTATATAACTTAAAAATAAAACCTTTAAATTATTCTTTTTTTAAATGGTCAAGTAAATCTAAAGGTAACTTCTCTAACACTTAATCTTTCTTAGATTATTCTTCTAAAAAATTATTTTAATAATATTGCTGCAAATACATATTCACTTTAGCTTATAGTTCTCTTTAGATAATAAATAAATAATAAAAATAATAATTATTTATTTCATTTACAATCATACAAAGTGTAGGGGTTGGATCGAGTCAGAAAAGAAAATTTTGACTGGTGGGAAAATATTAAAATTTTAAAACGATCAAAAATTTTTGATCGCAATCGCAGTGAGCGCATCCCCCTAGAAATATCATGCAAATATATATATATAATGAAGGAAATAATTAATTAATTTTTACTCAGAGATGTAATTTTAGCGCATGTATTTATTGATGATATTGGTATCATGTTTCTATTTAAGGACTTTGGTACTCATTTCTGACAATATATCTCCAATAACTGTGACTATGTATCCAAAAAAAATACTTGTAAATAGCATTATAATCGTAGTGAACATTGTTTCTATAGTAGTAAAGCAACTGTTAGAGCCAGTAGACATCAAAGTTAGTGACCAATAAAGAGAGATAAAATAAATTTCCCACCAAAATTAGTTTTTAACTTAAGATATCCAAGAATTTTAATCGTTAAGATAATTAAATTCTATATACCCAATTAAATACCATAGGCATGCAATAATATGTCCAATAAAAAATAAGCTGAAAATTAAATTTATCAGTTAAATTATATAATGCTATTGAATCCTCATACAATATTGCAATTAGATGTATTTCAAATCTTAGATTATGTTAAACAATTTAAGAAATTAAAAGCTTTAAAAAAGGAAATATTATTGGCTATTTTGAAATTAGGAGTTCATCAGTAATGGTATAATATCAAAGACGAGTTTGCTTTTTAGATACAGTAATCTTGCTTTACCTTTTTCTGAGACAATATCATTGTCTTTATAAATTTGGCAATTAATATTGAATATGATATCAGCTAACCAAAAGAAATTGATAAATGTTTTTATTATTTTTGAAAAATAATCTTCTACTTTATAGACAAAAAAAATAGATAAAAAAAGCAAATAAATTATATTTATCAAAGTTAGTATTAATTTTGTGTAAAAGCCAATTCTGCTTGACAGTTTAAATAAAGGAATCTAAAAATGCTTAAAAATAGAGCATTTATTAAAATTTATCAGCAAATTATTTACAAAATCATCTTTTATCTCTAATATATCACTCTAGTCGTTAACAAGTGAGCGCATTTCGCTGTTTAAGAGTCTTGACCTCTATATATTAGTAAAGTTTTCTAAAAAATGCTTCATTTTTAATTTTATTTTTGTAAGCATTGATAAGTTTCTAAAAAAATAAGGATGAGTATTAAATAATGTATTAATTTTAATAGTATTCCTTCTATTTGTATTCTACCAATAATTTGATGCACAACTGAATTCTTTTTAGGACAAATTATTGTCAGTTTATTTATAACTTTCATATTTATTTGATAGGTCAGCTTGATTTATTTTACTTCTACTAAAACTTAATCTGTTTAAACTTTTCAATCTTCTTGAATTTACATTTTATATTTAACATTTCTACATTTTACTTTCCATTATATTATTTTTTTACATATTTTCATTTAAGTTTATATTAAATTTATGTTCTTCGAACCCATTTAAGGTTAGCTAAGTGTCATTCCATAAAGATTCATCTTCTTAAAATATCTTTTTCCTTAACTATTCCCAATCTTTAGATTTTATTGAATCACCTTATTTATGACGAGTGTCTATAACCTATATATCCTAAATAGACATTTTAAAATTCTAAAATTAATATAATTTATCTCCCGTTAAAATCGTTAATTTGATAATTTGTTTCCAGTTAACTTTATTTCGAATACTTCAACTTAATTTGTTTATTTAACTAATTTATTTAAGGTTAGACTAATGTTACAATAATTGTAAATAGCACTAATTAAATTTTATAAAAAATTTATAGAGTCCAGAAATTATGTATGTTATCTACCTTCTAAACGTAATAATTTAAAAGCTGTTTTTCAGAATAAATAAGGAGATACTCTATTTTATTTTTTTTAATTATTTTAAAAAACTATTCCAGTATTAAATTTTATAAAAATGTTTAAATACTTTTGTGCATTTATTCTGAATAAATTAAATTAATTGGCTTCAATTAATTTTAAACAATAAACTTTGCTAGAATAAATTTTGGCTATTTTATAAAAAAATTAGACATTCCATTTTAAAAACAATTTATTTATTTTGCATATTTAAAAAAAGTAATGAAATTCACTCTATTGTTATAATAGAATCAAATTTAGTTAATATTAAATAACTATTTATCATCATTCCTGTTTTATAAGGTTGATACAATTAAAATATTTTTTTTTTCACATCTTAAATTAAAAAAACTCTATTTAAAAAACTCAAATTAAATTAAAAGTTTAAAAAAATAATTTTATTCTACATTGAAAGAAAAAATTAAAGATATTGTTTATGAAATTGCTTCTCTATTTACATGATTATTTTTTAAGTGATATTTTCTGATTATTTCATTAATTTGGATAATCAAATATAAACAAAAAATTTATTTTTATACTAGTATTTAGCTAAATTAAAATAAATTTAGAAAAATGTTAAATGAATTATAATATTTTATAAAATTGAAATTATTAATCAGTTTCACAAAATACACTAAAATAAATGATACTTATTTTGTATTGTTTAGAATTATCAAATGTTGATTTTTACATTTAAATATTTATAAAAAAAAGGATAGGATTTTGTAATTTATTTGATATTATCAATCAATATTTTTTTTAAAGAAAGACAAAAGAAGACTAATAAATAAATAATTTAGTTATTTGTAGTAAAAATTAAAGGAATAAATTGGTATCAAATAAAATAAAATGTAAAATCAAATTGGAAATGTGCATTAACATAAATATATAATGCTAGAAATATTAAGTTATTTTGGAAGTTTGTATTGGATTAATATATTATATAGGAATGGTTTGGTGCTCTAAGATATTTAAGAAGGGAATGTTAAAAGATTGATTATTAAGCTATTTAGTTTGTAAGCTAACTAATCTAAGATATCTCAATACGAGAGATATTAATTGTAAGGAATTTAAAGTTTGATAATAAGTTATTTAATATAAGAATTATTGTGTTCTAAGATTATTAGGAAGGGAATGAATGCTAAAATATTTATTATTAAATTAGTTAATTATTTTATTTAACTAGTCAATAATAATTTTAACAAAGGGATAAGTTATAGTAGGTAGGGTTGATTTGATAATTAGTTTAATTTAATTAGAAATTATCAAATGGTTACTAATAGTAATGTTTTTAATAGAAAAACTCATTTTAATCTTGCTATGAAGAAAGATATTCCTGCTTTTCTTAAAATTCTAATTTTTCTTCATTTTAAATGCAGTAGGATTCTTAAAGAGGCTAGAAAGATGAGCTCAAATTAACTTTTTAAGTATAGCTTTATATGCAGATATCTTCTTCAGAATCATCTTCATCGATTATTCCATTATTTATTTACTTTTTCTCTGTAGAATAAGCTATTTTTTGAACTGATTAAGTTGACTCTTAAAAGTTAACTTGCGATTAGTCGAAACTGCTGATGATTTTTGTGTCTAAAAGAATTGAAGGCTAAACGGTTAAAGAAGATTCTTAGCTTGTGTAATGTATTTGATTAATATAAGAGAGATGAGTAGAACTTTGTGTAGAAAATTCAGAATTCGAGGAAGATTCTTTACTTATGATAATTTTTGAAGCTTATGTTTTATCTTTTTTGTCAAATCTTGTGAGTCTTTTTTTCATTTGAATTTCTTCAGGGAAGCAGAGGTTCCATAATTCGTAAAATGAGGGAACTTCAAGTTCTCCATAAACCTCAAAGAAGCGTAAAATTAGATAGCATACAAGTTACTTGCGAATAGCCCTTTCAACGCTATAACTTAATTCAGATTATTGCTGAGAAATGTCTAAGGGATGAAAAATAATATTATTCAGTTTCTCAATGAATACTTCTCTTTGGTTGTATTTGTTTATGTAAAAGAAGTATTAATCAATTATGCTCATGTATTTAGGTTTAGATTTATCTACATTTTTGTGAATCAAAGTTCTGACTTCAGAAGAAGTAGTGCATTTAAGATATTTGGCTATAAGTGGTGATGCTATCTGTTCAAAAATATAGTTTTTTACAGAGTCTTAAAACCACTTATTCAAAAGATTTCTTTATCCCTCTTAACTCTTGTAGTTTATTTTAGACAATTAGAGAGCATTATTCATAATTATAAATTATTGAGTGTTTTATTCTCTCATTTCTTTTAGCTTTTATCTAAATCTTCTTCTTTCTTTTGTTTTTTAGATTAATTATTTTCTAATTATTTACATTTTGATAAACAAAATTTAAAGCAATTCATACAGAAAGTTAAAGCAACGCAATAAATAGATAAACAAACAAACTAATTCATTCATCGAACACTGATTTATTCAAATCTAATCGAAAATTTGTCTGCATCAGCTATTATGAAGAAACAAATAAGTATGCTATACTTTAAATCTAGCTTTAAAATGAGAACAATATTGTTAAAAATATATTTTCCTTAGTTTAATGAAAGTGATTATTCTTTATTTTTGCAATTTATCCTGTATAAAATTCTATTTTTAAATATAAAATCAGTCAACTATGAAAATGCAGAGCGCTATCATTAACAGTTAATGTGTTAGTTAATTTTGTCTAATAAACAGAGCAAAGATTTCCCAATCAAACAAAATTACAAAAATCACTAATTTAATCTGATATTATTTATAAATGTATGGAAAATTAGGTATTTAAAAAAATAATCAAAGAACTGAAAATTAAAAAATAATCTTACCCTTTACTTTTTTATCTTTCTATTTACAATTTTAAGAAGGGGATATACAAATAAACTAAAAAAAAGTGATCTAATAAGAAAATAAATAAACAAATAATACATGATTTAGAAGCAGTAACAAAATTTTTTTTGGTTAATTTTGAATTAACTTCAAGGAGAATACAATGACATTTTAGGTATGCTTTGAAATGAAGGATTTTTATAATATTTTGTATCCTTGAAGCTATGTTAGTAGCTCAAAAACCATGTATTTTTGATTTAAATTAATAGATATTATTATATCTAATTTTATTTTTTAATTACAAGCACATAAAATGACTAAAATTAAATTATCTTTGTTTATGTTCCATTCATATCACAATTATTAGAGAATCACTTTTAAAGGAATGATTCTTTAAAAAACGAATTAATTACTTTCCTTTCTTCAGTAATGAGCAACGGAATATATCAATCATATTCACCTACTTATTTTACTCAATTCAACATCTACAATATAGTTATTTAATTAAATAAAAATAGAATATTTTCTTTATGAAATAGACATTTTATTTTAAAAATGAACTTCTTTTTTTAAATTTAAAAGCGATCGATCAGTTTATAGAAATTGAATATTAAAAAAAATGACTTTTTTTGTGTGATAAAGGAATTAAATAAACACAATAGAAAACTTATTTTGAATTTGAGAAAAATTAGCAAGAAATTTTTTTATTTAATTTACAGATGAATTTATAATAATCAATTCTTAGTTTAGAATAGACTCTTGGCTAACTGTAAGCTTTTTCCCTTTTAAAATCCCAAGGTTTTTAATTTAATTATTCACTCTTTGTTTTTTCTTAAAAGTGTGTTGTTATTCAAAGTAACCACTCAAAATATAACAAAACAAAGTAAAACAAAAAGAAAAGAAAAGTAAAAACAAATAATTTAATTTGATAATTTACGAATTCAAATTAACTTAATTCCAATTCTCTGAAAAAACTTAAATCTTAATTGATTAAGCATTGTAGATTTCTATAAATATTGTAACAATTCCTAATAATAAAATTGGAATATTTGGATTTCATCTATAAGGACAATCAATTATCCATTTTTAAAATGATATTGATCTCAAATTTAATATTGAACTCAAAATCATTTCTAATATAGCAAGAAAGAACTTTTTTGAAGTATCTAGGTGATGAATTTTAAACAAATTATACTTGATGCATGAATTAAATTGACTATAATTAGAATCAGTAGAATTATTTATTGATTTCGTTTTTAGATGATAAATTATTTTGGAGAGTAGAAAATTTTAAATAATTTAAATTTTCAATTAAAGACTATTTAAATATATTATTAAAATTTATGTCATCAAATATAGTTTTTTTCACATTTTTTCACTAAATGATACTACAAGGCCTTGCTAATGACTATGATTAAATGAATGAAATCGTTTCAGGATTTGAATTAATAAAGAATTTAGTATTTTTTAGACAGCTGTTACATAAAGAATTAAAAAATTTTCTACCCTTTTAATAATGTTAAATTAGCGTTTTATTATCATTTCGAGTATTTATTATCACTATACATCTTATCTGATTGATAAGGATAACTTAATTATTTTATGTAACCCAAAATATTGTAATTTCAAAGATTGTTTATTTGGTTGATAAATCAAATTAAAAAAATCACCTTTTTTTTTCTTATATTGTAAAGTAAACCATTTCAGAATAAATAAGATTGTTTTAAACGCAATAATCAAAATTTCAAGTCATCGCATAAAGAATTCGAAAGTAACTCTTTTAATTTACTAATTTGCGCGTTTAGTTGATTAGAAGATCAAAGAGTTTATAAATTCATGATTAATCAAATCTAACTTATTCAATATTTTTTTCATTTTATCAGTTAAATTAAATTTTAAAATAAAAAATGTTCTATTATTTAATCGAAATTTCTTTTAAGTGATAATTAGAAGGAAACCATTTATAAATTTATTACAAATAAATATTAGCATGCTCTCATTTAATTAAAAATAACTGAATGAAAGAAAAAAATTAATGGAATCAATAATATTTTTACATTTTCAAAAATCAAATTCGTTAAATAAAATTTTACAGAAATTAATATTTTAAAAAGTCCAATTTATCTTTACATTAAATTTTACAACTTAACAAAAAAAATAGATTTTTTTTTCTGGTAAATACTAAGTTCAATTAATATTAAAAAATGAGTAAAACTTGATGTAATTAAATAATTTTTAATTAATCTAACCTAGACAATAAGTATTTGAAGAACCTTATATTTGATGAGTTTTAACATAATATGAATCATTAAAATTTTAATTTATTAATTAATTATTTATATCTTTTGTTTATGAAATAGTAAAAGAATTAATTTAAGCTCACTTTTCTTTTATTTAACCCATAAATTCATAAAATAATGTTTTATTTTTAAAAATTTTTCTTAATAAATTTCATTTAGGGGAAGTTAAAAATAGAAAAATTAATTAATAATATAAGATTTATTTAAAATAAATGTTACAGATAATATTTTTAAATAATGATAAATTTGATGTAATATTAAAAGCCGTTAATTTTGATATTATTAATATATTAGTAAAGAAATGGTGGCTAAATTGCTTTTAAGGAAATCAAAAATATGAATACATGGAAAAATAGTTAATATATTCCTTTATTTGATAATTACTTTAGTTGATTTTTTAATAGTTTAATTCAATTTTTGCTTCTTTTTGAAATTATAAAGGTAAATTTTGATAAGTATTTTGGATTTTTACAATTCACATAAATATTAAAATTACACAGTTTTTATAATTTTTGTTTAATAGATTTTTTGAAACCAATTTTCTTCATATTTACATTAGGATATTTTATATTTACTTTGCTAAGGATAATTTATTAAAGAGTTTTCATCATTTTTATCCTCATCAACATATATTATTCTATTATTTATTTGTTTATTTTGATGAAAGAGAAGTTTTTACTAATTATTTAAGCAGAAATAGTTTGTTTTGTTTTTTTTTTTCAGAAGAATCAATGTTATTTAAAAATACGAGCAAAGAACCAACAATCTAAGAATTTTCTAAAGATGGTTATTAAATTATGCTATAATCTTAGTTATTTGTTTAAGCCAACTTTTGGAGTTTAGAACGCATACTGAGCTTTGAAAAAAGTTAACATTAATTGCATTTGCAAACATCCATTTAGTTTTTATTTGGTTCTTTTTGTTAAATCTAGATAGTTTTTTTGAGATTCAATTTCTTCTAGAAAGAAGATGCTTCATAGTTCGTAGAATGAGAGAATTTCGCATTAATCATAGAATTCAAAAAAGTTTAGGATGAGACAGCAAACTAATTCTTTACAAATATACTTTAAAATTTTACAATTTATCTAAAATTAATAGTAATAATTTTTAAAGCATTTTTTCAAGAAATTTTTCTACTTTTCTTAGTCTTTATACATCATATTGGCTAATTAAACAGCATTTTTCAGTATTCTTATGTATTATTGGTCATTTTATTTGATAGCATCAATTTGATTTGTTTTTATTCTCAGATTTTCTAATTTAAAATTAATTAAAGTACAATTTATCTATATTTATTTCTGAATATATTAATTGTAATATCAAAGAGTATATACAGTTTTATATTTTTATTGAAAATAATAAATTAAAGATGATATTTTTTAAAAGATATTTTATCAAAGATCAAATCTTAAAACTCAATAGTTTTCTTAATATAATATTGAAATAGATTAATTTTATTAGATCTTAAAAAGCTTAGTTTTTTAAATTAATTTTTCAAAAGCTTTCGAGCAATCATAGCTATTTTTTTTAATTTTCAAAAATTTTGTATTAATTTCAATAAAAAATATTTAAAACTGTGATAAAAATAATTTTTTCTTTATTTAATTTTCTTTATATAAACCATTTTTTATAGGCTATATGAACTCTATTTAAATATTTAATCAAAGAAGAAGTATACATACGCTCTTAAATATCTTTCTTTTCTATTTGAAAATAATCCCACAAAATTTAATTATTCTGAAATTCAACTCATTCGGTTTTTTCATAATCTGTGTGACATAATTTGATTTATTCTGATTTATTCTGATCTAATTGTAAATTGACTCCAAGCAAATTTAATTAATTTTTTTCTAAGTAATTTCATAATCAAGAGAATTTTTTAATCATTAATCGCTTTATATAAGTTTAATAAAACTCAAGTAATTGCGTATTTTTGTATAGCTTACTCATACAAATTAATATCATTTAATAGGTAAAGATTAGAGTTGTAACATAACTAATGAAAGGGTGTATGGTATTTAATTAAAAGACAATTATTTTTTCTTTTATAAATTCTATGCTTTGGATGAATTATTATTCATTAAAAAATCAAAATTCAATATAAGATAAACAAATTAAATTGACAAATTTACATTAATAATAATTCTGTTTTTTAATATTCAGATATTAACTTATCAAATTTAAATGAACAAATCTAAAAACTAAATAACATACAGCAGATGGGTAAATCTGAATTTGATCTAAAAAAAAAATTATTTCAAAAAAGTAGAATATTTAACAAAAACATTTATTTTTTTTTCATAACATTTATATATTTGGATTTAAATGCTAAAAAACCATTATTTATTATAATGAACAGATGATTTGTATAATAATATAACTGAATTGATCTAAAAAAAATCCAAAGATTTTTTAACATGAACACATGAACACGATAATTAATTAATCAATTTGTTTTTTATTAATTTAGACTATTTGTATACTGTTAGAGAATTTAGGTTAGACTAGAGAATGTTATTCTTTCTTTTGGATCAAATTTCCATGTAAGTTGAATGATTTCTTTGATTTAAGATGGTATAGTATCATCAAAACGAGAGAGCTCTCCAGATTTTGTTTTTATACAACTTTCAGAGACAGTACAATCTGAAAATACCCAATGTTTATAGAATATTTCATAGAGCAAGGCGCCGAATGAAAATACATCAGCTTTCTCAGTGTAATTAGCTTTATCTTCAATGCTCTCTGGAGAATAATGTCTAGTGCTACCTTTCACTATGTTCTATTTATCTTCCTCAATAGCGCTCACCCCAAAATCGCTTATTTTAAGATGCTCAATCTCTTCTACTTCAAAATTTTCTTTATCTTAATCATCTCCTTTCAATTTAATTAGGATATTATTGATCTGTAAATCTCTATGTAAAATTCCCATTTTAGACATGTACTCACAACCACTTGAAAGATTTGTAATTAGCTGCATAAAATTAAAATCTACAAATAACCTTTAAGCTGATTATAAAGAGAGCCAATTTTTAAATCTCTATTTGGCACACCTCTCCAGGACTATATATCCTATTTCTTTATAATTACCAGCTCCATAAGCTTAAACAATATTAGGATGTCCATTACATCTCCATACCCCTCTAAGATCTCTATAGAAGGTGGCTTGTCTTCTCGATATTTAATTTTCAAATTTTACCATTTTAACTGCAACTTCTATCTCTTTTAGTTCTTCGATTTGATATTTCATACTTATGACTCTAGCCTGCAATCCACTCCCAAGAAAATCTTTGTTCTTTTAGGATGCCTATTATTTATTTTCTTCTTGAATTTCATCTTGATCATCAGCATCATTATTATTATTTTCATCCTATTTAATTTTAATAAATATTAGTTCATGTTTTTATCAAAAATTAATGAGAAAACTTATTTTTATTGAAAGATTAAAGAAAAGTATTGATAAAAAGCATATTTTTTGATATTGTAAGTAAATTTAATTGAATTTTGCTTTACTTTGGTTTGCTCTGGAATTTTTTCAACTTTAGAAATAATGGAGATATCATTGAAGCCACTTAGTTTTTTATAATCAATCGAATTGAAATCAAAATCAATAAATTTTTTTAAATTTATAGGTTTGATCTGTGGTTTTAATTACTATTTCTAAGTTTATTCCTATGTATCTTTCTTTTCATTTTATTTATTTTTCTAATCTTTAGTCATTCCTTTTTATTTATTAGGTTATTTTTTAATATTTGACTATTTTGTAGACCCACTCTCTTTTGATTAGTTTTTCTTGTATTTAACATTTTAAGATTTATGAAATTTAACTACATTTGGGCAAACATAAAGAGATATATCGAAGCCACCTTCATAAGTGTCTCTAATGACTTAAGAGTGAATATCAAAATCAAAAGAATTGTCTTTTATAAAATGAAATCTAGGAATTGATTTTATTAAAGCTTTGATTTCTTCAGATTAATCTTCCTCATAAGTAAATCTGTATTCCACAAATATGATATTTTAATCTGTAAAAGCTTCAATATTCTTTTAGATATGTTAGTATTTATCCAGACTCATAACTTGATAAACTTAAACTTATTCAGATTCTTTTGTTTTTGAAGTTATATGCGATATTAATTCCTTTTGGTTTTTTGCCTTTTTTTCAACTAAAGAGTCATTTAAAGTTATCCATTCAGAAGACTAAATTGCTATTGATATCATTCTTAATCTAACATCTTCTTCCAAATACTAAAAGTAAAGTTAATTTTTGCTGTATGGAATCAGTATACCTTTTATATTTATTTATTGATCTTTATACTTTTCTTCTAAATATTATCTTGCTAATTCCATCATTTTAAGATGACCATAGTGAATTGGCTAAAACTCTGAAAAAAGTAGGATTAATATTGTTTTTACAGCTTAAAATTCCTCTTATTGAGTTGTATTTTCTTTTTAATCTTCTTCCATGCCTGTATATCTAATATCTACTACTTTTTCTATCTTTTATATTTAATTTTTTTAAAATAAATTTTCTTTAGATAAGCACTGCTTTGTCTTTATTAGCGTAAAGTGTCTTATTCATTTGATTAATAAATGATATATTTCTGATCAAATATTAATGAATTTGCAAACAAATCTAGAAGAATTTATTATCACAAAATAAGAATTGATTGCAGAATTAGATATTTACATATAATTATAAAAGCAAAATTATAACATTTAGTTAGTAAGCTATATATTAATATATTTAATAAATTTTAAAGTAGCTTATTAATTTTGATTATAGAAGTTAATCCTGAAATATTCTTATCTAAAAAAATAAAAACTTAGCAAAAATAAATTATATTATTTATTTTTCTACATATTTTTAAAATAATTAATCTTTAAAAATCCAAAATTTTCTTTAAAAGTGAATATTAAAAATAATATTTATTAATAATAAAATGATTAATAATTTATAAAATTATTATTTGAATAAATTTACATACTTTTTACATATATTATCAATCCTCATTAATTAATAACCCTTTTTAATTTTATTTTCATGATATCTTATATTTTTAAATTATTGAATTTTAATTTTGTGATTAGGCTAGGGGGAGATCTTCATTATTGAGTATTTACAGAATATATTTTCTATAAATTAAACATTAAACAAACAAAAAGACAGTTGAGAAAATAATATGATACGTTGTAAATATTGAATTAAAAACTATATTATACTGTAAATTATTGACTTTATTTATAAGTTATTATTTGATAATATAGTAAAGAATAGTATTTACATTTAATATTAAGAAAATATACAATACTGATAATATAATCTTTCAGCTCAAATATAGATCCCAAAATGTAAAAAGTGAAGAAAAAACTAAGTGAGAAGATACATGTTTATCAAAAGTAATTTTCTATAAGGCGGCAATATCAAAATTAGTATTAATAAGATTTTAAATTCTACATTTTTATATTAATTATTAATATTAAGTTAGATCGAATATTCCTGAATCAATTTGTTTGGTGCTGTTTATGTAAAAATCTTCTAAATAATCTAAATCTCTTAATATATTTATGATCTTTTTTAAAGCTTAAATACTCTCAAATTCCCTTCATTTTTAATAATAAACATAATATTAATTCTTGTAATTGCATCCTCAAAGAAACTTACAAGTAAATGTAAACAAGTCTAGCTTAAATTAGCATTTTTAAATAATGGCAAATTACTGTCACTCCTTATAATTAAACCTAATTTAAACTATAAAATTAGTTTAATTTTAAATATAAGCAAGTCAAATATTATTTTATCAATAAATTGAACAATTTATAATATTAAAAATGATTATTATTAAATTATTTAATTTAGAACATCTATTTTATGCTTTAATAAATTAAAAACATAATTACCTTAAATCTATTTCAAAAAATAGTAACTAATTTAGTAGTTATTCTATATTCCTAAAAATAAACTGATTATCATCATTTATTTCATTATTACTGTAATTTTTATTTATAAAAATTAACATTTAATATTTCTATCTTTTAAAAGAATAAAATAGATACTCTAAATGGATTGAAAGCCTTGTCAAGCTTGGAAAATTCCATTATTTAATTTATCTTTAATTGGAAGTCTTGATATAATTTTAACTATTTTAATATAATTAAAGCAATTTGGTCAAAACAATACAAGTTTATTCAATAGTTTGATTTATATTTTATTTGTTGTTAAATTACCTTAGTATTATAGTGAAAGATTTCAAATTTTTATTAGTTTAATTTAATTATGGAAAACTTTTAAGCCTATTTTATCTATTCATAAATTTGAAATTATCAAATATTTAATAATATTTTTCATAAATTTATAAATTAATAAATTAATCCCAAAATATTATTTCATTAAATGAAAAATAAATTTACTCAAAGTCAATAAATAGTTTAGAAAGATTGTTTATTTTTAATATGTCATTAAGCATAATTGAACAGAGATCATCTGTGATATAGCAGTTACTTATTATTAATAATGAATCAATTTTTAAATTGTAATCAATATTTATTATTTTTACCTCAAATTTAGCTTTAAGGATGTTAAATTTTACATTTTGTGAATATTAGAAAAGATATTCTTCTATTGTAGATAACTAAGTCTATTTATAAAGAGTAAATTCTCATTATTGTAAAATCAATTTTTTTAATATTAACCCACTTGAAATTTAAATGAAGATATTTTATATTAGGGCAACTATGAAGCGAACTGATGAATTATTCCATATGCTATCCTTAAATCTTGCAATTACTTTTTAAGAAGTTGATTTTATTATTTTATTTAATTTTATCATTTTACATCATTTCGAGTGTGAGATTTTTAAGATCCTAAAACTGCACCAAAGCAATTTAAAAATTTTTTAAGCAAGCCTAGCCATAATTCTTTTATCTTTGTAATTATAAATATTGTTGTAAATTATTTCTCCCTATTTAAACTATTTACTCTAAATAAAGTTGTATTTTAGTAGAATTAAAGCCAAGTTTTAAAGCCTACTTTTGATCCTTTAAATAAAGCTAAAGTAATTTGATTGAATTATTTGTTTAATTATTTTGTATTTCTTTGCTCATCAATAAATTTATCAAAAATATAAGATTTATTAACAATTACTAAGGATTTTTTATTATCTAAAACAAATCAAATTTAATTTTTGTTCTACTTCATAATGAATATTCATTTGCAAAAATTATAAAAGTGAGTTAATTAATTTATTCTTCAAATCAAGTAGAAATTTTATTATTAATGTCAAAAATTAATGATACTTTTGTTAAATTTTTAACTAAATTTAATTGATATTTTAACTTTAAATTCTAGAAAATAATAAAAAATATTTTAATTTTTTATATTTTTTTCTATTTGTAATTCAAATAACTCAAAAAAAACTCAGATTAAAAAACAAAAAATCTATATAAATAGTCTCTCTCTCTCTTTATTTAAGTAATTATTTAATTACTAGCTTTTCTTTCAAAAATTAATAATATTATTTTTTTTAAATAAAGCTTGCTTTTTTATTATTAATCTAAAATAAAATTGAATTTTTGTGAATAATATTCTTAAAATTTATTTTTATTAGTATGATTAAATAAATAATTCCATTTAATTATTGCTAACGAAAACTTCAGTAAAAAATACTCAATATTAAAAGCAATCAAGAAAGGTATAACGAAAATAACAAAATAAATGAAAAATAAATAAATTTCAACAAATATTAATATATTAATTAAAAACGTAAATATGTTTTTATTATTAATTTATTTATTAAAGTCATTTATTAATTCTTTTATTTCTAATCTAAAAAGAAAAAAATATAGTTATAGCGAATAATAAATAAGAAATCAAATAAATCACTTGATTTATTTATAAATAGATTGTTATTTTAGTGAATATTCAATGCAGAGGCTGATTGGGTTTATCAAAATTTATTGAGAAAGCAAAAGAAATTTAAAACTTTTAAGTGGATTATAACTCTATTGATGAAAATGTAAAATAGAAGAATTATAATAATAAAAAATTTTTAAATAATAAATTAAGTTTTTGACAAAGTCATCACTGTATTTCTTACAAAAATACATCAAACAGATAAATAAGTAAATGCTTTAGATGTTTAGCAGAAGAAAAAACTAATAATTTAAGGACGATAAGCCTTCAGATTCCAAGTTATCATTAGATGATAGCCAACAAACCACCATGGGCTAGGAGTGTTTTGAGAACAATTTAGCTAAAAAGTAGCATCATTAAAAAAGTGATAACACTAAGCCTCTTGAGCAAGATAGGCAAGAAGAAGAAGATTAAGGCATTGGATGTAGAATATGCTTAGAAGAAAGTGAAGACAGAATGTCTGGAAAACTAGGGAACTACTGCAATTGCAAGGGATCAATTTCCAAACTTCATGTTAATTGCCTTGAAGTTTAACTGCAGCTTTAGTTTAAAGATAGCGTGTAGCTTGAGAAGGAATTCCACTCTAAATGTGAACTCTGTTAATCTAAATACAGACTAAGCATTTCTAAAAGGGTCTACTTCAACCCTGCCAACTATATCAAACAAAAAGCCACTTAAAAGAAGAAAATTCTTATGTTCTTGGTTGTGATTTTTGCTCTGTCATTCTACACTTCATATGTAGTGAATAAGCATATTAAAGAGTATATTTGCTATCAAAACAGCTTAAACCATCCTTAGTTGTAAACAATTGAAGACTAGTAAAGCTAGAATTCTACTACTTAATAAATAGATAGTAAATTTCCTTCAATAGAGCAATTCGATTTGAAGAGCTATTTATCTAAAAATTCTTCTAATAAAATAAATGAAATTGATAAAAAGAGTAGCGATTTCAAAGATAGCATACAAGTTACCTTAAGCTACCTCTTAATCGGATTCTTTTGCACCACAGCTCTCTTTTCTTTCATCATGCTTGGATATAATCTTTTTACTATCTTCCTTTATTTTGATGTCTACATCTCTAAAAAGAACCTCTAAATAGCAAAATAGGCTTAAGCAAAATGAAATCTCTTTCACTCAATTTAAAATATGAGTTTAAGCTCAAGTTTTTTTATTCGATTACTATTCATTTTTATTAATTACCCAATTATATAGCCATAATATTGCTTCATTAAATCAAAAATAATACTTATTAAAGTCAACAAGTTAATATGAAAGTAAGTAAGCATACATACATGCTACATGAATGTTTAAATAGTAACAATGATATAAAAATAATAAAAATAATTAGCAAAGTAGCCTTAAATCATCTCATTCATGTAGGCAGTAGTCAATTTAGTGTTTTTTTGAAGTAATTTTCTAAAATTATCATATGTATTGGCAATAAAATAACATACAATAATAATACATAATATTGAGCATTTAAAAATATTAGTAAGTAAATAATGTATTCATAGAATATGAATAAAAATAATCATGCTCATAAATAAATAGATAAAATATTTATATTAAAATGCATAAAAATAAAAAATGAATTTTTAAAAATATATTTATAAACCAAAAAAAATATTAGTTACTAATATATAAATAAATAGATAAATACTTTATTAATATATATATTTTATGAATAATATTTGCATATTACTTCAATCAAAAAGCAAAAAATATTAAATTTCAAATAATTTTTATCTACTAATTCATTCACTTAAATATTATAACCAGTATCCTTTTCCTAAACACTCTATCTTAATAATAAACAAAAGCAAATAGAAAAGTGTTTAAACTATATTCTTAATTTTTTGTGAAATATCATGTAAAATAAAGCAAATATTTAATTTTATTAAATTAAAAGAAATTTTATTTATTATTTATGTTCATGAAATACTATAAAAAATATATTAAATTATTATTTTTCCAATATTTTATATAAATAATAGATTAAACAGGTTATTTTACAAAAAAAATACTATTTAAAAATATTTATATTTTATGAAAATTTATTTTTTATTTAATAGGAAAAAGATAAAACCAATTAAACTGATTGAAATATCAATGGAAAAATAATTTTTTTAAATTATTTTAGAGAAATTTAATATGAAAAAAACTCGAGATATATTAACATAGATAATTATTTTTTCTTTGATAAATTAACAATATTGTCTATTTTTATGCATATTAGGAGAGGCGTTTAATTAGAATTTAAAAATTAAAAGATTTTAGAAATTAATTATTTCAGGCTAGTATTTATTTCAAATCAAAAAACAGAAAATTAAAATTTTTCAATTATTGCTTTTAGAATTATTATGGTTTAAGTATTATGATTTATGATATAAAATTCCGTTTATTCAAGCAAATTGTTTTTTTTTGAATTATTTTAAAGTAGAAAGATAAATTTATATCCATTTCAAGAATAAAAATTTGATGTTAATAACATAGATTAAAAAATTAATGATTAATAATTCTTTATATTAATTAAGTTAGACTCTTTAAAATAAATAAGATATTAAATCAAATGTAGAACAATATTGATAATTAATAACCATCAAGGAGTTAGGAGTAAATACAAAGGAGCAATATCAATATTGAAGTTGAAAATCCCTTAAGTTGCATTTAGACAAAAGTTGTGAGACTTAGCTAGAAATAGGTGATAAACAACTCTGATTCGAATAATTAAAACCGAACATGTAACAATAATCATGAATAGCCATTTATAAAAATAAACTCTCAAGACAACCAATTAACAATGTAAAGTCAAGAGATTCCAAGTGAAAACGTGAATATTTAGCTTGATGGTTATGACATAAATAATAAATAAAAGAATAATAGCCAAAAAAATATAGATTAACAAGAGTAAAATGAAAATATAAAAAACAGCAAAGAGATCTAGCTTGTAGAAGTAAAAGAAATTAGCCAAAACAAACTTCAAAAAGGTGATATAGAATAATAACTTTAAGGTAAAAATGAAAGCAGAAATTAAGAAGAAGAGTAATAAATATGCAGAATTTGCTTGGATGGACAGATAGATTAATGCTCTGAAACAGAACTTCTAAATGTTTGCGAGTGTAAAGGTTCCTTATAGTACATCCATAAAAATTGCCTTTGGTTGCAGCTTTCTAGTAAAGTTAAATTAGATGAATTTGAAAGAAACAAACAGTAATTTATATGTGAATTGTGCAAGAATCCTTATAGAATTAACGTTGGAGTAAAATGCGCATTTTAAAGCTTAGATAAATTCAAATAAAGCATAAAAGACTAGATTAAATAAATCCTCATCTTTCTCAGTTTATTTACAGTTAATGCCGCCATAGCATTACTCATTATCAAGTAATAAATAAATCAATTAATCATTTTTAAACCTGAATTATCTTTAATTTAACTTCCTTTAAAAAGAAAAAGAAAATTTAATTATTTGATTAAATAACCAGTAAAATTAAAAACTTTTAATTAATTTCTAATAAACTTACTCAATGAAAATGTTAATTGATTGATATTTTTATTATTTCTTCACTCATTTATTTCTAATACAAAAATTATCCAAAAATTTAAATAAATATGAGAATAAACTCTTAAATAGAAATTATTTTTAGACTTTATTAGAAAAGAGTTTATTTGAAAAAATTAAAATTGCATTTTAAGAATAAACTTAAATAAAAACTTAATTTCACCAAAAAGGATTTTTGATCTTACAGAATTTTAAAAACTTTCTATTAATTAATATTTTAAAACGTATAAAATAGTTTGATTGAGCAAGAAAGTTAGAGTTAAAAGTCATCAACATTAGGTTTTCTATTTTATATATTTGTCTCTTTTATTACAACTGCCTGTTTTGCTAGCTTCTTAGTTTTGATACACATCTTTATAAAAGCAGGACTAAGAAGAAAAGTAGCACTTCTTAAAATATTTAAAAAGAAAGAAGACTATGTTAATATCTGCCAGTAAAAAAATAATTAATAATAAATTTAATAACAAAATATTGAAGTAACAAAATGAATTAAAAAACGAACAAATTAAATAAGATATCACTTTAGTAAATTACTCTATGAAAATTAATCATTATTTTGTTTATTTCTACTTATGTACATAATCTATATTAAAACAAAATTTCGTTTCTATTCATATATGTTCTTAATTTATTATTTACAATAAAAATTATGGTTAATACTTATTTCAATATATAAAAAGGTAAAGTTTATTTATAATATATTTTTGTACTTAAATATTATATACCGTAAATCCTCATTAATTCTCACCCATTTAAATTTTCACCATTTATTCCGAAATTTTGAAAAATTTTTTCAAAAAATAACAGTACCACAAAGTATTTTTTCGATTATCGATGAAGAGTCGGTATCGTTTTTAGTATTTATTTTAGTAATAAAATATTTTATAAATATAGAATATATTTATAGCATTATTTTAGTTCTATCTTTACTTTTTATTGATCTATTAATTACATATTTATCAATTTAAATTTTTATATAAAACCTTATACTTTTTGCTCATACTTTCATACTCAATAAGAAATTATTAAAATTTAGGTAGTTATCTCTTAAACATATTTTAGGGAAACTAATTTTTGATAAATCATTTAGTGAAGAAAAATTTATAGTGGATATATTTTTTCATTCATTTTATAAATAATTACTTTTTATTAGTAAAAGTAAAAATGTATTTGGTTTTTCCTTAATTAATAATAAATATTTTAGATACTTATTTTGATTTTCTCTTTTTCCTATCTCAAAAATTAATTACAAGTCATTTTAATTTGGTTCAAGTACATGAAACAAATAAATATTGAAAAAACAAAGAAAGGATGAATTTTGAAAAATTATTAGGAGATAATTATATCTCATAACTATCAATTTTATTATCTTTTTTAGATAAGAGAAATTCTTCAGATACTCCCAACTCATATCAAAATTAAAAATTTGATATTAAAATAATTTTTGAATGCTTAATTTTTATATTTTAATTGATTATCATTTTGAGGCTTAACTTAATTTTGAGACATTTACTTTTCTTTCAAGTAACTTTATTGGATAGGAGTAAAAAATTAAATATAAAAGCAAAAAACAAAAAAATGAATGTAACAATTTAAGATAAATTTATAGATGGGTTTTTAGCTTGAATTAAAATTGGTGTTGTAAAAAAAAATTATGGCATATTTTGAATATTTCAAAAGTAAATAACAAACAAACAAAATAACAAAAATTAATATATACAGATATTCATGTAAAGTAACAAACAATTTTTTGAATGATCTAACAAATTTCTGATGTAAAAATGAATGAATAAATTAATAGAGAAGAAATATGAAAAAACAATTTTTAATAATCCTTATCAGATTAATTCATTTAAAACTTCAAAAAGTGAATGGGATGCTTGAGATACAGTAAAGATTTATTGCAAAAATATTTAATAAAATTGAAGGTAATAAAAAATAATAAATTAATTGATTTTTTTTTAATTACATAAAAAATGACTTCTCATTTACCTATTTCATTAGTCTAGTTAGATAAAAATCTTAAGGAAAGTTTAGATTCCTATTAAGTATCTAAAGAAAAAGGCTTAGCGGATGATAATATTGGACATTTAAATTAAATAACAATTCAAACTGAAATAAATTCAAACGAAGATTCCAATTTGAATTGCAAATAGCATCAACATGACTAAAAATAAAAAAAAAATATATTAATTAGTAGCAAATATGAATAAAATATTTAAAAATCATATAGGTCTTCTCAAGATCTAGATCGTCCTGATTAAAAATAATAAATAGGAAATATAAATAAAATTAGATCTCCTTATCTTACAAAAATATGCTCTTCGCCAAATTTAGTTTGTCAGAGTGGAAATTCTTAATTTGAAAAAACAGATTTCGTTTGTTTAGAAATGAAAAATGTGAAAGATAATAGGTTTTGTTAAGACAATAGAGAAAATAAAGCAGAGGAATAAGTATATTGCAGAATATGTTTAGATTCTCAAAGTGATTCAGAAACAGGTTAGCTTTAAAATGTTTGCAGCTGCAATGGATCACTTAAATATATCCATCATCAATGTTTATGGTATTATATAGAGAAAAAAATAAATAACTAAATTGAGTAAAGTTTTCCTTTACAAGTTCAATGTGAGCTGTGCAAAGAATCCTACAGAATATAATTTGAAATGATCACTCAAGCAAATCCTGCATAAGTTGTCAAACAAAACTTTATTAGACAATCTTAGCCCTACTCATTGTTCTTTATCTTAATCTTTGTTCTATTTATTATCTCAGTAATACTATTCCAGTAAATAATTAATTAATTAATAAGCTAACTTACTAACCTTTTTTACTAATTCATCTATTCATTTCTATTAAATTGTTGAATGAAAGAAGAATATACAAAATTTCATTTCTTTCTAAAAATTTTTCAACTTATTTTCGAAATACTTTCAAATAAACAAATTTAATTTAAAATCATCTCTAATTCTTAAATATTTTTTAAACTTCTAATTCTATTGAAATAAGAGAAAATAATACAAATTATCTGATTAATATAGATTTTTTTTTAATAAAAAATAAAAATATTAGAGTTGAATAAATAAAATTTGTTTTACATTTTAAGAACAAACATACATTTTATCTAATAGTGTCATAAATTTTTAAGAATTAAAATTATTTAATAATTAATTATTTTAATAAAAAAGGAGAGCTGTTTAGGAAAGTAAAGTAGATGTGTCTGTGCTTATTACTTATTTTTTCTTTTCATTTGCAATGACTAGTGTTGTAGTTAGTATTTTATTTATTATATACATATTTTATTGTAGTTACTTTAGTTAAGCTTTAGTAATAAAGAAGATATTTCCTTCTATTTAAGAATATTAGGAATATATTTAAAAGTGCAAATAGTTGCTTTAAAAAAATAACAAAATGATTGATTAGTCAAAGTGAAATTGTATTTAATGATATAGTTATTATTGAATACTAAAAAATTGTATATAATTAATAATTCAAGACAAGCAGGTTATATCTGAATTAATATTTATTATAATACCTTAATTTATATATCTATGTAAATGTATAATTAATTATTATTACTATAATTCTAATAATCCTCTGATTATAATATTTAATGAGCGAAATAAGTAACAATTTATGCTAAAACTTTAATATATAATCAATGCCTATTATTTATTTTCATCCTTTTAATAAAATCTTTATTCAAAATACGGTGAAGGTTTTTTCAAATAAATCCTAAAACAAGAAACTAAATAATTACTTACAATATTAAACGCCAATATAACTTATAAAGCAATTTTATTATTATTTTCTTATAGAAAACAATTATTTATCATAAAATAATAGATTTTGTTAAAATTTGATATAGATTATATTTGAATTAATTCTTTTAATCAGTGTCTACTTTATTTTTTTAAATTTTACTAAGATTTATTAATTATTTATGTATATAAATTCTGATCAAGAAAATTATAAGAATAATCTGCTTGATTCTTAACAGATAATATAATTAATTAATTTACAAATGAAAATACCCTATTTTTCTATATAATTATTGGCACATTAAAAACTAAATTCACCAAGACGAAATCAAATAATAATTTAATTAACATAAAAATAAATCAATAATAGAAACTACTTTACAATCAATCACTTAACATAATAATAAAATCAAAATGAATCAAAATATATTTTTAAGTTAACCATTAGAAGTATAGCCAACTAGATGCGAAAGATGTATCTAAAGGATTCAAGCTAAGATAGAAAACCTTGGCTACCAAAATCAATACCAAGCTATCAAAAGTGAAGGGTTCGAAGATGACAAAAAAATACTTAAAGCTCTCAAAAAGAATAAGGGAGATCTCAATCTTGCTCTTCAATTTATCAAAGAAGCTCCTCAAAAGAAAATTAAAAAGTAAAAAGATTCTCAAAATCAATCAGATTTAATGGAAACTGAATCTAAAAAATGCAACAAAAAGTGCAAGGCTGATAAAAAGGAGAAACCTAATGTTGATAAAGAGCAAAAAAAAAATGAAAGAGCTTTAGAGCGTAAGTAACAAAAACTCTAAAAAATGATCGAAGAATTCCCTCAATTCAAAGATTTCAATCAAAAGATGATTCAAGAAGGATTTGAAGATGTCAAGAAAAACTTCAGAGCTCTCAAGAAAAATGAAGGAGATGAACAAAAAGCATTTTCTCACTTAAAGCATAAGTTAATCCTCCAAAATCTTCAACTTTGCAAGACATTCTCAAAGGGAGAAATCCAAAAGCTCTATCTTGACTGCAACAATTGCTTTTTCTTAGAATCAAACTTCCTTAAATTAGCCAAGAATGGCAATTACAAAGAAATTGAGTAGAAAATTGCAACTCTTTTGAATTTGTTTTAAAGTTGCTATGGAAGCCAAATTGAAATCGTCTTGGTTTTTGATAACTCAAAGTTAGTTAAAGACGAAAAAGCTTGTGCTGGATTTGCCTCTTAAGATTTCAAATTGATAAGTGCAAGACCTCAATTCTACATAGCTGATGATGCTATTGTTCATTTTGCTTCTTAAGAAAGTTTGGAGAACTAAAATGGTATCCTCTATGTTACCAGTGACCGTTTACTCTAAGCTCGTTTAGTAGAACAAAATGCTAAGAAGATCATGACTTCTAAGTGTTTCTTCAACATTATGAAGGAGGATTTCATTGGAAGCAAATCTTATTTCGCAGTGATTGAAAATTGAAAAACCAATTAATCAATCTAACAATAACTTAATTAAGGAAGCAATTTTATAACTCATTTTAGCTCCTTAAAATAATAAAATAAATTGAAAGCATGAAAATATATTCATGAGTTAGATCTCTTTCTAAAATTCAGAATGAATTATAATTTAGAAAGAATAAAATGAGTTAAATCTAAAGGGTGGGTGGTTGGCATCAAAATTAATAACTTTAAATCAATATTATTATTATTAATATTCAAATAACAAAAATATTTTGGATCTAAGAATTATTAACAACTAATTCTAAAATAATTTGATAAAGTTATTATTATTATATATAAATAATCATATACATAAATATACATATATATATCATTTACAAATTAATCTTGTTATGAATTATAAATATTGAACAAAAATTAAATGAATTTCTTTTTTTAGAATCTTAAAAGTAATGTTTGTTTAAAATATTTAAAACAAATTAACTAACTAACTAAGCATTATCTTTTTTAAATAATATAAATTAATATACTTTAAAAAATATAAATTTTTAAATGAAAAATAATTTTTTAGATAAGTCAATTAATTAGTAAGTTTAAAACTATATTATAATCTAAATTAATTAATAAATAAAGTTTCAAGATTTAACTTTAAATAAATATAATTTGATAAAAATATAAATAAAAAAGTTTTATAATATTGTTTCTCATATTTTAACATCCATCTTTAAAACTAAAAAATTTAAAGTATTTAAAAAAATATAATTTTTTTCATCAAATAGAAATATTTACTGATAAAATACAAAATATAAAAATTATAGTATAAAAAATTAAGAATTTTTATTAAACTTTTTATTAGTTTGACTTATCAATGAAAAGTTGGTTGATAATTTTTTTAGAGTTTATTAAATTTTAAGTATTTAATAATTGATTATTTTAATTTAAATAATATATGCCTAATATAATTTAGAAATATTATTAAAGTTTTCCTCTAAAACATATATTTTTAAGATAATATAAATAGTGCTTTAACTTTAATAATTCATATGATAAAATGTATTTTATTTATATTTTTCTTTTTTGTTTTTTTGAAGACAACTTACTTATACATTTAATAATATTGAATCTTAAATAAAACATTAAAAGAATTAATTTATTTTGAAAGTCATAAAATACATTAATTTTTATATAGAAAAATATATCACTTACTTAATTCTATATTAACATAAAATAGAAAATCCCTCTTTAATCTAATTATTTTTAAAAACTAGTTATCTATCATAATATTATCAATACTATGGAAAAGATTTTTTATTTATCAATATATATAATTCTGATCAAAAATTCTAAGAAGTAGTATGGATTTGCTTTCATTCTGCTATCATTTTCTATTTTTCTATACATTTTTCTTTGCCTTTAAAAACTTGTCTCAAAAATTAATAAGTTTATTAATAATTAAACAATAAAATAAAAACAATTAATTTCAAAAAACAATCAACTTAAATCATAATAAAAAAAAATGAGCGAAATTATTTCCATAAACTAAGAAGAGTTCAAAAAAATAAAATGTGAAAAATGTATCTTAAGGATTCAAGCTAAGATTGAAAGCCTTGGTTACCAAAATCAATACCAAGCTATCAAAAGTGAAGGGTTCGAAGATGACAAAAAAATACTTAAAGCTCTCAAAAAGAATAAGGGAGATCTCAATCTTGCTCTTCAATTTATCAAAGAAGCTCCTCAAAAGAAAATTAAAAAGTAAAAAGATTCTCAAAATCAATCAGATTTAATGGAAACTGAATCTAAAAAATGCAACAAAAAGTGCAAGGCTGATAAAAAGTAGAAACCTAATGTTGATAAAGAGCAAAAAAAAAATGAAAGAGCTTTAGAGCGTAAGTAACAAAAACTCTAAAAAATGATCGAAGAATTCCCTCAATTCAAAGATTTCAATCAAAAGATGATTCAAGAAGGATTTGAAGATGTCAAGAAAAACTTCAGAGCTCTCAAGAAAAATGAAGGAGATGAGCAAAAAGCATTTTCTCACTTAAAGCATAAGTTAATCCTCCAAAATCTTCAACTTTGCAAGACATTCTCAAAGGGAGAAATCCAAAAGCTCTATCTTGACTGCAACAATTGCTTTTTCTTAGAATCAAACTTCCTTAAATTAGCCAAGAATGGCAATTACAAAAAAATTGAGTAGAATATTGCAACTCTTTTGAATTTGTTTTAAAGTTGCTATGGAAGCCAAATTGAAATCGTCTTGGTTTTTGATAACTCAAAGTTAGTTAAAGACGAAAAAGCTTGTGCTGGATTTGCCTCTTAAGATTTCAAATTGATAAGTGCAAGACCTTAATTCTACATAGCTGATGATGCTATTGTTCATTTTGCTTCTTAAGAAAGTTTGGAGAACTAAAATGGTATCCTCTATGTTACCAGTGACCGTTTACTCTAAGCTCGTTTGGTAGAACAAAATGCTAAGAAGATCATGACTTCTAAGTGTTTCTTCAACATTATGAAGGAGGATTTCATTGGAAGCAAATCTTATTTAGCAGTGATTGAAAATTGAAAAACCAATTAATCAATCTAACAATAACTTAATTAAGGAAGCAATTTTATAACTCATTTTAGCTCCTTAAAATAATAAAATAAATTGAAAGCATGAAAATATATTCATGAGTTAGATCTCTTTCTAAAATTCAGAATGAATAATAATTTAGAAAGAATAAAATGAGTTAAATCTAAAGGGTGGGTGGTTGGCATCAAAATTAATAACTTTAAATCAATATTATTATTAATATTCAAATAAAAAAATATTTTGGATAAATGAATTATTAGTAAATAAAATAATTAATTCGTAAATAATTTGATAAAGTTATTAATATTATATATATAAATATATTATTAATGAGGAATAAATATCACTTATATCAAATTCTTATTAAAAACAATCATTGATAGTAAGTCTATTTTTTATTTTTTCTATCTCATACATTGCATATTTCAAATTATTTTATTGAAATTTATTTATACTTTAAATGTTTTATAAGATAAATATGAATGAAATCATCTTAAATGAATTTATTTATAAACAAAATAATATTAAAGACAGTAAAATCAAAAATCTATTTACAAATACAAACATAATATAAAAACTCAATTTGTCTCGAAATTAAACTTTTAGAATTCAGCTAATTATTATTTGACTTTTGAATTGTCTTCTTCATCTAATTTTTCCTAGTAAATATCTTTATAGGCCATTTCAATATTTTAGTCTTCATTATCTCCTATTTAAAATTTATTCCCTTTTTGTTTCTCAATATCATTATTACCTTTTTAAATGCCTTTATTTTGATCATCGTTTTCTTTCTTGATCATAATTTTCTCATCAGAAGGCCTAAATGATATTTTTAAATATATTTTAAATAAATTATAAATCATAAGAAATTTTACAATTCTTGATGCTTTTTGCACTTTTTAATTCCTAAAAATACTAGAACTGCTAATGCAAGTATGCCAACTATTACAATTATTGCTAAAATTATATAATCATTTTATTATACAGTCTCATTTATAGGTTTAGGATCTTCATCAATACTAATATTGTGTATTTCTTTATCTCCAAATACATATTCACTACAAAAAGCCTAATTAATTTATATTTACTTAGATTCTCTATCAAACAAAATGTCATTATATCTCATAAAAGTCTACCCAAGAGTAGCAGATCCGCTATTATAAATAAATAAAATTGGTTATAAAAATAGATTAAATCTTTGTTACCTTTCAATAGAAATACAGAATTTATATTATTTCGTTTCATACATGTAATACATAGAAGGCCACTCAAATATTTAATCATCATCTAGCTGTAGTTTAATTGTAGGAAAACTATCAAAAAATTATTCAATAGTTATATTAGTTTTAGTTTTATTGTATAAATAGCATTTGTCTTTGATCATGTCACCCAAACAGTTTTATGGATCTTTGCAATGTTCATTTATTTAATTCATTATAAAGCTAATTCATTAAAATTAAACAATAAATCTATTGATTAAAAATAATGCTAATATGATATAATAGATTAATTGAATATTAATAAAATTAATTAATGACTAAAAATACATAAATTTATATGGGCAAATTAATGAATTTGTATTGTAGCATGTAAACAATCTCATTTTTATAGTAAAATTTTAATTATTAATTAATGTAATTTATATAGCTTTTTTGATTTTATTAACTATATAAGTTATCAATTAATTCGAGAGATGGTAATTAGAGTATTTAAATATTTCATATAATATTGATAATAAATTGAATGACTTAATAATAAAGAATATATACTTGTAGTATTTATTAGGAAAATAAGTATATGTTGTTCCAGAATCAATAAATGTTGCAAAATCATCGTCAAGTGTTTAATTTCCTATCTTTTAATATATTACAAAATTAAATTAATTAATGTGCCTGAAATAATTCAGGGGGAGATTTTAGGTGGTTGTAGGGACAAATGTATTTTATTTTGCAAAATATTTGTAATAAATTAGGAATTATAAATAAGCAGGGAAAATATTAATTTATTTAATATTTTATCAGGTTGGTTATAAGAAAACTTAACATTTTTAATAATCTTTTAAATATTTAGTTGCTTTTTTAAATTAGTACCATCTTAAATAAAATTATAAATAAATAAAATAAAAAATCTTTTATGAAATTTAAATATTATGATTAATTTACTTGTAATTTGTGGATTTTGATTCCATATTACTCATTAACTAGATTTGTATCGTATTTAATTTTGATGTTGTTACCATTATTTAAATGATTTTAAGTATCATAACCACCAATTTACATATATCCTGAATCAATCCCTAAACATAATGAAAATTCTAGCTTTTCACTAATATGATTATGAGTTCTAAATGCCATATCAATTAAATTCGGTTATGTGTTTTGTTCTATCAATATTATTTATTAAATAAGTCTAATAATATTCTTATCTAATTAAATATAAATTCTTTTAAAAATTAAAGTTTTACAGTTTGTTTCAGGACCTAAACCAAGTATCCCGTCTGCATCTTGAGTCTTAAATAACTTTGTTTCTCTAATTATTTAAAAGTATTTGAAAAATAATAATATTTTTAAAAAAATATTATAAAAACATATATCAATATTATATATTACATTGTGGCACATCCAAACATGAACTAAGTCTAAATATCAATATATTTTTCTTTGATTAAAGTTTCTATTAATGTTTCATTTCTATATGCTTGGTATAATTCATCTCCAAAAATAGCTTAATCTATCATATAATAGCCTTTATAAGAACTACCTTCCATATAATCCTATTAATAAAAGAAGTGTTGAATAGTTTTTTCTTAATAAATAAAGCTAAAAAGTATTAAATCTTCAAACTAAATAAAAGAGGTAATATAATTTTAATAGAAATTTTAAATTATTTAATTGTAATCTACCTACTTAAACAAAAGTGCATTAGTTTATTTAATCTTGGTCTTGACTATTGCAAAAGCATTAAAAATTCTCAAATTTTTCTTGACATTTTAAAGGATGAAATGTAGAACTCGATTTATAATCAAAATATTTATTCAAATGTGAACCGCAATTATTATTCTAGCAATCTTTATTTTTAATAGATTTATTTACAGTTGCTGCAAATTCTCTTTTAATATTCTAAATTACCAACACATGGAAATATTGTTTTAGTACTTCCCGTGTCGATTATAAGAGCTTCTCTTTGAGGAGGACTCCCAACGTAAATATTTACATAATAATAATAGTATTTCAATCCTCCGCCTAATTGGACTCTATGAATTTAAGGATTATATTCTTTTTGACAAGTAGCTAGAGTAAAAAAGATAATTAATAAACTCTATCGAATAATCATCTGCTATAATGCTTAATTATCACGCTAACTAAGAGATAAATAATAGTAAAAAATGTGAGTGATTGACTGATCTACCCTCCTTTTAACTTATATTATTTGCTTTTATATGAATTTTAATCACTTAAGTTATAATTATTTCTTAAACCAATTTAATTGAAAATCTAAAACACAAACAATTATTAAAATCTTACTACTTTGTATTTCTTTTTTATCTATCTTTCTGTCTTTCAATTAAAATTTTATTGATTTTTTGATTGTTTCTTCATTTAAAATACCTAAATATTACTTATTTAAACCAATCTAAGCTATGTATCAGTCTAGACAGTTGTTTTTACCATTCTAATTTATATAAGACCTATTTATAGATTTATACAGGAACAGATTATTCATGTAATTACTCCTTTTTTAAAATTGGGTTCTAAGACAAATCTTAGTATTATTTAATTCTAAAATATATGTTTGTAATTAAAAATAATGAAAATTATTGAAAACAAACTAAATGAAATAATACATTATATTTTTAATATCATATGATCAAAAAAGGTATTTTATTTGAAGTTTATCATATTATAACAAATAAAAGGCCAAATTGAATTCAATTTGTTTAGTAGTTTTTTAGTTAAAGAAGCAAAAAATATTTGATTACACATAATAAATGGAATTTAAATTATTTTTTTTAAGCAAATAACTATTAAAAGTTATAAGTTAACATGAATTTATTTATATTTATCAATCTATTTAAACTTCTGTTTAGCAAATTGGACATTTTTTATTTTGTAGAAGCCATTAATCTACACATTGTTAGTGCATTAAATGAAGGCATGGATTGAGTAATCTAAGTTTATCTTTGTCTTCGTAATCGTTTTAGCAGATAGAGCAACTCTTGTCAACGTTCTACATTTTAGATCCATCGAATTCAATAATATTCAAAGCTTCTATTTATTACCTTGTAAAACCAGTATGAACTTTACCCATTTAATTTTCTAGCTCAAGTAGTTACTAAAATTAATATTTGAATAAAAAGATAAAAGAATGCAAAATAAATTTCGAAAGTGATTACCTCATAAGACATATTCTCAACATCTAAATTAAGATTACCAAAATTATTATTATTTTATCTACTGTTATTATTATTCTATTATCTTTATCTTAAATTATAATTTCTTTGTTGATAGTTGTTTATATGTCTGTTTTAATTATTGCCTTAATATTAATTTTAACTTTGCTAGCTACTAACTTAATTTTATTTTTAAGATTTCTTTTTCTCAAACTTCTTCATCTCCTCTATCTGCTTTTTTTCCTATTAACTATCTCTGATGAAGCTAAAGTTGTCATTGTCTTTTATAAATACATTAATATTTATTAGATGAGATAGTGATCAAAATTTTTATTTAAATTAATACTAACACATAAATTTCTATTGTTTTCCAACTCTCTCAATTGAATCAGATAGATTTCTTTCTCAGAAGCAAGATCATTATTCGCTGCTTGAAGACTTTCAATTAAATAGTTTTTATCTTCTATTTCCTATATTATTAATAAATGATAATTTATATTTGAATAAATGAGCAATTATACCTTTTTCATAATCTGATTTTGATCTAAAAGCTCTGAATATCGTAAACAAAGCTCATCATATAATTATTAAACATTTTATGTCGCATTTCCATCATTAATTTAAGAATAATTATTATTATTATTGTAATCAATTCTTTATTAATATCCTGGCACCTAATTATTTTATTATGCTTTTTATTAAATAATACAATATTATTTTATTCAGGTAGGTATCAAATAATAAAGTAGTACGATAGTAATTCTAGCTTCCTTAATTAAAGTTCATCGGAATAATGTTATTACCGTAGTTCATTTCTGTATTGAATTAATACTTTTAATTATACTTAATTTGATCTATTTAATTAATTTGACAAATAAATAATGCAATAATTAATGAATGAATGCTTATTATTTTAGAATAATAAGATGATAAAAACAGATTAAATATTATTAGAATATCTGAAATAAATAAATTCCCTTATTTTTTTCTTTTCTATATAATTTTTAACTTTTTTATCATATTTTGAAAAAGCAAAAAACAAATAAGTTTAAAATATTTTTATTTTTCCTATCAAATTAATTTTTTCTTTATTTTACATTAAAATAGATTAAAATATATTTTTATTTTATTTATAATTTAAATTTATTAAAAAAATAAAAATATTTCTGCATTATTATTTAATAGGAAACAAATGATAAAAGAAATAAGCCAATAACAAATAAAACAAAATTAGAGTATATATAATTGAGTTAAAATTTAGTATAACCTAAACATTTTTTTGTTATTTTATTATCTTGGAAACATTTATTTTTCAAAGATTTACAATATTCACTTTCCTAGAGTTTTATTTTTTATTTTAGAAAAAATATATATTTATTTTTCAAATATCTACAATAGCCACTTTATTTAAATTTATTAGGTTTAATTTTATAAAATAATCCATATTTAATATCTATTAAGAATTAAAATTAAATAAGTTAATCATCATATATGATGAAAGGCTTATAGTTTTTAATGACATTAATTTTTATTATTTTGAATCAATTTTTTTTTATGAAATATTTTTATAATTTTTTATCGCCATTTTCTATTAGCTTTATTATTTTAATTAAAATTTACAAAAATATTAATACTGACAGAGGATAAAAAATAAAAAATCATGATGAATAAAGGGACCCATTAGATTTATTAAGATGATGAAAGAAGTTCATTTAATAGTTTTTATTTTAAGGGAAGTATTTTTCTAATATTTATAATAGCCACATTCTTTTTTGAGTTTCTTATGCAAAGTTAAAAAATAAAATTCATATTTTTAATAACAATTATTTTAAATAAACCTAAATAAAATCAACAAACAATCATGAAAATAATACTTTCTTGCTTTTAAAATAAGCTTAAATTTTGGCATTTAGTATAAATTTTGTTTTTTATCAGAAACATTTATCATGCATAAGCAATAGCTCTCTCTTTAGTTTTGTTAAGTTTTATTTAGGAAAACTCTTCGTATTAAAACACAATACAATTAATATAAATATAAAAATAAATAAATATAAATCAAGGTACATAAGATAGCTTTTATATTGATATATAATTTTAAGAAAATTAAAATTTTTGTTTTGAACAAAATTTTTCAAAGATTCATAGCAGTTGATTTCTTCGAATTTGCCATATTATTATTATAATTAGGAATAATATTCATATTTTAAATACTGCATATTCAATATTAACAAAAAATCAAATAAACACTCATAATAGTAAACAGATTAATTGTCTTCAGAATTATATTACTACTTTAAACTTGGGATTTTGTTATAATTTGGTTATTTATCTTAATATAATCTTTAAAATATTGGCGATAGCCACTTTCTACCAATTTTTTTTGGTTTATTTTGGGTAAATTATTCATATTTAGATATGATTTGATGAACATAAACCGAACATTTTAAAAAGTATACAAAATATATACCATCCTCATGATTAATCTTAGCTTTATAAAAATCATTTTAATATGTTAGATAAGAAATATCTTTAAACTATTTTTGAAGTCTGTCCACTTTTATAATTTTTTTAGTTTGATTTTGTAAATACATTCATTATTTTTATTTTATTTAATTGAAAGATACAGAAGATAGATTATGAGAGCTTAAAATTTCTTTTTAAAAATTTAAAAAATAAGATAATTTATTTTTCTCTAGAAATAATTTTATTAGAATAAGTTGTGCTAGCTAAAAATAACTTGTTTTAAATTCTAATTTTGAAAAATATTTTATTTTAAATTAATTAACTAAACCACCAACAGAACAAACCAAAATAAATAGATAGACATAAAAATGGTTTGATAGAATATATTATTGTGTTAACTATTATATGATTAGAAATATTTTTTTTATTCCAGATAAATATTTTTAAAAGATCTACATAATTACTTACATATTTATAATAGCCAATAAAATTTTTATGGTAATCCTGCTTATTAATATAAGATATTTGCTTTGTTGTGAAATATTTTTAATTAAATTACAATAGCTGCTTCTGCTGTTACTTATCTTTAATTTTTAACTTTGGATATTATAACTAAAATTGAAATAGCTGCTTTATATTTACATTAATATTTTTGGATTTGTTAATTACAAAAATTATCTGTGCTATTAAATCTGTTTAATCTCTTCTTATATGATTATTAATTCATCTTCCAAGATTTTTTGATTAAACTTTTTTACAAATTTTCCAATTTAATTAAGTGGTAAATATTTGTTAATTAACTTAATTAAGAAAAATAATATAATAAATACACACACCTTTAATTTATTATCCTTTCCTATTTACTTTTTATGAATTCTTAGATTTAATAACTGTAAACACTAATATCTCAAAATTAGTAATTTCCTCAGTTTTTTTAATTTTATAGTATATATTATTGAGCTCTTTAATAGTTTCTAACAAATAATCAATTAGTCGACTTTTATATTTTAAAAGATAGAATTTCTATTATAATTTTTTTTATGTGAGGGAGTTATATTATGTCATTTTTGTTTTATTAGATTAATAAAAAGAGAAATATACTTGTGTTTAAAAGAATTTAAAATAATTTATTATTATTTTTCATTTTTTATATGATTGCTAAAAAGATTTTTAGTGATGTAATGAGATCTAGTTAATTGTTAGTTAGTTAGCTATAAATATTATTTTAAACATTTGAAATAGTAAGTTGTAGAGGAAAGCTAAAAATTGGGTATTTACAAAAGATTAAAAGTGGTGGAGATGATATTGAATTTTTGCAGATTATTTATTTCAGATTTAAATAAAAGCTGCAATTTTTTAATTTTGAGAATACATATCTAATAGGTTTATCTCTAAATATTTTTTACTGGGTTGATTTCATTGCTTTAACATTTGATTTATTTTGTATTTTATTTATTATCTTTCAAGAGCTGTATGATTTTTAATTAATTGTTAATCCACTTTAAAAATTCACTCATTTTAAGTTGGATTATTAATTATTCTGAATTGGTATTTTCATTACATTTTTTTAGAGACTTTTCTGTTATTGAGTAATATAAATTCAATCATAATTATTTAAATTAATATATAGTCATACACTGACATTTAACAACTAATATACTTTCAAAAAATTTTATTTATATATTTATAAATTTTACTAATTTTAAGTTATTTTTATAGAGATGCTTCTGCCTTCATTTTTTCTTCTTGTTATAATAGAGATATATTTTTCCCATAATTAAATAGGTCTTGCTATTCCTTCAAATTACTTCTGTGAAGTTTATTTCTTACTTTTTTAATTACTTCTTAATAATAATGAAGGGCATATATAGAAAAAAGTGCCTTCTGTCTCAGAAAAAAAATTAAAAAAATATTTTATTTTTCCAGCCCGGCCATAAATTTTTATTTTTGAAGAAAGAATTGAAAATAATTTTTCTTCAATAGTTATTTTAGAATTAATATATAAAATAATTTGATGTTTTGTTTGATTGTAAACTATAAAAATTGATCACTATCTTAATTTATTGTTAAAGTAATTGAATGATAAATATTTATTTAATTTACATAATCTTTTATTCATAATTATTTTGAGGGGTAAGGTTTATAATTTTAATCTTTATTTAAATTAAGATGATTACTTTTTACAGTACCTCTCTTATTATTTTTTGGGTAAATTCTAACAGAAATAAATTAATAATGAATCAATCAATCAATTAAGGAATCAAGTTAATTTTTTTAAGATTTATACATCGAAAAGAGGAATATTTTGATAGTATAGCTATTACATCTTTTTCAAAGTGAATTGAACGCTAAAATTACATACATTTTCATTGTGCTAAGAAATAATTACATATAACTTTTTACTATCCTTCGCTCCTTCAGTTTTAAAAATATAATTTAGCATAAATTAATTAAATAAAAAATTATTTTAAGCCAATAATCATTTTGTTGATTAACCTATCTAAATTTTCAATTGAATACTTTATTTAGTTTTTTAACTTTTTTCTTTAAATTATTCAACTTTTTCGTAAATCAATTATAAAAAATTAAATTATTTCTAATTAAGAAAAATCAAAACTAAAAAAACCTAAATTATAGATAAAAAAATGGACAATTAAAGCTAAGCAGAATTTCTCATTATGAAAAACATTCTCTACTTGGTTTAAACAAGTAAAAAAGCTGTTTAAAGTTAGAGAAATCTGTTAAATAAATGGTTTTAAGACTCTATAAAAAATTATATATTAGAGTAAATAGCATCACCATTGATTGCTAAACATCTTAATTGCAGCTCGTCCGCAGAGGTCAAAGTCTTCATTCGCTAAAATATTGATAAGTCTAAACCTAAATATATGGGAATAATTGAGTAATACTTTTTGAACATTAACAAATACAATCAGGGAGTTGCTTTCATAGAAAAATTGAATCAGATTATTTAAAACCCATAAGATATTACATAATTATCAAACAAAAAATCCTATAATATCAACAAAATAGCTAGAAAGCAGTTTGCTTGCTATCTTATTTTGCATCTTTTTATGTCGGAAGAGTAGTGCGAGTTTCCTTCTTTTTATGAGTTATGGAATTCATGCTTTCCCAATCAAATCCAAGTTAAAAAAAAACTCTCTAAATTTGATAAAAAGGAAGAAACAAAAAAGTAGAAGCGCAAATATGTAAGAAGATTATCTTAAAAAGACTCTTTACCAACATCTCAAAATGAGTTAAATAATAGTCAAAATACTCTTGATTTGAAATTTGAAATTTAAAATTATGAGTCTTCATCATCATTATCTAATTAAAGCTTGTTGGATGATAATTACTCTGATAAATCACACATAAAACTATCTGAAAGTAATATGAGTCTATTTTCTAAAAAACAAATCAATAATAAAATATTTGAAGAAAATACTAAAGAAGAAGATTTAATAAACGATTATTAGGGAGATCTCGGTTCTGAATACATATACTAAAAACAAGAAGACATTGATTATCAATATTATTCCTACTAAAATTATTATTAATAAGAAATAAATCATCAATAATCCATTTGTGATACCTAATAAAATTAAATACATTACCAAGAATAACAGTAATTGTACTAACAATTATAAGAAGAAAATTATGATTATCCTCCTATTGAATTGTCAAACGAATAAATCTTTATCAATTGGTAATAAAACTTCAATGAAAATAATTACCAAATTAATAATTGTGGCTATTATAATTAAATAACCTAATGTTATATCTGAATATTTTTAATTAATACATGAAATAAGCTTCCAAAATATAAATAATTACCATTAATTTAGCTACAAAAAATATAATAGACTCAAAAATTCATTTTTCTTAAATTATAAATATTTTATTCATTCTACTATCAAATCAGTTACTAAATAAAGCAAATCAAGATAATAATTTAATTTTTCTTAAAATAAACACTTTCTTAGTCTAATAAATAAATAATAAAATCTTTAAAATATCATTAATATTTTTCTTATCCCACATCTCATAATTTAAAATTAAATATAATATAATACTTATTCTTTGTTTAGCGAAGCTATTTCATATTTAATTTAGCATGTATTAAAATATATGAATATTCAAAATAACCTATTCTTTGATTTTATTTAAGCTTGTTTTGCTTTTTTTATGTTTTAGCATAGTGGTAAGGAAAAAATTTTTTTCTCAAAAATTAAGGTTTCTTATTCTTTAAAATCATATAAATATTTACAGTAAATTTTCTACAATATGACCCCCTCTTCTCTAAACTTTCTAATAAAAAGGGGTTTTTTAGAAAATTCTAAAAAATTTTTTTAATTGTTCTGTCTAATATTATTTTTATTTGTATTGGATAATTTATAAATTCTTATTCTTAGCTAATATGATTTATTTAAATCCAAATTATAAAATATTGATACTACTTTGTAGAGAACTACAGTGTTTGAAAGTGATAATGAAATGAAAATTTATAATTTCTAAAAGTAAATTTGAATTGGATGTTTTTTTTTTCTAAATTATAAGCATGAATTTATAAATAAAAAATAAATTATTTTAAATAGAAATTCTAGCTCTAATATAAATATTGAATAAAATTATGAAAATATTTAGTTAAAGTACAATTTTTTTTTTTTATTTTTAAAAATATCATCATAAGAAAAGATAATATTTCTTTATTGATTTTTCTTTAAAAACTTCGCTTATATCTTAATTTAAAAAATAAAAAGAAAAGATTTCATTTGCAAAAGCGAAAATATTTTATTGATAATTTGTATAACAAAAAATTAATCAAACAATAATGGTTATATATATAGAATTTTTGCAAAAGATAAATAGGACTTCAAATTAAAATAGCAGCAAATAAATCAGGAATATTTTTCAAAATTAAAGTAAATATGTTAATTTCTTAGTCGATAAAATAACTTTTATGGATTTAAAAGTATTATAAAATGTAAGAAATCATAATATCAGATTTTATTGGATGGGTAGAATAATTTATTTTTTTAAAATATTAATTTTTTAATGGATAATATGATACTTTGTTATTTTTAGAGAAAAATTTAATAAAAATTGCAATAGCCAAATAAAACAACTTTATTAATTGAAGCTATTAGAAGTATTTTCTTAAGACTTGATTTTGAGATAAAAACTAAAACTTAATAATTTTTTTAATTATCAAACTATTATTAATATTTTTCTTAAAGCCAGTTAACTACATTTTGTAGATGAAACTTAGTTTAAATTTTATAATTTATTTTCTGTAAATACCCAAGAATTATTAATTGAATATAAATTAAATTATTTTAAATTTTAAATAAGAAATTTATTTTATGAATCAATCAATAAATTATTTTGCTTGTTTTAAATTCTGAAAAATTTACAAAATAAAACAAAAAAGCTTCGTTATTCCTAAATTTATAAGATAATTTTCTAACAATAGTTATTTTGAATTTATTTCTTATATATCAAAATATATTTTATTTATATGGGTGGATTTTAACTTAATTTATTTAATTAAACATAATTTTACTTCATTAAATTCTTAGATAAAAATTTACTAAATAAAATTATTTTTATTGCTAATAGTAGTAAGCTTTCATATTATTAATTAAATATGCTGATAAGTAGTAAAAAAATTTAGAATTTATATTAATTTAAATATAAAAAAATCAATTTTTTTAGCTTAATAGAGAAAAAGTCTATTAAAAAATGTAATATAAAATTCAAATGAAAAATAAATTATTAATCCTACTAAAAAGGAATATATTTTTAAAGTGGATAAAAATTAATTAAAAGTCGTACAGCTCTTTAAAGATACTAAATACTTAATAAATTAATTATTAAATCAATAAAATCAGCCCAGTAATACATATTTTCAAACAAAGATATTAGGACATTCTCAAATTTTAAAAATTGCTGCTTTTATTTAAATTTGAAATAAATAATCTGCAAAAATTTATCATCATCTCAGCCACTGCTAATCATTTAACAAATACTAAGTTTTTAGCTTACTTACGAAACTTACTTTTTCAAATTTTTAAAAATAATAATTATAAAACTAACTAATCTCATTATGTTGCTCAAAAATATTATTAGCAGCAATATATAATTATTTTTTTCTTTTTTATTGATAAAACATTTTTGAGTAATGTTTTTCCATAAATATATTAAAATAATTTTCAAAACTAAATGCTGTTAAGAGAAAATATATTTATAGTTTTATTAAAATAATAAAATAAATAAGACATAATATAATACTCGACATAAAAAAATGATAATATAAATTCTAATTTATTAACAAATAAAATAGATTAATTGAATATTTATAAGAAACTTTAAAGATATCAGCAATATTTTTTTTTAAATTTATAAAAATAAGGAAATTATGCTAAAACTGAGATATTTATTTAAGTTTACAGTTTTTAAATCTACAAATTCAAGGAAAATAAATAGATAAGAATTATAACTTTAAAGCATATTATTATTCTGAATTAAGTAAAGAAAAAAATATTTACCATTTAATTAATTTAGAAAATTTACAATATAGCTTAATTAAAAGATCCGGGGGAAAGGGATAAATTATAACAAAAGAAGATATCAAACAGATTTTATTGCACATTTAGTTTTTTTTAATTAAAAAAATCCAAAAAAAATAAATGTAAATGTAAAGCGGCTATTGTAAATTTTAATTTAACACATATAATATCCAAAATTAAAAATAAAAAGATATGTAGCAGCAGGAGCAGCTATTGTAATTTAATTAAAAATTCTTCATAAAAAGTATCAATTAATTAGATTACCATAAAAACTTTATTGGCTATAATAAATAAGTAAGTATGTAGATATTTTAAAAATATTTATTTGGAAAAAAATAAAATTTATTTCTTTCCATAATAGCTAACATAATAAGAAACATTACCTGAATTTTTATTTATATTTATTTTGTTCGTAGTTTTTGTTTAGTAAATTTAAAAAGAAAATATTTTCAGAAGTTAAATTTAAAACCAGTGACTTTTGCCAACCAATATCAAAATGAGTTTAAAAATTTTTCTTATCTAACATTATTAAATAAAAATTTATTACTAAGATTAGCATTATGTAGTAGATTTCTTTGTCTACCTTTATAATTTTTTGTGGATGTTGATCAAATAGAATCTAAATGTAAGAATAAATTATCCAAAATTAAACAAAATAATTAGTAGAAAGTGGCTATCATAAATATTAAAATTTTTTAAATAGCATAACTCACAAAATTAATACAAAATCCCTAGGTTTAAAGTAGAAATATGATTCTGGAATAATCGAATTTACCATTATGAGTGTTTATTTAATTTTATGAATTTAAAATATTAATATCACCCTAATTTTAATAAAAGCTAAACAAATTCAAAATAATCAGCTACTGTCAATCTTTGAAAAAATTTCTTCAAAAAGAAAAACAAAACTCCAAATTGACCGATGTGAATATTAAATATCATAATAAAAGCTATCTTTATACTTTGTTTAATTTTTATTTGTTTTTATATTTATATCTAAAATAATATGAATTGTTTTTCCTAAACTAATCATAACAAATTTAAAGAAAACACTATTGCTTATCTTTTTAAAAATATTTCAGATATAAAACAAAATTTTTACTCAATAGTAAAATTTAAGATCATTATGAAGCTATAAAATATTATCTTCATGCATGTTTGTTGATTTGATTTAAGTTAGCGAGTGTCCAATAAATATTTTTATTACATAAATACTTATCTCTTAACTAAGCATAACAAACTCAAAAAAGTAGGTGGCTATTGTAAATATTTGGAAAATATTTCTAAAAAAATAAAACTTTACTAAAAGCTAAAAATGAACCTCATTCATCATCTTAATAAATCTAATAGTTCTCTTTACTCTTCATGATTTTTTTATTGTTATCCTCAGTCAGTATTATTGTTTTTGTAATCTTTAATTAAAATATTAAAGCCAAAAGAAAATGGTGATTGTAATTGTAAAAAGTATTTCATAAAAAAAAATCAATTTAAAAAAGGTAAAAGTCATAAAAAAATTATAAGCGTTTCATCATATATGATGATTAGCTTATTAACTTCAACCTGTTAGTAAATCTTAAATATATATTATTTTTTAAAATTAAACCTAACAAACTAATAAATCCAAATAAAGTGGCTATTGTAGATATTAGAAAAAAAAATATAAAAATAAATGAATAAATTTTCACTCTAAGCAGATGTTCTAATTCTTTGAAATAATGTTTCCAAAAAAATAAATACAAAATTTTAAAGGAGTACTTAATTTAACATAATTATATATAAACACTAATTATGTTTTAGATTTATTACCTAATTTCTTTTATTGTTTGTTTACTGTTAAATATTAAAGCTAAAATTTAAAAGATAGATGCCTTTTGTAAATATAAGAAAAACATTTCACTAGCTGGAAAAAAAATTGCGGAGAGGGAGAAATAATTAGGTACTATAAAAAATATATAAAATTATTAGAGAATATTTAATATTTAAATTTTATGAATTAAGATCAGGTCCTCCGACTAACTATTTTTGATATATAATTTATTTTAAATTTCAAAGCGAATAAATAAATCTAAGTCTTTGTTGTTTGGAACATATTTTTATTATAATAACAATACTTAATAATATAAATATACCTCAAAAATGAATATGTATAATAACTTAATTTAGAAAATATGTTTATTTATGTTATAGGTAGGTGTAAATGTACATTAAATTATTTTATAATATATCAGTATAAATAAAAATTTTAGTCACATATGTATAAAGAAGCAGCGTTGATCGTATTATTAATCATCTTGGTCTATTATGTTTAATTAATCTTAAGTATTTAATTGTTAAGATAAGAAATTGTGTTAATTTCCAAAATCTGAGGATATATGTTAATAATAATAGTTTTTATATTAATAATATTAATCTTATTATTCATAGCAAAAATCATATTAATTTTTGTTTTACTCTGGTATGGTTGGAACCTAGTTTAAAGGACAAGAATTTATTCCTTATTAACAAAAAGTATTATAGTTTATTATTTGATCGTAATAATTGAAAGACTCTTCTTGGCTATCTTCATCAAATATTCCGTTATTGATTGGTTATCTTTAAGAGTGATAAATACAATTATTATTCTCTTCATCATAGATAGGTAAAGTTACATGAGATTAATCGAGATTATTTATACTTGCAGAATTTTAATCAGTAGAAGTCTCCTGAATAATGCTTCCTATTTAAGTTGAAAAATTGAGAGAAGTAACACTCTACTACAAATTAGAGGAGGAGGATAAATCCGATTATACTATTTTTTTTGTATATTTACGCTTATTTATTTATTTATCTTCCCTTTTATCGAATTTAGAGAGTTTCTTTTTTGTTTGAATTTCTTATGGGAAGCAGGAGTTCCAAAGTTGATAAAATGAGGTAATTTCTATCTTTCCATATGACTCAAAAAACTTCAAAAGGAGTAAGCATACAAATTGCTTCCTCACAAGTTTTAAATCATTATATTTATTTTCTTTTTATGTGATATCTTTAGGATTTTAGATTATTTAATTTAGCTTTTCCATAAAAGCCTGACCTTTATTAAATTTATCAACATAAAAAAAGTATTATTCAATAATCCCCATGTACTTAGGTTTAGATTTGTCAATGTTTTTGCGGATAAACTACTTCACTTCCACAGAAGAGCTGCATTTAAGACCTTAAGCAATCAAAGAAGAGGCCATTTGCTCCATGATGTAGTTCTTAATTGAGTCTTAAAACCATTTATTTAGCAGATTTCTTTAGCTAAATAGAGTTTTTTAGCTAGTTTAGACCAAGAAAAGGATATTCTTCATTATTATTTATTCGTTTTTCATTTGATTTAGAACTTTGATAAATTGAGGGTTTTTTTATATTTTTTTATTTCTTATTTTATCTAAATTAATTTTTTATAACAAATAAAACAATATTTCCTACTATTTAAAAAACAAGCTAATATATAAATTAATTTCTAGTAATATTTATTTGCTTAAGTTGTAACGATATGTAAATTCGATTAGATTGATATAAGCCAAATTACATTCAAAACATCAAAATAAATTATAATTAACAAAATTTTTAAATAAATAATTAAAATTCTTCAAAAGAGCAAATTTTTACCCACTAAAAAATCACACATATTTTTTTAAGTAATACATTCAAGCATTTTGATAATTGCAACTAAGTTAAAAAATTTTGAAGTCAATTCAAAACTACCAACGAAAAACTTAATTTGTTAATTTGTTCTTAAAATAAAGATAATTATCAAAATTTGTTTATCATATCTTACCCCTTAATTAAAAAATTTGATGACAATCTTTACATTTAAACTTATCTAGTAAATAAATTATAAGAAATAGGTTTTCATCTTGATAATGAAATGTAAATTGAGTTGCTATATTTTTACATGATCAAAAATATTTATTAAATAATAAAAATGATTAAAAATGTATTCTTGAAGCACATCTAAAATAAACATTTCAGTTATTTCTTATTAAATTTTTGTTTTGACATAAAAAAGGAATGTTAAATAAATTTTCTTGGCAATCGAATTTATTATTTTAACAGAATCAATTATTTTTTAGTTAAAAAAAAATTAATCTTACCTAAAATAAATTAATAAAGCAGAAAATTTTAACCTATCAGATATTTTTTGAATGACTCATTTAGATTTTAATAATCTAAGTAACAAGTTAGCTATATATCTTAAATTTAATCATAATAATATCTACCTATCTATGCTTTTTCATTCTAAAAAATGTTATAAATACAAAGTATTTTTTGTCAGATCACCTCATCGAATATAATTATGTTTTAAAATAATATAATAACTTAGATTATTTAAAAAAACTTTAATAAAATAAGTTAATTAAATTTTCTTTATTTTTTGTAAAATTTGCTTTCATATTTATGTAAAAGATTAACAATTCAGAATATATTGGGAATAATTAGATAATACAATTTTGAAGTTAAGTGGAGAAAAAATTTCTTAAATAAATTAACAAAAATAATTCATTAAGATTTGTTACAATCAAATTTTCAATAAAATTACAATCTCTATCAGTTTTGAGAAAAATATAAATGATCAAATAAACTAATAAATTCTGCTAACAAAAATAATTACTTTTTTCTAACTTTTAGTTAAAAATTAATTGAAATTAAACCACAATTTCTGAATTATAAATTTACAATTCCAAATAATCAAGCTAATTAATACTGATACTGAAAAAAAAATATTAACTAAAGTTTAAATAACTTAATGTCATATATAAAAAACAAATTCATAATTAACCTTTGATTAAAAACTAAAATAAGTATTAAATAATAAAAAAATTATCGTGATGACAACTATAATTACATTTTCTAAAGTTATTGATAAAAAGAAAAAAATTAACTACAAAAAATACAATAAACAGATAAATTTTAATATTATAATATATTTATAAATTATATTATTGGTTAATTAATTGTTTGCTTTTAATATTAAAGGATTTTAATATTATGAGTTAAAGGTATTCTTTATCATATGAATCAACTAAAATAGAATATTTTTAAATATTCAAGAAATTAAATTAATAAAAAAATTCATGTTTTATAATATCAATATTTTTTTTAAAAGGAACAAATATTTTAAAAAAATAATCTTATATTTGTATTTAATGCAAATTTTAATAAAATAGTTTTTATAATTTATATTTTATGGTAAAATAATTAACCAAGGTTAAAAATTATCAAATAAAAAGGAAAATTTTAGGAATTATTTATTGAAGTAAAATAAGTTATGATATATAATATTGATTCTTCACAAACAAAAAATCAAAAAAGACTTTTTGCTAATTAATTTATTTATTGAAATTATCATGGTGATATAAAACAAAGAATTTTGCTAATTAAAGACTTGTTAAAAAGCTTTTGCAATTTTTTTTAACAAATTTTGAGATATAAAAAATAATTTATTGGTTAGAATTCATTAGAAATTAGTCGATAATTAGTAATAAATCAATAAATAAATTATTTATAAATAGTAAAACGTTAAAACAAACAATGGATTATTTAGTTAGTTTTACATCTTATTATTTAGTTAATTAATTTAATTTTTGAGTATAAGCTTAATGATTGTATAATAAACTAAAATCCTAATTTATTTTAAGGATTAACAGATTATAATTGAATAAAAATAAGTCGATAAATTATAAATAAGTTTATTACCACAAATCAAATAATAAAAATAATTTTTTTTTTTTAATTCTAAATATAAAATAATTATTTAAAAAAAAAATTACTTAAATCGAAATTATTTGAATAATAAATAAAAATAATTCTATTAGGAAATTGTTAATTTAAACTTTATAATTAGAAGTATTAGAGCAACTATACTTCTTTTAATTTAAAAAAACATTTCATTTTATTTCTTTAGAATTAAAATATAAAATAAATTTGATTATTATAATTTTAACAAAATTAGTTTTATAAGACAAAATTGAGTTGATACAATTTTATATTCCAAAAAGTGAGAGAAAAAGAACTAAATTTTAGAAATTATTGACTCAAACTTTTTAATTTTTGAATAGTAGAACTATAGTTAGAAATCATACATTCATTTTTCAAGCCTTTTAAAAAAATCATACATAGACTATTGGTGATAAGTGTTTCGTACTAATAACTTATTGACTATATGTAGAAAAAACTATCTTAATATCCATACTAATATAAATAATTTGAATTCTAGATTTAGATATTGTAATTATTTTTTTTCTGAAGAAATTACCACTACCACTGCTTGATAGGGGATTATAGTTTTAAATTGATTCTTATTAACTATTATCTTCATTCAAATACTTTGCCTCTTAATTTGCAAATTTGATTAAATAAGATTATAATTAATAAGCTTTAAAACATACTCAGATGACGATAGTTTGGATTTTATTTTTTTTATTTTTTCAGAATGAAGTAGTTCAGGGATTTTAAATAATTCAATCTACATTTATTTATATCAAAGGGAGCAAATACTTGTACTTCGAAATTTACACGAAATGACTGAGCTATATTTTATCATTGTTTTTAGTATTTGTACTTCAACTTTTTAATTCACCTTTTTATTAAACTTTGTTTTTAATTTTAAATTTTTGAGGGAAATGGGCATTCCAAATGTCTAAGAGAGATGAATTTTCATATTGGTCATATGATTCAAAGTATTTCAGCATGATTGGGCAGACAAATTAAATTTTAAGAATTTCGTAAATATTCAATGTAATATTGTATGATATTTTTTAAGGTATTATTTTTTAGATATAATATTATATCATTAAGATTTTCATTAAAAACCTATATAATTTTTGATGTAAAAAAGCATATTTTAATGATCTTAATAAAAAGAGGTTTTTTTATTTATCAATATTTTTGTCATAAAAAGAGTTTAATTCAAGATACTTAGCAACAAAAATATATGAAGCAATATATTTCATAATATAATTTTTTACAGATCTTAGAGTGACTTATTTAGCAAATTCCTTTGGTATTTCCTTTTTTAAAACCAAAAAAGAATTTAATCATAATTTTAAATTCAATTTTGTTTTAATTAACCATTTTTAATTTATAAAAAAGTTCATTTACTAAATTTTTTTTACAAAGCCATTTTCAATTTATTAGTTATGATAAAAAACATATTTTAGACAATTTAATGAGGAAATTATATGAATCATAGCGATTAATAAAATAAATAAGATTATAAAATAGATTATTTTAAGTAATAAAAGTATAATATTCTAAGCAATTTTTATCATTTTATAAAATAAATTATTTTTATTAAAATATAATTAATTATTCTTTACAAATTATTAAATATTTTTTTTATATGAACACTATTTTATTGTATCAAAGCGATACTTTTTACATATTTTTAGATTAAATTTTTACCTTATTTAAGATAAATTTCAAACGTCTTATTTTATCTCTTGAAAATATTCTTCATTAGTTCTTTTCAATAGAAATTTATTATTTAAAAACTCCTTAATTTATGTAATAGCCATAATCTTCTTCTCCTTGTTTAAATTAAAAATGTATGGATAAGCTTTTAAGTAGAATGTCACTTAATACTTCTTGTTGATAATATTTATTTTTTGAAATAGTAATTTAAGTAATATGTTTATAGACAGGAGGATTTATTAGATAATATTTTAATCTACGAAATACAATAAAAATATAAATAGTTTATTGAATCTTATCCTTAATAATTTTGTGAGGAAAAGTAAGTATATTTTGAATGAATTTTATTTTCTAAATCATTAATCTAATAAAAGAAATATTTGAATGTTTGTTTACACTCAAAATAATTTAAATGTTTAGGTTACAAAACCAAATTTTTTCTTCATAAAACTTCGATTTATATTACCATAGATAAATCATAAGTAAATAATATAAATTTAAAAGATGATACCAATATGATTTTTACTTAATATATCAAAAATCAAAAAGTTTTAAAAGTTTTATCATTGTTTTGATTTATTTTCTATTAAAACATTTAAGATATTTAAGTTTTATTTAATATTTTTAAGAAAGATAATCATAAATGTATTAGCTTCAAATCAAAAAAGTGTAAATTGATTTAAGTACTAAAGAACAAGTTTTTCAAAAAGAAAATTAATTTTTACAAAATTTTCAAGTAAATTTTAATTTACTACCCCATAGCAAATATAATCAAAAAGAAGTTTTTTATCTTAAAGTTAAATTAATAAAAAATACAAATCTTTGGTATTATATCAAAATTATAGTCATATATAAATTATATTTGTGCATGCAACTAAAGTGATCAAAAATTTAATTTAAAAAGAAGAAAAATTTAAGAAATAATCCTACCAATTTCTTATTATTTATTTTGTTTACACTAATTAAAATATAAAAAAATAATATTAGGAAACACAAGAGTATCATCGAATATAATCCTTAATTGATATTAATTCTTCATAAATTATAAAATAAAGCTGATTTTTATCAACTAATTTTTCTATTTCTCAAAGAAAATAAAATAACTTTAATACAATTCTAAATACATCAATCATATAAAATTTTTTGGAATTAGATAAATTATATTTTATAAATATTTATATAAAAATATTAAAAAAGACAATAATAATAAAAATTATATTCAGTAATAATGCTTATGAACAGCTCGATTATTTTTTATTACTCCTTTTTTGATAAATTTATACTTAATATTTATTTCTTAAAAATTTATATTTATGTTTTACTTATTTAATAACAGAATTTATATGATTTTAATTTTATCTTACATAAATACAAGATTGATTTATATGATTTTTCTCTATTAAATTCTTTAAAACAAATTATTTTTTTTAAATTTTCTTAACGAGGAGTAATAAATAAGTATATCGAGTCATAATTTGATTAAAAATTAAAAATAACCTTAAGATCAAATATAATTTTTTAGTGATTTGAAATAAAAATATTTATTAGAAATCAATAGAAATTCAGAAATTAGTAGATAAAATAAGTTAATAAGATTTCAAAGAAGTAAAATAAAATATTTTTAAAATAGTTTCTTAGTGAAGAGTATTTAGTAAGGATAAGGATTTATATTTTGTTTAAAAACTAATAGTAACCTATAGTTTATATATTATTTTTTAATGTAATGAAATAAAAATATTTATTAGAAATGAAATTCAGAAATAGGTAGATAAAATATGTTGATAATTTTCAAAGAAGGGTAATGTTTTATTTTTATCAATAAAGATAAATTTAAGAATTATTTTAATAAAAGGATCTATTAGTTGAGCCATCAAGACTTAAGCTTAAGTATGACACTATTTTTATATATAAAATAGCTTATTACAAAATTTTTTAATTTTATTTTTTTTATTTTAAAAATAATTAGTTAAATATTTAAGACATTCTTGATGGCTTGAAAGAATTGAAACAAGAGACAAGTGGCAAGTTAAAATTTTTTTAATAGAGTAAATTAGGGGATAAGATTATTATATAAAGATATTAAGGAATTATTTTTTTTGATAATTAAGTTATTTATATTTATCTTTTTTTAGATGAGATATGAAATAATAAATAGTTATACAGGACTCATCAATTTTAATTATTCATGTGTAAATTAGTGTATTGTTAGCTAATTGAATTCCCATATGGTACTGAGTTTAGTTGAGATTAGGGGAAATTTTTATTTACTTATTAAGGATTATTACAGTATTGATTTTAATGCTAATATGGAATTTAATTTGTCTAAGGATAGAAAAACTTGTATTATTCCCTTTAAATTTAAATATTGCTCATTTAATTTTGATTTTAAGTAGAATATGTTTAATGATTTTCTTCAAATTTTGCTATCGGTTGAGGTTGAGGGTGTTTATAAAAAATTTAATTACTATATTCAGACGAAGGCTATTAAATTTAAAAATTATGCTATCTATTTTTAGAAAGAACATTGCTTGGCAAGGAATTTGGAGAGGAATATTAATCATCTAATTTTATTTGAGCTTATTATAAATTATAATTAGCCTAAGTATTATGACATACTGAATGTTATAATTTTATGGTATTTTATTAGTTATTATGCTAGATATAAAAATTGGTGTTGCTTTAATTTAGCTTATTTTCTTCTTATTTTATATGGGATTCATCAGAATCAGATTTAATTTAAGATTTTAGAGGAATTATAAGTTCTTATTTTTTAGCATTCTATAAGCTATTTTAATTTTTAGAAATATTAATTTTAAATTTATTGTCATTAATTACTTCAATTTTTACTTTTACTTACTCAGAATTCATATTTTAAGAGTGAAAAGGAATTTAAGGCTCATTTTTAATGTCATTTTAAGTATTGATATCTTAATTGTTATTACTTTTATTATGCTCTTCTTATTTTATTTTTTGATTTAAATTCAGATTAGGCTAATTTAATGAGTTATAAGTACCTTAAATATTGGTATTCTCTGAATTCATTTATTAATTTTGAATATTTTGTAAGCTATTTAAAGAAATATTAAGGCTTTGTTTACACATATTTTTTGTGTTTTCCTCTGATTTTAATTAAGGTAATAAAGGATTATTTTGATTTTATAAGATTAAAGTAGATTCAAACTCCTCTTAAATCTTAATTTCTTCTTTTTTAGTTAATTAATTAGTAGTATTTTATAGGCTTTTTAGACAAAGATTCAGCTTTATTTTATCCTTTTTCCCTTAAGATAATGGAAGGTCAATATGGTTTTATATTTACTAAATAGTTTTTGGTGATTCTTATATTTTAATATTACTGTTTAATTGAGAGAAAGGACTATTGGAGAAATCATTTTTTTATTAGGTTTCTTCATTTTTAACTTAAAGCTAAGATTAGTTTTTAAATTCAGAACTCTAGGTTATTTCATTTTTAACAATTTATAATTAGTTATTTTCTTCTAATTTAACTTGAGACTGGTTAGAATTAAATTAAATTTCAAAACCTTTTTAAGAAATTTAATGTTCCTCAATTTTTTGATTTTATTAGTTATTACATGAAGAAAATAAGTTAATGCTTTAATTTTACTATTAAGGCTGGTTAGAATTAAATTAAATTTCAAAACCTTTTTAAGAAATTTAAGGTTCTTCAATTTTTTCATTTTATTAGTTATTACATGAAGAAAAGAAGTTAATATTTTAATTTTACTATTAATTATCCTCAACTTTTACTTGAGGCAAGTTAAAATTATTTGAAGGTAAGTAAGAGTTTTAAGTAGGTTAAGGTTCTTAAATTTTAATATTTTACTAGCTAAGAGTAAAAGTGTTAGTGATTGCAGTAAAATTACTTTAACTATTTTCTTCAAATTTGGGTTTAGGTTAATGATGAAAATTCGCAGATAAAGTACTCGAATCAGGAGTTTCTATTTTTTAATTGTTTGGTTCATTAATAGAAAAAGGTGGAAAAACAAAGGTGTTGATTTTTTCTGCTTATTCTAATTTCACTTAACATGGATTTTTAATACATTAAGTTTAAAGGTTTTCATTGAATTAATATTATACATTTTAAAAACTTTATTAGACATTATAAGGGAGGTAAATATTATTTATTTAATTATTTTATTAAATTTCATCAAATTTTTAATGAGGTTAAAGATTTTTGTATTCATTTTAAGTGTTTTAAGAAAGCGCATGCTCATGTTTTTAGATTATTTATTAATCATTAAAAGAAGGATAAAGAAATTAGTGGCTGTTCTAATTTAAATTACCTTCAGATTTAATAGGAGCCTAAAAGCAAGCATTAGTGCCTTATGAAGTTTAGGTTAAAAGGTTTTCTTATTAAAAATTGTTTGATCTGCTATAAAAAGAATGAGGATGATATATCTAATTACAATTAATTTTGTTATTTTCCACAATCATTTGAAAGGATTGATCAAAATTATAATTTGTTTGGTTGGTTTAGGCATACAAAAAGTCTTAATTTTAATTAATTTTTCTTCTTTCTTAAGAAGAGCAAGGATCTTCATTTTGTAAATTTTAATTAATTTTAGTAGAATCCTTTTTTTATTTTTAAGTATTAGTTTTTGGCTTTATTCCATTCATAGTGTCATATTTTGAGAGTTTTTTTTTCTACTGTATCTCACTAGGGAAACACAAATTCCACAATTCATAAAAGGAAGGTATTATTTCCTAATTGCCAAATAATTCATAGTAGCGTAGAAGAAGATAGCACACAAATTACTTTCGAACTACCTTTTTAATATTATAGGTTTTATAATTGAGACATTCAGAAATATTCTTAGGGTTTTTAATAATTTTTTTAAGTTTTTCTTAAAACATATCACCTAAATTAAACTTATTAATGAAATAAAAGTATTATTCTATGATACTCATATATTTTGGTCTATTTTAATTAATCCTATTATGAATATAAGTTTTAACTTCTCTAGAAGATCTGCATTATAGAGGTCCAGCTAATAATGGAGAAGCTACTTACTCCATAATATAGCTCTTTATAGAATCTTAAAACCATTTATTTAACAAATTCCTTTAACTCGCAACATTAACTGTATCTTTTGAGGCTAAAAACAGTATGTTCCTCATGATAAGATAAATATCATTGCTATCTCCATCCATTTTCTCTTAGTACTAAAATTTGTCTTTAAAAATTTGTAGCTATTTTATTAATTACAAATAATTAATAATATTTGTTTAGAATATTAATTAACTTTTCTAACAAAGAAAAACAAAAAATATATACCAAACAATATATATTAGCACTATCTCATTCAATTATGATATTTAAAAAGAAAATTAATCAATTTAATTGTAAAAATCTAAAGAATTTGTGTTTTTATATTCTATTAATTAGTGTTTATGCATAGATATTTTGAAATTTCGTGAGTATAATTTCTTTATAATTTTATTACTCTAGCTTATTTCCCTCTATTATATAAATGGATTAACTTATTAAAAGCTTAATTAATTTGTAATATGAAGATTTTTGTGATCTAAATTTGTTTATAAAGTGTGTAATCAAACCCATTCATATTATCATTTTTTTAATTAAAAGCTAATAAAATGTTATTTATCAATTAGAATTATTTAAAATATTAATTAAATGTTTGATATAGTACCTTTCTAATTTTTAATTTGTTAAAATTATTATTTTTCCAAAAAGTAATTTATTTTTGTGTGTTTATAAATACTATCAATCCTCAATTATTAGGGCTTTTTATATAGCTCAATTTTAAGATTTTCTGTAGTTTTATAATCCTCTTTTTATGGCTAAAAGCTTATCAATCGAAAGAGTGTATAAATTTTATTTACAATAGATAGAAATATTAATCAGAGATATTAAAAATTAATATTCAATAAAACCATTAATATTTAAAATATACTATTACAAATAAAAATAATTTTTTTATTAATTATCTACTTATATTTATTTTATTTACTATTCTCTTTATTATGATAAAATCAATAAAGAAATATGGTCTATCAAAAGTTACTTACTTTAGAAATATGATGATATAAAATATTTTCAATTTATTTAATTACTTAAATGTTGCACATTAAAAAAATTTAAATTATTTTTATTCTAAAAATAGATTATATAATATCCTATTAATATAATACAATACATACTAATTAATTAATTATATCTATTAGACAAAAAGTATTATGTTTTTTTATTAAAATAGATAGAGAGAGAGAAAAACGATAATGTGATTTTGAAAGATTGAAAATAGACAATATATAAAGAATGGTAAGGATTAATTAAAATATGTACAAAGAAACAGATAAATACTTATTAATTTTTGATATTTACATTGAAATATTTATAAAAGAATTATTCAATAATAAGGTGTTTTACATATCATGCATTTAGTGCATTGAATGGACACAGACTAGACACAAGAAATACAAATAAATTCGCAGAAGTTTTTACATATTGAAAAAGCTAAGGGGAATTCTCCTAAACAAATATAGCATTTTTTAGGCTTTTCTACATTGACGTTTTGCTAACAAAAGCCTTAATTACTATTTTAATCACTTTTATTCATTTCATTGAGTTTTTGAATTAAAGTATTATACATTTAGTGAAATTTTTCATACTTTTTAGTATTATTTAGATACTTTTAATAGTTCCTGGAGAATATAGCACAATAATTGTGCATTTCTGCGATATTTATGTTATTACTTTCTTGCAAGTAGAAGTTCAAAACACCCTTTAATAACTTTCTGATGAAGTTGGAATTGAGCTTTTCCTCTTCTATGAGCTTTGTAGCTAAGATAATGTATTCCTTATTTTAACCTGTATTTTTGAGACATATAGACTTGATGTAAGATAATTTGTTGCAACGCTTCATATGCATTTCAAGTGGTCTTAAGGCTTCAAGACACTCTTGGTACCTATTCAATTCAAATAAAGAGTACACCCTCATTTTTTAATTTTCAATATTGTTGGATGTATTTCTTGATAAAATCTCTAGCACTTTGTAGAAATTCTTTGTCTCGAATAAATACTACAATTGTAGTCTTTGAATCCTTGGCAAATAATGGTACCTGCTTAAAATTTTATTTTCTAAGCAAGCAAACTGCTTCAGTCTGAATAAGCAGTATCCTTTTTTAACTATGATGTCTTCAATTTATTAAGGTAAGGAAACATTTCTCTATTTTAAGCTAAAAGAAAAGGGAGTAGCAGTGGAAACTATATTTTAAGGGATAGAATGTATTTCCCTATGATTTCTGTTCCTGTTGCTACTTGCAAAGTCACTAAGCACTTTGTTAATGGCTTCCAAGCAAATCTCAAATTCACATTCGTCATAAAGTTATTGAATATATTGAAATATATTTTGATGCTACATCAAGGAGGTCTCTTCTGTTTGGTTGTTTGAGTTCTATCTATAATTGATATCTCTTTTCTATGTTTTATTATTATTTTGGCACATGTCTTCTATTTCTGGACTATTTTGTTTGTAAAATTATGATTCATTTCTATTTATCAACTTTATTAAAGTTTACTTGATTTATTAATTATTATTCTTTGACTCACTTTTGTTATCAGATTTATTATGATGACTGTGAAAGAATTCTTTTAATCTGATATTTTAAAGTTGCTCTCTTTGCTTATAATAATTCTTATAGCATCGACTAACACTTATATGGCTAGCAAAAAATACCCTAAAACCATCAATATATAGTGATTTATGTATATATTTATATTTAATATAGGCACGTTAAATCTAAGTTGATGAAAAATGTAAAATAGAAAGGATTGAATTTCCACAGCCCTATTAACTATATCTCAATTAGTCCAAAATCTAAGGATTTGGATTTCTTTCTTCTAAAGCATCTATAAAAATTTAAGCCATTTAAAGAATATTAACTTTAAACTATTTAAATTTTCTTTGGTATCTCCTATAATATTTATATACGCTTCTACATATTTAATAGAAAGTCATTTAATTTTATTTTAAAAAATAACTAAAATACTTTATTGAAAAAAAAATATTTTATTTTTAATTACTATTAAACCAAAAATTTAATTGCTAAGGAAATACTATGATTTTTTTTTCATATTTTTTTAGTTTTAACTAATTCCTCATTATTATTTTCATGGAGCTTATCCTTTCTTATAATCAACAGTGCAGTTTCTAATCTTTTCTTTTTGTGTAAATAATGGGTTAATTTAATATTTGAATTAATTATTTATAAAAAGTATCTTACTCAATTAAAAAAAAAGGTTTTATTTTGTAATAAAAGATTTTTTAATACAACAATGTAATGATAATGAGATTAAAGATTGGTCAGTCTATTTTTTTTGTCAATAATAAATAATTTGAATTAGAATAAGTTTTTAATAATAAGAGTAAATTAGATTTATTTTTTACTAATTACATATTCTAGAAATTATCTTTTTATTTTTTATAAGGCTCAATTAATTATCAAAATACATATTTTTTTATGCAAATAAACGAAGCTACTAATTTGTATTGGCTTTATTTTTTAAAAATATTTTTGAAAAGAAAAATTAGTTAATTATTTGCTAAAATTGATTTGCTTTTAGTTGTTATAATTTAATCTTTCTCATTGAAAAATATATTTTTATTTGTTTAATTAATCTATAATTTTTTGTACTTTATTATATAAGTTAAGCTTTAATATCAAAATGATGACGACTTAAATACTACTTATAATAATTTATATTTTTAAAACAATATAAATTTAATATTTATTTGAACTTGAAAGACTTTTGGAAGATATATAAGTAATAGATTTAATGAATAAATAAAATTCTATTCTATTTATATTAACTTTTATTTAAGAAAAGTCATAATAAATCCATCCTGCCTTCATATCAAATAAATTTTAAGTATAAGTTTAATTTAGTTTTAAAAATTATTTTTTATTTAAATATATTAAAAACTTAAATATGACTATTTTAAGTTTCTTTTCATGTTTTTAAATGAATTTTATACAAAATTAAAATAGTTTTTATTATATTATATTCTAATTTATCATTAATTAAGAAGAAATTTATCTATTTTAAATGTAATACTATTAAAAAAATTCTAATTTCATATAATAATCACTAAATATTAATGCTAATATAATTGTTACTTATTATATGAAAAATTAGAGTTTTTTAAATTTGAATTGATTTCTTTTTTTTAGAGAATAAGAATCAATAAAATATTAATTGTTAGAGATATTTTTACTTTTAATTGATATTTAGCTTTTGATTGCCATCATCAGATTAAAATATATCATAATTGTATGTATAATATAGATTGATTTTTTTAAAGAGAATAGATATCTTTTTATTATTATCCACACTATTACCTTTATTTGATATTTAGCTTTTGATTTTAGTCGTCAGATCAAAAAGCAACCCACAGTAAACTTTATAAAGCTTTAGATTTTTATAAAATTGACACAATAATTTGTTTAAAAAAAACTTAAGTTGCAATTATTAAATTTACACTAATAAATTAAATCACAGAAAAACAAATATGTTTTTTTGGGGGAATTTGTTATTTTGTTTTTACTTTGATATATTACTAAATGAAATGAAATTTAATATTAATTATCTATTATCTAGATTCTGGATATCATAAAACCTCAAAGAGTTAAAAAGAAAAAACATGATTTATTCATAACTCACCATTAAAATCAATTAAATGACTCAAAAGTAATATTTTAAATAAATTTTGATATTTAAATTATAAGCAATAAATAAGAACGTAATTATAAAAATTCCTTTTTTTTAATATAACATGAAAAAAAAATAATTATTTTAAATCTAATTTATAATTATTATTATTGATATAAAAACAACCAACATTTTAAATTAGTTAAAGTAGGTAGTAAGATAATTTTATAATAATAGCTTTCATTATAAAATTTCGAAGAAAGGATTAAGATGGTAGGAAGTTAATAAAATTCATAAAAAATATTTTGTTGATGATTAAAAATTTTTATAAAGCGTGTGAATTTATTGGTTGCTTTATGGTTAGATAGATGGATGGACTGATTTATGAAGAAGAAAAATTCAATTTAATTAAAAGATAGGTTGATTAAGATCTTCTGTTTTAATTTCAATTTTGCATTATGAAGCATTAAATTAATTAGGAATTTATTAAGCAGGAAGGTAGTATTAATATTATATTTAATAATAGATGAGACTTGGATCTTATTAGATACACAAGTATTTATGTTAATTTCTTTTTGGTTCTAAATTAATTTCTGAGCAGATATTTTAGCTCTACGAGGGTTCTTCTTCTTTTTTACATATTAGTTCTTACTAATAGCTTAATTGATGCGATAGATTTATATATTCTTCTTCTTCGTCATCATCTTCCTCCACTATTTTACTGCTAATTTATTATTACTAAAAGCTAGTGTTTTCATACTCTTTTTATTGTTTAATCTTATCTTGTAGCTAAAGTTGGTTTTAATGGAGATTATTAGCAATTAGAGAGTTCAAATCAGAAGATGGTTACTCATTTTTTATATGTGATGAGTCAGGAGAGGAAAAAGAAATATTATTATTGATTTATTAAATAGGTAAAGTAGGAGATGAACCACTTTTTGTAGAACTCTCTGATTAACATTTTTATTTCTTTTATATTTTTGTGTCATATTTTGAAAGTTTTTTTTTTTTTTGAACTGCTTCAGGAAAGCAGAAATTCCATAAATCATAGAATGACATAAATTCATGCAGGTGATAATACTCGAAGAAACGCAATATGAGCAAACAAACAAATTATTTTCTCACAATCTTCTAACAGTTATACGTATGATAATTTTTTTGTTCTGTGATGTCAGTTGGATCTTTAATAATGCTATTTAGTTTTTGGATAAACGCTTCTCTCAGATTGAACTAGTTGACGTAGTAAAAGTATTATTCAATCATTTCCATATATTTAGGTTTGTTTTTACCAACTTCTATTTAGCTCATGAAGTGTTTTAGTTCTTAGGAAGTTTTGCAATTAAGATATTTTGAGAAAAAAGGAAATGCTACCTACTCTAAAATATAGCTTTTGATAGAATCTTAAAACCACTTATTTAGTAAATTTCTTTAGCTTTTCAAAGGTTTATCTGATTTTTTCACCAAAAAGAGTACATTTTTCATAATAATTAATTCTTTTTAATTTTACTTCTCCATTTTTAAGTTATTCTTTGGCGAGGTAGGTTTTTAATTAGTATATCTAAATTAACTTTTGTTATATTATATATTTCTTTAGAATATGTTTTGATCACTTTTGATCAATTTAATTAAGAAACAAAATAATAGTATTCAAAATTTACAATTTAAATTAGATTGATTCAATTAAATAATAGAACGTAGTACAAACTAAATTGCATTATTATATTAGTTATATAATTTGTTTAATTTTTTTTAGCTTATAAAGTATTTAATTTAGTGAATAAACATATATTTCATATCACCAATAAGCATTTTATCTTACATTTATTTAGGTAGATGTAATTCTGAAAATTAATCAAATAAGAAATCAATAATAATTTCAAAAATCATTAAAACAGGTTAATCATGTTTAATTAATCTAATATTTTTTTAAAGATCACTCCTAATTAAAGAAAAATAAAAGATCTTTTATTTTTTAGTAAAAAGCAACCTCACTTCAAAAAAAAGCTTTTTATAAAAATTTAATTTCAGAAGAATTACACATTTTTTAGAAGGGTTTAATTATTATATATTTTTATTAAAAACAAGAAGGAATTTAATTATATTACATAAAATATTTTTTAATATATAAATATCAATTTAAATTAAGATAAATTAAAAGCTTTTTATTATTATAATAAGAATAAGTTTAATAAGTACATATTTAAGTTTGTTAATATTATTATATTTTATTATTAAAATTCTATTGAAATACTTATTTAAAGTATTTTTTACAATAATTTATTGTTGTTTTCAGATTTATTAATAGAATTAATAACATTATTAATTATTATTAAGTTAATTTATGAATTCATTATTATTTTATTGTTAATGAGTATAATATTAATAATTATTATCAAAGTAAATACTATTATCATAATTTTATTAATAATCGTATTCTTATTTTAAGTAAATTTAGGTTAATTACTATTAATTTTCATGATATTTGAAGTTATTTGCTTATAAATCCTGTTGATTAGCAAGTTCTTCTTAGTTTTAACTTAAAGCATCATTGTTATTAAATTAAAGAAAATAACTCACAGGTTCTATATCATGGGTTTCTTCTTCATATATTCTATTATTAATGGGTTGTTTATAAGAACTAAAATCAGTTTAATAGGTTCTACTATCTTATTCAGATAATTTTGTTTAAGATTAATTTAAACTATCTTGATCGTTTAAACTTATCATTTTAGTAAAAGAGTCTTAATTTTAGAAACAATATTCTTAATCAACTAAATGAGTAGTATTTTCGCTCAAGTTATTAGAAGAAGTGGGAGATGAATCATCTTGACTGATTTTTTTTCTATATTACCTTTTTGTTTATTTATTTTCCACCTTCTTATCATATTTTGAAAGCTTTTTTTTAGTTTGTAATTATTGAGGAAAGCAGATGTTCCATAATTCGTAAAATGATGCGAATTCTTATTAGCCATATATTTCAAAATATTTCAAGATCAAAAAACACACAAATTATTTTCTAACAAGCTTTTAAGTGTTGTAAGTTAATTCGTTATTGTATTGAGTAATATCTACGGGGCTATAAATAATTTATTTTAGTTTTTTTATGAAAAGGTCATTTTAGTTAAATTTGTTAATAAAATAAAAGTATTATTCAATGGTTGCCATGTATTTGACTTTATTTTTGTTAGTTTGACTACATATAAAGTTTTTCACTTATAATGAAGAATGGAGTCTTAAAGAATCAGCTATCAAAGGAGATGCAACAGATTCCATAATATAGCTCTTAACAGCGTCTTAAAACCATTTATTGAGAACATTTCTTTAGCTTTATTTTGTGTTTGAGTCTTTTTAAGCTAAATATAGAATATTATTTAAGATAATCTCTTTTCTTTTATTTTCTTAGCTCATTTTATTTTCCGAATATTGAGTTTGATATTAGTTCTGTTTTTCTTAATTTGTTTGATTTAATTTTTATAATTTTTTTGAAGGTTTCTGCAACTATTTAAATAATAGCAAATAACAAAATACAAATAAAATTGAAGTCATTAAACTAAATAGATGAATTTACTTAAAATTAGCATAGTTTGTTTATTCATTTCATCAAAAATAAATATAATATAAATTGATATTTATTTGCAAGCATTTTTATTCCCTTTAATTTTTTTTTTCTCAAGGATAAACTTATAATAGATATAAATAATGTTTAAATAAAAATAAGTTTGGCTAACCATGTAACCCAAACATTTTCTTATAAATGCATCCCTTAAGTATTTTTAGTTATTTTTAATTAAACGCACAAATAAAAGGTAATATTAATTAAATCTAAAATAGTTCGAGTGAAAAAATGTATTTGCTTAATCTTAGCCCTGTTATATTTATCTGCAAAAATATATAAAAAACGTAAAAGATAAATATTTAAATTGTTTAATACCCATTTTAAAAAACCTTTCAATATAAATGATAATAAGAATGCTGACTCACTTAACCAAAAAATTTTGATCTACATATTTTTCGCATAAAGCTCACAAGAGAAGAATTACCTTTAAAGATTCTTATTTAATAATTGATAATAAGACTCTATATTTAAAAGCAAATTATCAATTTAATGATTATTGATTTTACTAGTTATTCTTTAGAAAATTGTGTTTTTTGGTGTTCTACAAATTAGAAAATCGATTAAAAAATATGTTCAGACTTTTTCTAAAGATACCAAATAACTTTCTCTCTAATAAATAAGATTTTAAGTAGATATAAATTCTAATTTCATTTAAAATTATTATTATTATTATATAAAGTAATTTTTAAACTATTTTAGGTATTCAGAGGAAATTGAAGCAAGATATTACACTTTCGCAAAAAACTAAATCTTAAATTTCGCTCACAATTTTCTTCTTTTTGAAAAGTAGTACCAAAGCGATGCGATTACTCAAAATAATAAAAAATTAGCCATAAATTTTATTAAATTAAAAGCAGCTGTAAAATTTAATTTATTGTTTGTGGTTGATTAGTACCATTAATTATTAAATAAAGTAAATTATAAGTAATTAAGGAAACAAATCAGATTTTATAAGATGATTGATCTATTAATTAACAGAATTTCTTAAAGATTAACTTCCCTGTATATGGATAAAAATCATAATAGAGATCATAGAGATCAGATTAACATAATACAAATTATTTAGATTAAAAAATAACCATCATAATAATTATAACAAATTTATTATTTAACTGATTAAATTATTGTACATAATAATATGTGTTGATTAATAAATTTAGCATTATAAATCAAAAATAGAAATGTCAGCTAGTATTTTTCATATATTAATTTAAATTTCAACCAACTCCTTTCTTAGTAAATTTATTAATTTTTTTGGTGATGAATTTAAATAATTTAGTCTAAATATTTTGAGCTCCTTTATCTAATATTTAAATTAATATGGTTAGATAATGATGAGTGGTATTTTTGTATTTAATAAGATATTATGGATAAGTAATCAAATGCTCTAAATTTAATAGGGTTAAGTATTTCTTTTTTTGAATTTGTCATTAAGGGTTTAAATACTAATAGAATTATATTTAAATTTTACTTTTTTAAAATAAAAATATAAATATCATTTTCGTTATATCAGTTTACTAAAATATTTGATATGTTTCAAAAATAAAAAACGAAATTAGTTTTTTAGAGCTTAATATTATTAATGATGCAAAATTTAATTTTTTGTACTTTTAAGTATCAAATTATTTTCAATAAATTATTCAAATAATCTAATTCAGAAACTCAAGATGAAATTTTATTGTTCATTTTAGTTTATGGCGCTTTAGTCTATCTCTAAGGAAAAACTATGATCATTTAAAAGAAAGGTTTTTTAATAATGCATATTTTTTCTGAATAATTTATCTCTCAATAAGAAAAAATAAGCATTAAACAAATAATTTTGTCTAGCTAATAATTAAAATGAAAAATTAGCAAATTAATCATCATCGTCATCTTCATCATCATTTACTACTACTAATTACCCAAAGAAAACTTAATAAAATTGTAAAAAACTTTAAAATCAACTGAAAGCATTAATATAAATTAATATTAGACTATAATTAATTAATAATAGTATGTTTATTTTACTAATTAACCGTTTGTTTAGTTAAATATTTTAAGAAAAATTTAGTTAAAAATGAGATTTGAAGTAAATATTTACCTTAAAATAAATTTAATATTACTCTTTATTAATAATTAAATTTTTGATTAATTACTTGATTTGAATGGGTATATTTGGTTATTTAGAAGGGTGATCTATTTACAAATATAGTTTTTTTATAAAAATCTCTATAAAGATCAAACAAATTCATCAATAATTACTATGTCTTATTTAACATAAGACATTATTTTTTGATTTATTTTTAATATTTAAAATAAAATGATTCACAATTCATATTGCTTTTAATTGAAAAAAAATTTTATCTTAAAATACACTTAATATTACTTATCTTGGAGTTATAAAAATATTTATTAAGATAGTGCTTATTTATTTTTTATAGAGGTAGGTTATTTTACACTTGTTGATTTTATTATTTAAAATATAATTGCTAATATAAACAAACTATAAAATCCTAATTTTAGCTTTTTCTTAAGTATTGAAATTGCCTTAAAATATTAAAATAGCTAATTTAAAAATAATGTTGTTTTGTTACTTGCCTTAAAATATGATTAATATTAGCATAATTAAATTAAATAAATTGATTAATTAAAATATAATGGCTTCAATAAATTTCATCAGCACAAGAATTAATTAACGCGTTTATTTCTTTAAATTTTTGAAAAACAATAATCCAAAAAGAAGGAAATTAACAAAGAAAGTAATTTAAAAATTAAAAGTAAATTTAATAATTTAATTGAGTAAATAAATAGAAATAACAAATTTTGATGCAAATTAAAGGTACTGTTATTTAAAAAAAAAGTTTTGATGTAGCTATTTAAAGAGCAAACAAATAAATGATCTCTTTGCATCTCAATTAGATTTAAACACAAAATACTTTTATTATATTAAATTATTTTCAAATAAAATTATTATCTTTACCTTAATATTTTTAAACTAAAACCACCTAAATCTTTTATAAAATTTATATTAATGTTGGGTTTAAGGCCAAAATTTTTGAAAAAAAGAGATTTTTATTTGGTCTTTATTAAAGAAAATTCATTGTAAAAACTTATTGCTAATACATTTTTAATAAGCGTTATTAATTAAATGTACAATTTTATATATTTATAAAAATGGCGTTTTTTATAGATCTTGTTACTTCTAAATTTCTCATCTTAGAATTGTGATGAGCTTAATATAGCTCAAATAAATAGTTAATTTAAGAGGGTTATTTCTAAATTTTTCTTACTATTAAATGACAAAGCTTTGGTACAGAATACATAAACTTAATTGCTTTAATTTTGTGTATAATAAATATGATAATGTTGAGGATAAATTTAATTTTTTATTTAAGTATAAAAATATTGTAAAATAGGATATGAATTTTTTGTTATAAGTTAGAAAATATTTAATTCTATTTTAATAATATGATAAAGTAATATGTGTATAATATACAAATTTAATGATGGTAGTATCAATTAAAACCAATTTGGTAGGTTAATTAGTAGTATTTATATTGTTTAATTAAAAATATATCTTTAAGGTAATACAATAGTTTCTTACTTAAGATAGAGATTATTTTCTTACTAAAGATAATAATTGTAATACAGTTTAATTTTTAAATTGTTTGCGCTTGTATCAATTTTAGATTTTTATCTATTCTTCTTATTATAGTGGATCTAGATTATTATTTGTTTGTAGATAATTGCTTTTAGGCTCTTATTCGTAGCTTTCTTCTTCAAATATCATATTATTAATAGGCTGTTTTTAATGTTTATTGACAAAGCTTTGGTTTACTTAAAAATTTTCATATTATTATATATTAGATTAATCAATAAAATTTAATGTTTAATTGCTTAAATTTGCGAGAGATATCTTATTTTCGTTATTAAAAGAAAAAGAAGTATTAATATTTATAAATTTCGTAGATTAAAGATTAGAAAGTTTTTTATCATTATAGGTATTAATATTTTGAGGCGACATTTTTAAATTTATATTTTTTTCTTTTCTGTCATATTTGGTGAGTTTTTTTTTTTATTGAATCTCTTAGGGGAAGCAGATGTTCCATAATTCATAGAATGATTGAATTTCTTATTATCCATATAATTCAAAGTACTTTAAGATTAGAAAACAGACAAATTGCTTTCTAATAGTTTTTTTGGTTTTGTAGGACAGATTCTAATTTTCTTATATGACCTCTACATGCTTCTGAAGAACTTGCTGGAGTTTTGCTATAAAATTGTCTTTTTAGTTGAATTTATTAATATAAAAGAAATATATTTCGATGATTTCCATATATTTAGGTTTATTTTAGCGTGCTTATTTATGAATAAAGGCTTTCATTTTTGAGGATGAGCCTATTTTAAAATAACCAGAAATAAGAGGGTATGCAATAGATTCTAATACGTAAGATTTAATAGAATCTTAAAACCATTTATTTAATA